GGATATATGCAGACGCTTCCATGAAAACTTTTCCAGCAGCGCGAGTACCAAGATCCAAATTCTGTGTAGCAGCACGGCTCCCAACGCTCAAAAGAATCTACTGCACACCAAACTAAGCCGACTCTCATAGCTTGCTTGCACACCTGGTGCCTATATACGCTAATGAGCCTGTCAATTCTGTAAAGCAGACGTGAAGGTAAAGAAACGGAGCTGTGATGTGTTCAAGGACCCAAAACGGGTGGGAATTTACACCCACTAGACCACCCGGTTACACATGGGGTGGACGTAGGTTTGGGAATTGATAAGATTTTCATAATTCCAATTCCCTCATCGATTCTGTGAAACGATTCGATTCTCTTATCGATTCTGTAAAACAATGAACTTGGTAAGTTCACGGTGTTATTCGTCTACCTTCTCCTGGGACATGCTATTTCTGCCTGCCTCGGCAAAAACAGAAGATAGTGAACGGGAGCTGCCAGAGTCTGAGCCAACCAGGCTACCCGTCTCGTCACAGTCATCTACATCTAACGGTGAAGGCATCCGTTTAATGAAAGAGCATTACTGTACAATTACAGGAAATAAACTCATCTCCTCCTGATTTAAATAAACGAGCCTCACCTTTCTCTCGCTCCCTGAATTGCGGAGCAACTTCGTAGCATGTTTAATAACCCCAAAGAGAGGTAGGAAATAGTTTATTTCCAGAAATGGCATATAATTTACTAGGAACCACATTAAGCACAGCCAGTGATATAAAACTAGCTACTTACCACCAGAGTTGCCTTCCATGCTGGTCGTAACTTTAGCTTCTGTCTGGAAGCATCAAAAACACAGCATTTGTGAAAATGTATGCCACGTTGTGTGCGTAGGTGTTTCTGCATGTTGGATGTATTTCCTCCCGCGGATGTAACTGCCACTTTGCAATGATTGCAAAGCGCCTTGTTGCCATCTTTCTCTTCCTTACAATGAAGCCAATCTTTCGATCACTTTGTCCGCTTTTGTTTTGCTTTCCTAGACTTAAGCCTGGTCACGTCGTACTTGCTTACTTAATGCCGTGTGCATAACTTTTGTAAAAAACGTGACGTAAGTCGTGCTGTTTAGCACTAGGCTCTGGTGCTGCCTGAAACCGTTAAGAAAACCGTTAAGCGAGCTGCCAACCGGTGCCATGGAATTGGAACACACAGAACCGGTTCTGAACAGGAACCGGATTTCGATTCCCATCCCTAGGTGGGAGACGTTATCCAACAGAGAAGTTAATTTTGTTAGGATCCTTTTGTTTCCCACCTCCTGCACTGAGTCCAGAGGGTATCCAATCAGAGCTGGCCTTCCTTACATTTAGTTTTAGTAACAATCTGCAATGATTTGTATTGAAATCTGTAAATGATGGAGCAGCATGAGGTTGAGCTTAGCAAGAAAGTTGGAGCAGAAGTATCCGTGATTTTCAGAATATTATAGAAATTCAAATTTGAAAGGATGATGTGCCTCTAAATAAAACAAAAAAACAATCCATCTGTGTGTTATTTTAATTAGTTATACGAAGAACTATTCAGTGAAGGCCTCATGTAGGTTACAGATTAACAGTAGAGGTCGCACCGTTTAATGAAGATGAAGACATAAACAAAAAGGTCAACAATAAAGTTTTTGGAGATGTTTAAAGCAGGGCTGGCTTATAAAATGTTAAGCAAGCTTTAATTGTCTGAAAGAGTTCTTTTCAATCCATAATCGCGAAGAATCTGCCGACCCACCCAAACCAGATGTGCCTTACAAAAAGAGTATCAGGAGCAGCAGATACCCATACATCAGCTGTTATAATGAAAGTTTTAGTTGATATAAATTGTGGAAGAAGATGCTCTGGTCAGAAGAGACCATGCTCTTTATGGCCACTCTGTAAATTACCCTAAACACGCTTTTCCTTTTAGAATGGACAGAGAAGCTGATCAGAACTGAGTGGAAGATGGATGCAGCTAAATGCAGGGCTGACCTGGATTTAGGAGTCACCTTTGACTGGGATAACGACCATAAACGTACAAACAGAGCTATAATTGAACAGTTTAGATCAAAGCATATTGTCTCTTACAATGGCCCAGTCAAAGTCCAGACCTACATCTAAGTAGCAGGGTGTAGATAGAGGCCTAAAAATTGATTTTTGAAGATAATTTCCAACATAACCTAAAGCGGAACTACAAAGTATTGACATGCACACGTGTCCCACATTCTTTTAAAACTTTTTATTTATTTAAGAAACATCAAAACAAAATATATAGATATATCTCAGTTTAATGCATGCCTTGCCTTTTTATATTTCTTAATTATTAGAATTGAGCAATTCTTTGAGTTATAGTACAGATTAAAATGATGATAAATTAATGATATAATAGCCATTTGGCTCATCAATCCACTGTGGTGACAAACTACAGAATGAACCTGGATAAAATACTGAAATCACTAAACCAAACAGACAATTCGAATAGGGTTTTTACATAAAGGTAATGATATAAAAAAAAATTATCAGGGAGCATTACAGTAAAAAATGTCAAAGGAAAAACAAGATTTTTGTTTCATGTTTTTTTATGTTTTGAAAACCAAAGTGTTGTATCCAGATTTGTAGAAAAGTGAAGAAAAATACTTTAGATCAAGTTATAAAGTTCAAGCACAAAGAGCTGAATGTGAAAAAAATGTCAAATAAATGTTCCTTTACTTAAAAACAAACAAAAGTAAACCCAAATTATCCCATTGAATTATGTTTGGGTGTTTTCTTGTTGGTTATACTAACCATGGCCTGAAGGGGGCGCTGGAAGATTAAGCATGTGTGCAGATTTGAAGGTGGATTTTTTTTTTTTTTATGTAATAATATAAACCCTAAATCAGTTTCACGGTCTCGCGATTAGGTTAAAATATTTCACTTAGCAACATATTTAACAAGTCAGAGGCTAGTAGTGTATATCTATTTAATTAGGAAAGAAAGAAAACAACAAGCTGACATTAGTAAAAATTCAGGCTTCTGTATCAGTTGACCTTTAAAGTGGGAGTGATGTTTGATCGATTGCTGTATTGATTTCAAATTCTAATGGAGGTTTTTTCTTGAATAATTGGTAAACACTGATAGAAAAAAAAAAAAAGAAAAACTTTATGGATGGTGTTTGAAAACTTACCACTGACATGAGAGTCCTGCACCAAAAGGTCAAAGGTCTTGTGGTTTGCAGCTGCAGAGCCATCATTGGTTTTCTATTATTTGTCTGATGAATGCAGTGAGATTTTAACATAAAAAACAATCTTTATATATTGTTTGCTTACTAACGATATTGGTTTGATATATTATTATTTTCTAATAATAGTAGGTTGTGTTTATATTATACTTATATTATACTATAATGTTACCCTTCTGTATTTAATCATAACTTTGACAGTTACTTGCTATTTGTTACTTAAAGTTCTGACTCTTTACTGGCAACCCTGATAGAGATATGTACGATTAAAAAAGTCTCTATATTTTTATTTACAAAATCATTGGTCACACCAGTTGCACTGATAGTAATTGCTATGAAATATAACTGAAAGAATTCTACTGTATATTTAGCTTTTTAAAGTTGATCAGAAGCTTGTGGAGCATTTAATTAATCCATTTATTGATTTGTACAACACTTAAAACGGAGGTACTGCATGGGGATCGGGAAAGTTTTGGTTGATTTGACTTTTTTTTTTTTTCCTGCAATTTTTTCTACTAAATGAAAATGTCTTTAAATACACATGAACTGAAAACATTGCAATAAACAGATAAATGGAGGTAGAAGATATCTTTTGGTCATCAATGCACACATTCAGCGACACACAGGAGCTCTTTCAAGCTGGACACCGTTTCATTCACAACACCTGTCTCATAAACCAGGAATCAGAAATACTTTAATAATCCCAGGGCGAAATTACTTTCCTTACATGACACCATCTGTAATAGAGTGACTATAGGACCAGTTTGATATACCACAAATTCATACAATATATATAATAAGGGGGTCCCCGCTCCATCTCGCCATCAGTTTGGGGGTATTTGGCCTGGAAAACTTTGAAGAACCTTGATTTAAAACATCCAGCAAAGGTGACCAAAGTGCTTCACATTAGGGTCACAAAATCATCATAATCATAATTTGTAACCGATAACTTCCCTTTTTTCATTCTAACATAAATGTGATATGACTCAGGGGCACATTTCTATTAGCAACCCTTCAAAATAAGAGACATAGGCACACGTGTATGTTTAACCTGCGATGATTTTCCTAAATTGTGATTTGGCAACAGGAAGACAGCCATAAGCTTATATTTGATTATTGTCAACAGTGTGTACGCCTCTGTACTTACACGGTTGTTTAACAAGTGATATGAATTTATTCTCATTAGCACCAAATGCATATGATACCTGTCCCTTCCTGTTATGCAACTAGAGTGGAGAGTGCATAAGTGCATAGGCTGCTTCATTCCTTAATTAGTTTTTTTAGGGGAAACTCTTTAATTTTAAATTTTTTCTCCTTAAACCCCAGCTGGCCTCGGCAGATGACCGCTCACACTGAGCCTGGTTCTGCTGGAGGTTTCTTCCTGTTAAAAGGGAGTTTTTCCTCTCCACTGTTGCTACAAGCAAATTAAGGTTAGGGATTGTATTCAAGTCAATGAGTCGATGCAATCAACTGGTTTTCCTTAGATAGAAAACTATGAATCAATTTAAATGTATGATCTGATGAACTGTAAAGTGCCTTGGTATGACATGTGTTGTGAATTGACACTATAGAAATAAACTGAATAGAAAAATTCAAGCTGCAAGCCATGTTCCTATGAGCTACCGGAAGTGGTTTGCAGTGAGTTTAACTTTTTTAATTAATTAGATGAAATATAATTTTCGATATTACCGGAAACTATTAGATTGGCCTGAATGAAAAGCGCTACACAGATTGAGCTGTTATCGCATGTTGGCGCACTGACCCAGCAGCAGCTCTGCTGGTCACGTGATTCAGGTTGCGCTGACGTCAACACCAGGGCAGAGATTGGGAGCAGACTGAAGCAGGGAGCTCTGGAGGTGCGCCACTTTCACAGATTTTCAACCGTCCCTGCCGCCTCCGTCCCCTCCCACACCCGACCGGAGAGCAAGAACAGAGTATCTGTTCAACATTTCAGAAACCCAAATGCCCGGTCCCACCCAAGCCCTGTCCCCAAATGGAGAGAATAACAACGACATCGTCCAGGACAACGGAACCAACATCATCCCTTACAGGAAAAATACTGTGCGGGGAGAGCGCGCCTACAGGTAAACCAGTGCAACGCCGCTTTTCTTTAATGTCAGAGGAAAATGGCCATAAAATGAAGCCAAAAAAAAAAAAAACCCAGAGACCCCTGATCTGTCCCGGCCTCCCCCTCCTCCTCCTCCTCCTCGGCTCCTCTTTGCTTTGCAGCGTTCCGCTATTTTTTTCCTCCCACTGTCAGATCCTCTTAGCTCACAGTGGCGCAAAACACTCCAATATCAGCCTAAAGGCACACATTTATGCCCAGTAAATTATACCAAAACCCTCGCAGGTAGCTGCGGAAGCTTCAATGTTTATTCTGCGTCGGTTCAGGAACATTTTTATTCATTTTTAGCGGGAGGGTTGACCCGGAGCGGCTTGTTGAATGAAACGGAGCCTCCCAGAGAAGCTAGAACATTCCCATCGAGACATGACGATCAGTCATTACTGCTGTGATTCAAGGATGTTTGGTGTTTTTTTTTTTCTGTTAACGGATACCGTCATGTGTAGATATGATGTATAGGATTCAGGGATCTGTCCGGTTAGCTCTGTGTGGCTAACAAAGCATGCTAACAGCAGCGCTTTGTTGACATGACAGGCTGGCACAGTTTCCTTCCTGTGGCCTGGGAGACCTTCTACTCATCCACAGCTCAATTTATAGCTTTTATTTAGTTCTCTGTTTTTAAGGGATTATTATTAATGAATACTACTGTATTAACGTGTTATTACCCATTGGAAAAATATGAGAGGGTTTTGTTTAGGGCTGAAATAATCAGAATAATTGTTATTAATCGATTATTGAAATTGGTAATCGATTGATCACGTTGAGACTGGGTTTATCTGACAGAGTGACCCACTTAGAGCAGTGATTATACCAAAAAAAAAATGTGTAAACATTTTGCATTTAAAATTAAAAGATTTTTTTTTTCTTGTCTGTCAATATGCTCTATGGAACTCCTCAAGTTTTCTTTCAGGAACCATTTCACTACCCGATTATTAATCGATTAAGTGAAAAAATAATAGACAGATTCATTTTTTACAAAGTAATGGTTAGTTTCAGCCGTACTTTTGTTAATGTTTCTATGTTGGTCCACACTACACAGGTTCTTTGCGTAGGTATTTTTGGAAAAACATTTTGGCCAATGTGAAGAATAGACATGACTAATCTTGTGAAATACAAAATATTTAATTGATGAATTGTTGAGGATTCATAACCACAAGTATTAATGGTTTATTAACTTTACATCATCTTTTAATGAGGGTAAACATGCAGCAGGGAGTCTGTTTCTTTTGTCTGATTTCTGATCACCAATTTTTACATACCTCTGATCTGCTTGTAAAAGGTTCTCTATAGAAAAAAATAACAATTATGACACCTAAATACGTTGCTTGCATTGAATATTAAACTTTCTTTAAAAATAAAATGTCCGTGGTTAAACAAAACAATGAGTTCACGCTAAGAGCTACATTTCTCAGCCTTCCTGAAAATCTGCCAGGTCATGGTACAGAGGAACCCATAAAGAATACATAAAAACAAACAATTACAGCATTTTATTTACTCTATTATACATTTGCAAAAATTGAAGAAATGTGCCATTCCATATACGGTTTAATCTTGTCAAAATAGATTACAAATATACAAAAATTATTAAATTTGTAGTTAAACACCTTGATTTACTGCCATTCATATGGTAACATTCTTTTTTTTTAAATGTCATTTTATTTGAATAAAGAAAAACCCTGAAAATTAGATTAAGGGTATAATGACAAAAAAGATATCAGCAGTAATTATAGTAATAACCCTTTATTACTCCTTCTCTTATATTTTATATTTTAGCTATTTTAGACTAACTTAAAATGGTTGTATTTTAGTTTAAGATACTATATTACTAAGGTTAAGAATAAAAAACAAAAACAAAAAAACTTTTGCTCCTGAAAGTTGTCACGGCACAGCAACCTACAGTTTTCTCTTTGTATACCAAGCTGTCACTTTCCCTCTGCTTCATGCAAATTGTCAGCAGGTTCTAATTAATCAAAACATGTAGTCACATTCAGAGGCTCTGAGGCTTGTTTGTGTCATTAAAAATACATCTGCAGATAGCAACCTTTGCACAGATATTAAACCCACATTTCACATTAAAGGAATAGTACACCCAAAACATGATTAGCCTTCATTTTCTACTCACCTCCATGCTGAACAACACTCTGGAGTACTTTTTTGATATCTCAAATGCATCTGGAGATCTGGGAGGCTTCTTGCTGTCTGCTGACATTCAAATAATGGAGGTCCATGGCGCCCGAGACAGAAAGGTCCATAAAAGTCCACAAAAACGTGTCAATATTCCTCCATACTGCTCGTCCAATGTAATCCAAGTGTCCTGAGTGGGTAGCATCCAGAATTTACTCGAAACGAAGTCATTTAGAACGTTTTAGAGCCTAAACAGTAGTGTATAGGATTTCCTAATAGCGCCCCCATGCGCGCTCGCGATTCTACGGAAGCCGGCAGACCAAACCAGCGCATTCAGCTCGGCAAAGAACTCATGCTCTTCCTCAACACTGAAGTCCTCAGACATTTTTCTTTCGTTGTTTCTTTCTTTGCACAGGTAAACAGCACATTTCTTCTTCTACGCTTGCATTATCGGCAGACCAGACGCTGAATGCGCACTTTCTTCCGGTTTGGTCTGCCGGCTTCCGTAGCGTCGTGAGCGCGCATGGGGGCGCTATTAGGAAATCCTATACACTACTGTTTATGCTCTAAAAACATTCTAAATGACTTCGTTTCGAGTAAATTCTGGATGCTACCCACTCAGGACACTTGGATTACATTGGACGAGCAGTATGGAGGAATATTGACACGTTTTTGTGGACTTTTATGGACCTTTCTGTCTCGGGCGCCATGGACCTTCATTATTTGAATGTCAGCAGACAGCAAGAAGCCTCCCAGATCTCCAGATGCATTTGAGATATCAAAAAAGTACTCCAGAGTGTTGTTCAGCATGGGGGTGAGTAGAAAATGAAGGCTAGTCATGTTTTGGGTGTACTATTCCTTTAAGGTTGTTTTTATTTGACTGATGTAATACTTAAATATTAAATATAATGTTTTCAGTTAGTTTAAGCAAAGTAAAGTCATCCTAAAAAACATAAATAAAGGCTTGAAAACATCAGTGTGTGTGTAATAAATACCTCTGGAATGTGCTTCAAAAAAAGCATGATGTTACTGAGATAAATTAACTTTTAAGTTATATTCTAAATGATTAAACAAGACAGTATTTTAATCCCTTTTTACTCATATGCATACAGTGAGAAAGTCATTTTCCTTACATAGATTCAGACCAATTGCCTGTATTTGTTTATTAAAAGATGCTTTTATTAGATGCATCCAATTTTGCTTTTCATGAGAAGTGCAGGGGATAAAGAGTTTGGTAAGAATAAACATTTATTTTTTTTGATTTATCAAAGATTTCTAGCTCTACCTAAATGTCAGACCAATTCAACAGTTTTAAAGTAAACATTTATTACTATGTAACAGAACTGGAGTAACTCTCTCTCCTGCTGATGGACCTGCAGAACCGCCTCAGCTCTTAGGAAACTGCTTTTTTGCCTCCAACGCTCATGATCAGCAAATTAAAGCATGTTCCTTTAAGTCTCTGAGTTATCTGCTGTATTTCTTTGCACTGATTGGTAATCATTTGGACAACTCGTTTAACTCTCTAATCTGTAGATTAAGGATCAAAGTTTGAGTTTGCAGATACTGTTAGTCTGTAACCATTTGCTCTGCAGGATTAGACTCCATATGGTAGGTTTTGCAACCAGACTAGGTTGGAGGTTATTATTCAACCTAAAAAAACAACAACAACAACAACAACCTGTTTTGTGATAATGGGATACATGTAGAAAAGTAGTCTGCTACTGGAAAAAAAAAATCTTTCTTTGTTGATTTCCAAAAAATATTTTTATATTATTTTCTAGAAGAGAAACTTTGAAGCGCATTTTCATCCATTGAATAGTTTATACATTTCATGCGGGGCACTAATAGTATTTCTATCCAAATTAACTACCCACCATTTTCTAATGGTGGATAGTTAGCTATCCAATTAATTTCAACCTAATACAATCTATGATCTACATATAGTCTTTTGCATTGGTTGATATAAAGACTCTTGAGTCCCAAGTTTGAATTAACAAAACGTTTATATTTACTATATTATTAATTGTTTTTTATATTTGAATTTACAAAATTGTCAAATTTTTGTCACATATAGCCAAAAAAAGTCTGTTCAAACAATTTGAAAAAAAGCTTATTGATCTAGTTAAAAGGCAGGCGGGGGAGGGGTAGAACTGCTCCATTCTAGGCTCTAAATGTTTGAAGAAACATCTAATTGCTCTGGCATCTAATGCAGAACTCCTAACTGAGGGAGTGAAGTCATTTAAGTTCTTATTGGGTTTGAAAGTCTAGCTTTTTAAACTCTTGCTTATCTGCTGATCGGTTTAAGCAGCCGATCTTTGATGCATAAATGGCAGCTGCTGCCGGCCGCGTCCAGCAGCCGGAAAGTTAGCCTGGACCTTTTTGTCACATAAAGGAAGAAACATCAAATATTTAAATTGATTTTAAACAACAAGCTACAGGCTTCTCCTGTTTGTTTGTTTTTTTCTTTTCTTTTAAGGGCTCTTTTTTTGTTTGTTTGTTTTGCTTTTTGTCACTGAGACTTATTCCGCTTTCTGTTTCAGCTGGGGGATGGCGGTCAACGTATATTCTACCTCAATAACCCAGGAGACTATGAGCAGGCATGACATCATTGCCTGGGTGAATGATATTGTCTGCCTAAACTACACAAAAGTGGAGCAGCTCTCCTCAGGTAAGATCCTCTCCTCCTGCATGCGTCCGGCTGTTTGATACGTGCAGATTTAATCTTTGATGTGTAATGCACAGAGGGCTGTTTAAGGAAGCAGACTATGGAAACATGCTCACCTCTTTCTATCTGAGAGTTAGCTAAAAATAAACCTGAAGCCTCGTTCCGCTGTGGCAGAGTAATCCAATTTCAAACACACACACACAGATTCTACCCTTTTCTTAAGGGGGAGGCTAATTGGTTGATTACGTCTTATGTGTCTTCTAATGAGTGTTAGATGAGATTTGGCCTACATAATAAGGGATCTCCTTATCTTTTTCAATTGATAGCATAAAAAATATTAAACTGCCTGTGGATGTATGATGGAGGAATTTACTAAATCTCACCTTTTTATTCTTTCTTCAGGAGCTGCTTATTGTCAGTTCATGGATCTGCTCTTCCCTGGCTGCATCAGTCTGAAAAAGGTCAAATTTCAAGCCAAACTGGAGCATGAGTACATTCACAATTTCAAACTGCTGCAGGCCTCCTTCAAAAGGATGAATGTGGACAAGGTGGGTCTCCTGAACGGCCCTTTAATCTGATCCGATGCTGGCTTGTTCTAATACAAGCTTCACGTCTGTGTTTCTACTATATAGATCATTCCAGTGGAGAAACTGGTGAAAGGCAGATTCCAGGACAACCTGGATTTCATCCAGTGGTTTAAGAAGTTCTTTGACGCCAACTACGATGGTAAAGAGTATGACCCGGTGGAAGCCAGACAGGGTCAGGATGCCATTCCCCCACCTGATCCTGGCGAGCAGATCTTCAACCTGCCCAAGAAGTCTCACCATGCAGCCAGTTCCCCCACTGCAGGTAAATTTTAGCTGCAACATGAAAGCCGTCAGCTAGTGTTAATTTGGCGGACTTAGACATCCACATCTGGCAGATTGTTCATGTTTACCTCAGGGCACAGAGTCCTGTGCCTGTTTGTTTTATTCTTCATTTAAACCAGACTATTGGGAGCTTTTATTCCATTCACACATTTGTTTGCTTGATTCTGTTTATAACATCGTAATCAAACCCGTTCCCAGTTTTGTTTAGCCCAATTTTATTTTGATCTCGCCAAGGGAAAAGATGTCTGTAAGCTCTCTGGTGAGGATTCTGAGTGGCCAGCCAGATGAACTGGGTTCATAGTTTTATTTTTTTATTCAGTATCTTGCAAAATTACTCATACCACATTTATACATTTGGCCATATTAAAACTAAAACCTTCAGAGTAATTGATTAAGAGTTTATATAATACACCAACATTTGTACCGCATCATGTGAATTGGAAGGGAAATGATACAAATCAGTGACTGTGTTCCTACTAAAGCTTTTTTTGTTTCGTTCTTCCTTTTTTCACCTTCTCTGTGTTTGACAATGATGGGGAAACTCTAACTGAACAAAATCTCCCTCAGTGTCTCTTTAATCACAATGATTTTTCTCTGGAATTTGATCAAAATGTGCTGCAGGAACATCCAGGTTTAGCTCCACTACCCCCAAGGCTTCAACACCAACATCCAGACCGTCTTCAGCCAAAAAGATTCCTGCAGCTGTATCAACTCCTGCCAAAGGAGAGAAAGAACTGGAAGCACAGGTCACACATCTTACTGAGCAGGTACATGGCCATCTCTAGACCCCAGCCCCTCTTTTTTTGTCAGGTTTACTTAGTTTATCGTACTCTAAAATTTCAGACAATGCCTCTTTTTTTTTTCTTGTTGTTTGATACGTATGCTGAATTGTATATATTTGGTTGTTCAGGGAAGGTAATTCTGTCACAATCATTCCTTTTAATTACTTAATTCAGACTAGTAATTGCACCATATATATTTAAAGTCGTATGGAAGTCATATCTAAATGTCAAATCATTGTGGCTTAAACATGTATATAAATGGCTTTATCAAACAATATTGTCCCAAAAGTTAGAACATTTCTATTTAAAAAGAAAATCCTGTCTTAAAATCTTTGTTTGTTTTCTTATCCTATGCAGGCCAGTTAATTATACATCAGCTTGTACACCTTAATTCGGCCAATCATATATCAACGGTCATCTGTCAATCAAATTTTTCTGGTCATAGCCTGTTGCAGCTAATATACGCAACAGTTGAAATAAGAAATAAGAATAATTAACTTTACCATTTTCTTTGCACTATTATTTACATACCGTCCCAGTGTTCACTGGGATGGACGTCTGTGTCTTCGGCAGGCGTAGAGCTAACAGAACTGGCAGCGTTGCGAGGCACGGGCTCAAATAGCGGTGTAAATCACACCCATCATGGCGATTCGATTCAGTATCGGTTTCCTGACCGAACCATTCAATTATTTTCGATACTCAAGAATACACCGGAGCACTGGAGGGAGAATTACGTCCAGGAGCAAATGGATAAAAATAGACCGGAGGGGGAAAAAAAACATGAATCGATTCTCTTGCGGACGTGTCGATACATCGGATCGTCGGCTGTTGGATCGATGCATCGATACAAAACGATTATTATTTACACCCCTAGGCTCAAACATGTATGGCTGTAAGCCTTCTATACCAAACCAAGCTTCTGCCACCCTGGTGTCCTCTTCCATAACATCTTCATTCCATCTTTCCTCCTCTAAATAAAAAATGTATGACAGAGGAGACTCATCCACGACCTCTAACAAAAAAAACTCTCCTCCTCCTGCATGTTTCCTCTGTCCATAGGGTTCCTTGACAGTATCGTTTCTAAGTCCTACTTGGTCCCAATGTCATTTACCATTGGGAACCTACTAGCACTAAGTTGCTAACTGGTTAGCAAGATGGTTCTGAGACACCGGCCACAACCAAACTTGCTTGCAAACCTTCTGCCATAACAATCCCGCCCCCTTGATAATCGACAAATCTCATTCACTTTATTCACTTGTGTAAAGTTATGTACCACCACTCGGGAGAATTCGGAAATGCAACAGTTGGAACAGCCGATTCCCTTTACACATTCCCAATTCACTTTAATGCTCTGAACTTCCATATCAATGTGTTTTTTTGCACCAGGTTTTTTTTCTCCCACACAGTTTACATTTGATCACTGCTGCACTTTAAGAAATGGAAATGTCATGAGTGCTGTACAATACGAAGTTTTGTATTCACTCTGTGTATACAAGATGACAATAAAAGTTGTCAAAGCCTAAGTTTTGTGGGGAAGCGACACTCTCAGTGTCATACCTGCTTTATTAATGATTTTTTTGTTGTATACATTTCCAACAAGCTGGCCATCCATCATAATCTTTTACAACATGAATGGTTGGTTGTTCTTTTTTATCTGAAGGATATTCAGAGATGGGTATTTTATGGGTTTCCAATCACCCTATCAAGTTGCAAACTTAATTTAATCTGATTGAGCCAGTGGTGAAATTAAATATTAAATATCAGACACCTTTTTTTGATTAAAATCTATATAGTGTTTTGGAATATTTGTTTTGTTGTTCTTTTTTCAACTTTTGTGTGAAGCCGTTGCTTCTTTAATTAATGAAGAATTTTCATTGCAGCTCTGCTGATCGATGTCCTGCTTTCTGATTCAAACTTCTGTTTTCATCCTTATTTTTTTGTCTATTTTTAGATGAACACATTAAAGTTGGCACTGGAAGGGGTTGAGAAAGAGCGGGACTACTACTTCAGCAAGCTGCGAGAAGTGGAGATGCTGTGCCAGGAACAGGGGGAAGAAAACGGTCCGTTTGTCGAGCGGCTAATGGAGGTCCTCTATGCTTCAGACGAACAGGTCAGCTTCAGTGTAGACCACTTTGTTTTACTGTTTTAACATGTTTTTTCCTGTAAATAGGTGGTTCATACCGTCTTGAAAAGTCTGGAAAACTATGGAATTTTATGTGTATGTTTTCCAGGCTTTGAACGGTTTGGCTAAAAGAAATTGTTTATCTCTAAAGGGCGAAAATCTGCTTAGGCTTAAGGCATGGGATTTTTATTAGGATGATATATATTTATTATATATATATATAAAAATCATTTTATTTTTAAATGATGTGATTAATTCTTTAATTTGTCATATCACACCGTGATTAACATTTTATCCAACCTTATTTTGTTTTTGATTTCCCAGCTAAATGCAAAATCATTAAGAAAAAAAATCCCCTGAAAAATGCTTTTTTGAACATAAGAGAACCTTAGATTCAGGTTGGATTGGACCTGCAGTCTTTAAAATAAGTAAAATTTGCATTCAGAAAATGCTTTTCAAATGTGATTTCCAATTGTTTTATTGAAATATTGAAATGTCTATTTCATCTCTTTACTGTCTTTAGATTTTTATACCATATTTGAAATCTGACCATAATCAAAAGTGATAGTCATTCTTCTCTTACCACAAAATTACTTTTTTTTACTAATGCTTTAAAAATGGCTAAAAAGTAGGGATCTGGGGCGAATCTGGCCTGTGGTCCTTACCTGCCATTCTCTCCCCCTCTCTCATATCCCCTTTCCTGTCAGCTTACTGTCCACAAAACGGGCCACTAGTGCTGTAGAAACTTTCAAAAAAAAAAGTAGGGATCTAAAAATCTGAGTTTAGAGAAATATGGAAATCCAAATAACAAGTTGAAATCGTTTTTTTAGGATGCTCCTTCTTGGGAGGTAAAAAATCTGATAACGTTTTCGTCCTTTTTGATGAGATAAGTCGCATGAGGTTGCGTCAAACAGTTATTCAGCTTCAGCATCTCCTTTTTTAGGATCGGGTGGAGCTGGCTGAGGGTGATGGGCAGGAAGTGGACCAGCAAGCCCTTGAGGGAACATCACAAGATCCGCAAGAAGAACAAGACGAATACTGAATGCCATCGTCCCCCACCGCAATCAAAAACTCCTCTTTTTATTATGTGAGAACTGTCAAAGATTTTTTTTATTTCTCCTCGCTGTTTATTTCTGTTGTTCTCTCCAAGAATGAGCACATGAAGCAACCTTCTGGATAAAAGTACCATGACAGGGTTTTGAATTTTCAGTTTTTGTTTCTCTGCTCACTGTTCTGTGTTTCTGTGACTCTTTTGTGAACTTTTGTGGCAGGTCTGCGCCCATGACCTCCGCTAGCAGACAAGCTCAGACCATCACAGAAATTTTCACAGACTGTGTGGGTGGAAAATCCTTTCAATTCCTGCAGTAGATGTGATAATATGCTGAAGTTTAAGCAGGTAAACTCTACCTGTCATTACAAGTGTTGAACTCTATTTTACTTTTTTTATTTCGGTGTCATTCTGCATATCAATATTAACCACAAGAATGCAATAAGCAAAGCCCTGGAAGGGCTCGTAGTAGCTCTTATTTAACCTTCTCCCATTTGTTGCACTGACATTGACTCTGTTCTGGACAATCTGTCCTTAGATTCTCACCGTATTTATTATTATTATTAAGCCTTAGAAAGAGCAAAACTCTGCATTGCATCCTCATGAAGGAGGGCTATTCTGTTACAGAGTTATGAATAAAATGTAGTAAAATGCCAACTTGTGACTGTTTGACACGACAGCTGTCCTCACAATTACAAGATTTCAGATAATCCGTGTGTGGAACGATGTTTTATTGGAGCAGAACAGCTAGAACCTGACTAGCATTAGTCTTATGATAAAGCAGCCTCTTTTTTAGGTTCTCAATCTCAGCGCTCAGTTTGTGTTTTTAGAGTTTTTCTTTTTTAAACCACAGGTCTTAGAGAGATGAGTCAGTTCACTGAGCAGGTTGCCTCATTATATTCCAGTTAGTACATTGTGTACCCTTTCTTAATATTGTATTTACTAATATTGAGCTGAGCAGCACACATGATGCTTTAGTTATATACTATTGTGTAAATGAAAAAGGAATGTAAACATGTACTGTCAATAATTAATGAATGGTTAAATGTTTTTTGTTTTTTTCTTCTTCCATGTCCCATTCGTTATGCATTCCCCCAGAAATGTGTTGCATGTTTGCATTTTATTTGTGAATAACTTGACCTGCTTTTTACATATTTAATAAAAAACAGATATGTTAAGTCAGCTTTTGTATGTTGAACTTGCTGTCTGAAAGATATAACAATTTGAGTGGATGTGCTGTAATAAAATTACATTTTGAGTCCACAGAAGAGGTGTCCTGTAGCTTTAAACAGAACGTGACATTACTCACAGCTGCAATCACTGTATTTTGCAGACTAAAGATTGAACCGAAGCTGCAGCCACTAAATTTTTTTTGAAAAATTGGAAACGTACATATATAGGCTGCACCGACCTAAGCTGCTAAGCTGCTGATATCTACTGTACGGTCTCCTACTAAACCTGTAGGGGGAGCTCTACATATAGCCCCTAGAGTAGGGACAAAGGATAATGCTAGCTCTGATAAGCTTGTTGGCTAGCAGCAGTAAGATGTTCTACTGAAAGATGGGGCTTTGTTTTGTTGGCTCTTTATTTCAGCTGTGCTGGAGTTGAGCTCAGTTACTTCATTGCTTTGACAGCTTTAATGTGGCAAATGTAAAAAATGGTTAATTGGGGATATTTGTTCTCCGTTGTGCCAGCTGCTAGCATGTTCTTGTGGTATAAATGAAAATTAGCCCTTATTCTTTCATTTCCATTTTTGACTTCCCCTTCTGGCGGTTAGGAAAAATCCACAGAAAAGCAGCACCTTCTTATAAGCCGCATAGTTTTAAGCGCGGGCAAAAAAAAAAAAAAGTACCTTATAGTACAGAAAATATGGTATTTACTGTATTCGTTTGATCTGAGTCTTTTACCCTTTAAATCTTTCCATATTTTATAATTTAAACCAAAATTACCTTTATATTTTTTTGGAGTGTTATGTCATAGCAGGCTTGGACTGGGAACGATTTTCAGCTTTGGCATTTTTCTATCTACACCGGCCCGCTTACTGCCAGATTGGGAAACATCCCAACCTGGCAACAATGCACGTAAGGCGAGAAACGTTAGCCTTTATATGCGAAACCCCATAATGCACCGCAACATATTTTTGAAAAATATTCATTTCACATAAATTCGCCAAATATAATAGGAACATCGTAGTTTGGTTTAAAGAAAGCATTTTAGATTTATTATTATTTAGTTTGTTGCAACGATTTTACAGTTTGAAGAAATAAAAAATTACAGCATACGCCAACTGTCACAAGCATGTGCATGACAAGGAAGGGCTATGCATGCATCATATAGGTAGTTAACATTGTATTACTTGTTGAGCTTCTTGAGTTTATTTACTGTCACAAGTAGGTACTTCGGACAGAGAGTAAATGTCGGGGCCGGTATGATTTAAGGAGGGCCGGCCCTCGCATGCTGAAAGTAGGACCGGCCCACCAGGCAAATCCCCAGTATCACAGATTACCAGTCCAAGCCTCTGTGATAGAACTGTACAAGGTAAGAGACTTGCTATGAGAGCAAAATGGCACTCTTCGTCATCGCCTTGTTCTAAAGTGGCATCTAAACAGCAAAATATGTAGGTGGCACCATCATGCAATGTAGAAGCTCATCACCACTGGTGTAAAGATAGATGAAGCTAAATGCTATTAAAAAAACAAACATTTAAGAGCCTGGGGTGGAGTTTCTCCCTTCAACTGCACAGCTGATGGAAGGGTTTCTATGAAAGCATAGTTGTGTTTGTTTAAAATTGGCCCAGTTTAACTCCAGACCTAAACATATTTACTTTACCTATAATGTCACTCCGATGGAAAATCACATCAACAATAAAGTAAAAAGTCTCATGGAACCATGCAGATAAACACCTGGAAAAGAAAAATAGAAATAAATGATAAGACTTTAAAGTAGGGGGGAAAAAAATAGAAACATTTTACTCTGCACAGTAATCAGTCATTAAGACAAATCATTGTGAAAATATGGAAAGAAGTGTGCAACTGACAATGAAGATTTAAAAGATATATGCAACATGTCTATATGTATAACAAACACCAACTGTCTACAAGAACGGAAAAGACTCCAAAAACAGCAGTGATGCACATACGTTGACTTTGCTGGAAGCAGTTATGGTTAATTATCTTTGATTTGCATAAATAATTCAAAAAAATACCTGGAAACAAAATGTGAAAAAAGATGATTGTCTAGGTGTTCAAAGCAGGACGACATACCTAAAAAAATAAATAAATAACTTGCAGAGGCAACTGCAGCAGAAAATGGTTACAGTACTGACTTAGTTGTGCTGACCATGAACCTGTGTGACTTCTGAAATGTTTAAAAAAGAATAAAATGTTAAAACCATGTGGGCTTTATATGTGAAATGATGAAATAATGTAAAATAACTCCTCCCAGTAGGAACAAAAAGCAAAACATTGACTTAATGTGCTCTAATAATTAATGCATTATAATAAATAGGTTACTAGACTGAACTGTTATTAAATGGAGGAAAAAAAATCACATCATTAGAAATATTCTGTTTATCTAATAGAGTAAAGAAAGTTGAAGTTTTATTTTTCAGAATAAAATCTTATTCTAAGAAAATAATTAATAAAAGCTACATCTTAAATCAATTTACTATTAAGCTACAGTAAACAGACCACCTTTGGATTAACCAGGACCTGGTTGTGCAACTCAAGAAGACTCCGCCCGCGTCCGGGACACGCTGCCCATAAATGAAACACTTTTATTAGCCGTTGAGCTAACGGAGCAACTAAACTTTTCTGTTAGCTTCTTCCGCACACCTGTCAGGCTGCAAACACCAGGAACTGTTTACAAATATGCTATAGAATCACGATACGAAAAGACGTGTATAGAAACAACATTTCTACGCTGCAGGTCTACAGTATTCTGCTACCATGTCTTCTAGGAAGGTAAGAAGAATGCTAACTAGCTTGGTAGCCGAGCTTCACTTGCTTTAGCAACCGGCTTCTCTTGACACGTTAGAGGAGTTTACCTGCCTGCCAAGTAGTAAAAACACATTTAGTATTTAGTTATTAATAAAACTATTCATTAAATATTGAAAACACAAAGTAAGTTCATAAATAAGTTGTGTATTGTCAGCTATGTCGTTTAATCTCTGTCTATCTTTGCCAGCGTAAAAGGTTGTCCTCCAAAGACATGAAGTGTCTCTCCTTTCCGGATGCTGTTGAAAGTGCTCCCCAGAGAAGAGAGAGGAAAACTGCATCACTCTTATCCGCCAGGAGCTGGGCAACCTGTGGGGACAGTTTTTTGGACAGCCCGGTGACAAATCTTCCCACCAATCCATTAACTAGACTATTTTCCCTTATTAGCAATTATTGTTATCTAACTGTCTGTCCCTGTGGTTTTTATACTTTTGTTGCAGAGCTTAAAGTCTTCAGGGAAAAAGCTGTCTGTTGTGAGGAAGTTGGCACAGGGACCTGCTTTAGGTAATGCATCCAAGAATCCACAGCTTTTGCTCTGACATGGGCGGTTCTAGACAGGGGCCAGCAGGGGCCAGTGACCCCGTAGAACTGGTCCTGGCCCCTGTGCTGAAAACATCCATCCATCCATTTTCTTACACGCTTAAATACCAAATGGGGTCGCGAGGGGTGCTGGTGACTATCTCCAGCTGTCTACGGGCGAGAGTGCTGAAAACATGCAGTGCAAAAATTAAAAGGTACATAAGTCAACTGGAGAAACTGTATTTGCCATTTGCAGGGCTGCCAACTTTTCACCAAACCTTGGGGTTAAATTTTGTAATAGTTTGGACAGGAAACCCTGTGAGGCTTCGATCAAAAGGCTGAGTATAGGTGCAGCTTTAGGTTGGAGGTTTTCAGAGTATTCAACTGAAACTAAGCGGCAAAATATTTATAGCACAGTAAATGTTGCTGAACAACAAGTGATCCATGGTTATGTGGAAAAATTTTCTTACAATATATATTATATTCTAGTGATTTTTAGAGAATTGAAGTAAAGAAGTATAGGCCCCCACTAAAATACTTGCATCTTAAATATACTGTAAACTAAGAATTTCACAACCTGCAGTTCAAGTAAAATAAACACTGGGGAACTAATAAGTTATTACTGGATTACTGACACTAATACAAAAACCAGTGGAATCGAAAATCATTCAAACTACACTGTGTATGAATATTTGGTAATAGGCTAAGGATTAAAAATCTTCATTCATTAGTTTTTCTTACAATTGACAAAACAGCTAAAGAATTCAGACCTTCCAGGAGACTGTAGATTTTATAAAAACTCAGTGACACAAGCATTTCTGTGGATGTTTCGTTTGGAAAATGTGATGGAAATTAAGTAAACATATTCAATGGACCAAAATAAGGATACATTAATAAGATACGAAATAATAAAATGAGAACATCCCTCTGGTTCCTCCTCTATGAGTCCTGGATAAGTGAGTTGTTCAGCACATCCACTCTGAATGTGGTTGGTCTTTTCGCTGGTGACTGATCTTTTAAAAAATAAAATGTGAAGGTTCTTTTTTCTTTTTGTAGAGCTTCTATGGGTTTGAGAGGCAAACTTGAAAGCTTTAAGAAAATATTTGTGTTGGTTTAATTATTCCTAAATTCCAACGGGAGACTATCAAACTAGAATGAGCAATAATTATTTAACTTGTGAGCAAAAAAAAAAAAGCACCAGTTAAAGAGAGAAAAAACAATTTGATGTCCACCATGGTATTTTTATACATAAATAAGTGGAACAAAGTTGAGTTTTAATGTCTGTCATTTTTTTGTGTGAGAAATTGGGAATATAGAGTGAGAGTGTGTGAAGACGCTGATATGGATGAGTCTCACTCCCAATGGGTGAGAGTTGACAGCCTTGCATTTGAGCAGGTTAGGTTGACAGTTTACCAACGATATACGATGATTTAAGTTGAAAATATCCATGATGTAAGTAGAACTTAATGATGTTTTAATTATTAAATTTTTTAGAGCATACATACTGATTCCTATGGAAGATCATCTTATTTACCTGCTCGAACTAAAGGGAAATACACTTAAAAAACTACACTACACTAAAAAAATGTAACTTTTACATCAGTTTTTTCAGTGTAGCACTAAATCCCTTTCTTAAAATCGTTATGCCCTGACATAGAAAGTCATTACTGATGTGTCCCTTTTGACCAACTGAATATTTTTATTTTGCAGTTTACTTGAACAAATATTTTTAAACCTGCAGTTAACTTTTAGCAACATCTTATCAAGATTAGATCACAGTTTTCATCTCTTGAAAACTTAATGATGTACTCTTGCCCTGTTTGTTTTTTGTGTGTTATTCTTTTTGTTCTGTGCCCCTGTAAAATAAACCCTGGCCCCTCTCCTTAATACATTATACATTATAATATGGAATTAAAACATATAATACATTACAAATCCCATTTAAAAACAAACAAGTGCCAATAACCCATGTTTGGTAGACAGAACAACACTGAACTGCTCAATAGTAGGTTAGACCTATTGTTAGCATCTCTTTGTAAATTAAACAGTATCAGATCATTATATAGTTTGTTTACTCCATTACTGCTTTCCAGGAAGAAAATTAAGTGTTCTTATAATTAGATGTGAGGGTAAAGGGATTTGACATGTCTATTGGGAACATGATGGTTTATTTCATCCTGTTTAAGGTGAGACACTAATGGGAGCTTTGAAAAGGATTTTTGTTTGGCTCTAGGTTCGACAACCACCAATCCTTTTAATCCGTTAGGAACCAAGTAAGAAACCCTGACATATTGCATAATTCTTGGTCTTACTAGAGTGTATCTAAAGTATCAAAGGTTTTGTCTCATATGTCTGATCAGATATAAATCTGATCAGAATGAAAAAAAATCAGATTCTCTGCCAGTTATTGGTTGTTATTTTGCTGTTTCCTGTATTTTGACTTTTTTTTTTCTATCTTTTTGATTTCCCAGTGCCGAGCAGTTCTTATAGCCTTGATGAGGACCCAGTGGATATCGCCTGGAGCTCTAGTGATACTGAACCATCTGATGATGAGAATCGAGTACAACATCACTCCAAAGCTGTTTCTCAACAGCGAGCACCAGCTCAAAGGCCACGAAGACCGAACACTCTGATTCAGTCCTACTCAGCTGTTCTCAAAATGCTCACTGCTGACAAAGGTAAGCCAAAGAGCTTCTGACCTGTTGGGCAGAAGAATTTTTACACATTTGCATTTCATCTTTTTAGACTGTAGGTGTTTTTCTATTATACTTTAGTCAAGAGAGCCATAGTTGTTTTTGAAAGAATTTTAGAAAGAAAAGTTGTAATGTGTCTCTACTGTCTTCTTTTTGATGGAATTTAGTCTGTAAAACAATCCTGGTTTTAAGGAAAATACGGATGTACCAACCATACACTGTGTTAACTTAAACTGCACAAGATCAGATGTTTTGACCTTCAAATTGCATTCTGCATCACCTTGATGAAGATTTAAGTCTGACAATATTTTTTCTGAACTTAGACATTCAAATCGTCTTTTGACCCATTAAGAGGAGGTAACTTGTTTATGATAACTTTAGCAATAGATGGATGTAATGTAATGATACCAGCTTTGTGCTGAACCAACACAAAGTTGATATGTCATTTTCTAGAAAAAGAAATTACGTTTTTTTTTAAATAATAATAATAATAAACAAACAATAATAATAAAGTCGTGTAATGCGCTCCAACATTACAATTATTTCCCTCGAACTTAATTCATCTTTAACACTTGCTCTAACAGTTTCATCTCATTCTATTTCATTTATTCTAGTTTGAAAGGCTGTTTATAAAATAGCGTAAACTTGTGGAACATGCTGATTACAGCAGTGTGTGGAAACCTTGACTCTCCTTTGAAATCAGCTGACCTTTTTTATCCAAACTAAGCAATCAGCCTTTTAGAAAAGTCTCGGGTTGCTTTGTCAAGCACCATCATGTTAAAAGTAAGATGTTTTTGTTTGCTAATGTTTGTGAATTGTGTACAGAACTATAGCATTTTTACAAAGATTTTTGATTTAATGTTTTGAGAGTTTTAGGCTGCATAATGGTGTTAAATCCACCAGCCTAATTAAAGGTATTGTGGAGGATTTTCACAAAGACCCGCTCTCTGTACTTAGAAAAAAGGTGCACATGCACAACCTTGTACCCGCTTCTGAGAGGGAAGGCCTTTTAAAGTCTTAGGGAAGCGGCAGTTCCAATGGTTGCAGTTCCGAATTCTCCCGAGTGGTGCCCGACTTTACACGAGTGAATAAAGTGAATGTGACTGGTCGATTATCAAAGGGGTGGGATTGTTGTGGTGGAAGATTCACAAGCATTCTGGTTGTGGCCTGTGTCTCAGAAGCATCTTGCTAACCAGTTAGCCACTTAGTGCTAGTAGGTTCCCAATGGGAAATTACATTGGGACCAAGTAGGACTTAGCTACGACACTGTCAAGGAACGCTATGGACAGCGGAAACATGCAACAGGAGGAGAGTTTTTGTGTCGGAGGTAGTGGGTGAGTCTCCTTCGTCATACATTTTTTATTTAGAGGAGGAAAGCGGGGACAAAGTTGTTGTGGAAGAGGACGCCACAACAACTCCTGTCTTAAAACCTGTCTTAAGAACACAGATTTTAAGACAGGATTTATTTTTTTAAATAGAATTTTCTTAAATTTCGGGAGATTATGGTCAGATAAAGAGTACATTTATATACATGTTTAAGCCAGAATGATTTGACAATTAAATATGACTTCCCTACGAGTTTAAACACGTGCGACAGCATGCACAAGCCCATTTCTCCTCTTACACAAGCCCATTTCTCCTCTCCTCTTGCTCGGTTTAAAAGTTGCTGTTCTCATAAGTCATACAAACTTACTGTCCGCCCTAATCGCTTAATCACTATATAGAGCAGGGACTGTATAGTGGAATTTATAGTGAACTCAGTTAACTGACCGTTCGGACAGATGATCACTGCTTTTTGCTGCCCGTAGATCATGTAACTCCTCCTCCACTGCACAGTGCCTGCACCATTTTTATATCTAGTCGCTGCTGTCGACAGCCCATGGTGAGAGCGAGCCGCTGTGACAGCAAATCCCATAATGCTTGGCGAGGAGAGCTCTCCACGCTAAGTATTCTGGGATATATTCGCCTCTTCTGAGGCCTTTCTTTTCTTCTCATACACTTCGTAGATAGTTTTTCTCTCACAAATCTCGGCCATTTTCAAAAATCAGCAGCGAGAAAGGTGAGCTTCAATGACTGTCTGACACCGTAACTCACCACTCATATATGTCTGAAAGTGCACATGCGCAGAAAAACATTACCTGGGGACGAGCACGTAGGATGGCATTACGTAAACATGTCACCAGGATGATTGTCGATTAGGAGAACCACTTATTTAGATGATCCACTTAGAAAAAGAAAATCCTCCACTATACCTTTAATCTTTAAATAATCTCTTTTGTAAAAAGTGGCAATAAAGAATTTTTAGAAAGTAATCTAATTTCTTTGCTCATATTTTCTCTTTTATCATGACTTTGCAGATTGAAGCAAGCCCACACCACAGCTAGTTTGGATCCATAGTTTTATGCAATACTTTGCAAAGCAGTCATGCAATAACTACAAATTTCACTTTTTTTGCGTGTTATATTATAAACCAACACAAAGTAGTGCATAATTGTAAAATGGTTGGAAAAAATGTTTGTTTTTTAACAAAAAATCAAAAGCATTGTTTGCATATGTATTCCTTTTTCCTTTAATACATTAAGAATGAACAGAACAAGTGAATGGGATGGACCAGTGTGTAATTTAATGCTGTGGGAATCCAGTTCTTCAGAGACATAATGAAGATATGGTTAGAGGATGGATGGATGCAATAACTTGAAAATACTGAAATATAGCCTTCCCTTCAAAAGAAAGTCCAGCAGTGACAGAGCTGCTGTATGGATCAGAGCATATTCCTGGTTTGAAATGGAGCGTTCAAAGTCCAGACATATATCCACCTTTGAATGTATGGCAATAATCTAAAATTGCTCAAAAGACGCTCTCTGCCCAACCCAAACAAGCTTCACTTATTTAGCAAAAAGGAATGGGGATAGATTTGGTTTTCTATGTGAGCAAAGCTGGTAGAAACATGCATCTCTGAGACTTCTGTTGTAAAGTACTTCACACATTTTACATTTTAGAAATAAAAAAAAGTGAAAAAAGAGAACTGGTTATTACTTTCCTAAGTTTTCAAATTCTGTATAACTTTGTCTGGGTCTCTGGCATAAAATTCCCATTAAATATAATTTTAGTTCTTCTTTCTGGGTTTACTTTTTGCTATCCTCCAACAGGTTTTTAAATATCAGCTGGTCTGTACACTCCAGTTATTGTAATTCTAAAAAAAATATCTTCACTATGAAAACAAATTTTTTGACTTCAATAAACATGTAATCCTTTCTACACGATCATAGCTGCATTACATATCATAGCTTAGGAAATATAATGATGAAATAAGGAGCTATTCTTTGTACCAGGCAAGGTAAAAAGTATGTAAATGCTGCATCTTCTTAATGAAAATTCTTTTTTTTCCTTGGTTTGTTTATTTATGCAGGCAGCAGTCTTTCTAGAACTTTCTGTCATCTAGCTGATTTACTGAATAAATTGCTGATCCTTGATAATAGCAGAAGGATTGTCTCTGTGTCTACTAATAAAGATTTTTAATACTGTTTGCAGCTTTGTAAAAAGTTAGCTCTTTCTTTTTGTCTCTGCAGATGATCTTCCTGCTATAGAAACAGACAGCGATCCGGATCAGTCCCAGGAAGATGCTGAACAGGACGGCGGGCAGCACATTTCAGACTGTGGGTCGGACTCTCCTGATGAAAACCCCCTTCTTTGTCCTCTCAGTTCTGAACATGTGAGGTTATTACACATCAGAATTAACTATAAAATAACTATTAAATAACTATATATATATATATATATATATATATATATATATATATATATATATATATATATATATATATATATATATATATATATATATATATATATATATATATATATATATATACATATATATATATATAAGGCTCACAGGTTCACACTATTTGGGAAAGTAAAGCACTATTTTTGATGGGCGAGATTTGATCACTTTAAAATTTGTCGTTTGTGCAAAAGGACACTAGATGGAGCTAACAGCCTGCTTTAGCTTCCTCTAGCTGTTTTTAGTCACAGAGTCATCCCCAACAACAACAGGACTTATGTGAGTATATGTTTTTGCATCCTGATGTATAATAGAGCACATAAGGGAACTGAATGCATATCCTTTGCTGTTACATATTATGACAGATTGTATTGAGCTTTACTGGCAGATAAAGAGTAAAATGCTGTAAATTTCAAAGTAAAAGAGTTAAATTTCCTGTTCTGGTTCAGGTGAAGTTTTTATGTCAGTCCTGTTTTGTTGGCTTTCTTTCGTGGCGATTGTTCCGTTGTGACACCACTAGGTGGAGTCTTATGTTCTTATTAGAGGACCATGAGGCTACAGTGTTAACTTTATAGCCCAGGTTATAATGTGTCAAAGTTTAACAGCTGAGGTAGCAAGAAAAGAAAAAAAAATCTTGCTTGGAGGGAGTATATTTTCTAACCATACAATCATTCAAATGAGTTATTTGTATAAATGTTTAAAAATCTAAAAGTCAAAGATTCATATGATTAAAATGCTGCTATCTATTTAAAGAAGCGCTAAACCTTAAGCTGCTCGCCCTTAAAAAAAGTCTGCGTTATGTTAGGTTACCCTTTGATTTAAATAATAAATCATTTTATTATGGTAACACTCTTTGTCAATGCTTTAATGTCACCTCTGATTAATTCCCCTCCGTCAATGCTCTAATGATTGCTTCAAGTCTAATTAATAAGAAGTTTTCTCTCTGTGCCCAAATTATTATTTCTTTTTAAGCAAAAACATTTAAGTTTTACCAAAGTCCCTCTTTGTAAGATTGAAGATTTGAGCTGATTTGTTTTTTCTCAGAAATCATTCACAGGAGATGTTTGTTAAAGGCAGGGCTGGCATGAAGGGAATTTACAAGGAGTGGACATGGTTCAGACTCAGGTTTAAGCAAACACTCACCTATTGATGGTTCAACCTGATCTAATTTTAGCCTTTACTTATATTTAGTTTGGAACATTTTGGTTGATTACTTCCTTTTCGTAGTTAGTTTAATTACGTTTATTTTTTTATGTTTTATCAGCGATTGCTGGATTAGCTGCTTTAGGCCTGTTGACAATAAATAAATGAACTCATGCACCCCTGTAACTTGTGCTAATTTTTTTAGTCTGTAGGCTGCATGTTAAGAGGAAGCCGTCAACAGATTAACATCGCTCCCGCAGACCTTAGCTACTTCCTCTCGTCACAATTTTCGTTTGCTGCTATCAGCTTTACGGGGTCAAAAAGATCACCTCACAGGAGGTTTGTGGTCAGAGCATGGACTCTTTAAGGTTCTAGTTATTCATATGTAGACCCTTTTTAAGTGTGTATATTAAACCGTTTTAGCATGTTTAACAAATGGAAAATGTATATTGATTTAATTTGCGGCACAATTATGAACAAACTGACCTGCAATTTTTTTAAGATAGAATTCCTTGTGCATTAAAAATTAGAAAATCAAGCTGGATCCGACAGGAAACAGAGAGGGAAGATCCTAATACAGGACAAAGTTGATGGCTCTTAGTGGCTGTGTTCGCCGGTCACACTTGTTGCTATTGTATTTGCCGCTGAAAGCAGACAAGCGGAGCCAGGCAGGAGACTTGGCATGTGAAGGGAATTTTACAAGGGAGGCCGCTTCCCAGATTAAGCTTTTTGATGGTTCTGACTCCTAAAACCGCTGCATACAAAGAGGTCAAAATCCTCCCCCTTCCATCCACCCAGAGCATAGGAACTACAAGTGTAGTTTTACTGCTGTTTGTTCTAGTATTTAAAAAAGCCTGCAAGTGGAGCTGTGCACTTACAATGCTTTCAGTGCTGGGTGAAAACATTTTTGAGCTTAGGCCAGGAACATCTTGTTCCTTCTTCCCTGTAGCTGGTTAGAGTGTGACGTCTGCTGGCACTTTGCCCACCAGGGTCAAGTTGATTCAAATAAGAGAACAGATTGGCTGACATTGCCTGGTATGCTGGTCTTGTCTGCACATGACAGGAACTCAGGTGCTTGTGGATTTTTCCATGTGAACAGATTTCCTCAGGTGTGCCAAGCAGTGATGCAGCAAAAAAAAAAAAGAAGTTTGTTTTGTTATCTTCAGGGTTTGTCAGTATTTCAGTGTACCATATCCACCTCTTCTGTATTTGAAGATGTTTTTTGATTTAAGCCCTGCTATCAGCTGAAACATGTCTGTATAAACTGTTTAATGCAGTTCATTTTGCTTTGCTGACTCATGAAGAATTTCACATCCTGTATTCTATTCTTAGATGACAGAGCCAGAGATCTCTGGTTATGTTTCTGATGGAGATGATGTTGGTGGCACGCTCCCATCAAGCAAACTGGACTCTGAGGTCTTTCCTCTCCAAACTGGAGAGGGCAGCAAAAAGTCTGTCCATGACTGGCTAAGATCTGCGCAGGCAATGCTGCAGACACCTCAAAAAACAGTTGAAAGGCAATCCAAGACCCCAGAAGACTCTACCAAAAAGAGAAGGAAGTTTAAAAGGTGTGACTTGTGTGTTTTATTGTTTTATAGGGTATTCTAAAATGTGAATATGACTCTGATGTGATTTCTGTCAGACTCAGTTTGATGTCTCTAAAAGTTTGAAGAATCTAAACTATTCACAAACTGGAAGAAATATTGGTTAGAATTTTTTTTCATGTTTTGTCTCCTTGCAGCCACAGACTTTTGTGTTGCTGTGGGAATTATGTAACAAACACAAAGCACCATTGTGAAGTGAAAGAAATCTAAAACTTTTTTTTTCTTCTTTTTTCTTTGCCATTATATCTTCAGGTCTTTGGGGCATGTCTCTATCAGCCTTGCATGTCTAATGACAAAACCTTTAGCCTGTTCCCCTTAGCATAGATTGTATTAATGATTTCTTTAAATGGGAGTTTTTAGGTTTTGCTCCAGTTTCTTAATTTTTATCTTTAATTTTATCTTGACTTTGACAAGCCTAAACCAACAGACCAATACAGGCTGATCTAAACCATTCCACCATGTATTTTTAGTTTTTTTTTTCTGCAGAAAGGTAATCCTTTTGAACAGCAATGTGAAGCTTTTTCACACTAGAACTGGTTTTCTCCTAGGATTGCCCATTATTTAGGTCCATCCGTCGCCCAATCAGTTATGACTCGCTTTCCTGTTCCAGTTGAAGTGAAGAACCCCCGCAGCACAGCTGTGTTTCATGGCGGGCATAGTGTATACGCAGTGCTACACATACCTTTCTCTAGGTCTCTAGGTCAAAGATTTTCTGTCTTTTTTATGGCTTGTGGTTAAAGGCAAAATACAGATTTCCTTATTACCTTTACAATGGCTTTCTGCTTACCATTCTTTATTTTAGAAAGCAGACTTGTGAAGCTTTTCCTTTTTTTTTTTTGATCAGTTATCAAAGAATTCCTTCATCTTAGGTGTGGATCTCTGCTGTTCCTCCAGAGTAAATATGAGCCTCTTGGCTGCTTCTGGGTTTAAAGCTCTGCCCTTCCAGCCTGTCGGGTTTGGGTGACCTCTGACCTGTCTGTGATGACTTCATTTATACTAAACTCTTGAAGCCCTCACATAGCCACTATATTATCTGCTCACTTTAGATTGACTGCAGATTTACTCTGATTGCTTGTTAGATTTCTGAAGGCAAGTGGTTAGAACGGTTTTTAAGAAAGTAAAAGTAAAGAGGGCTTAATGCAAAGGAAGTCACATGTTTTGATTTTAATATTGAGGGGAAAAACTTTAAACCACTATCTACCTTCTGCTTCACAGTTATGAGCTGTTTGTTTTGATTTAACTCGTATAATCAACAGAATATATTAAGGAACTGAAAATAATGATATCACCTTAAACAAAGCCATTTACTGTATAAACTGCTACAGTGTATTGCTTCATGATAGGAACAAGAAAATTCTACAAAGAAAGGCGAGACATGTTGCTTTCTGCCAGGTGAAAGTCAAACTTTGATTGCGATGTTTCCACTGCAGAAGGGATGATGAAAGGGACACCTGGTGTCATCATGTGGGTGCTAAATGTCGTTTAAGCCCTACAATCTGACAGATGGCTATCTGCAGGCTTATTTGCCTACATAAGAAAGGCTTTTATTTAACTTTGAAACAAGCAGATCTACTCTAGCATTGGTTAGGTCATATGTTCTGTGCAAGTTTTATCACATTACATCATCTCCCTATGTGTGTGTGTGTTCCACAGTGGAGGTCTGGCAGAGAGGCTGAACATACTCCAGTGCAGGCAGAGGTCAGCTATCAGTTTCTGGAGGCACAAGTCCATCTCTGAGTCCTCAACAGCAACAACAACAACAGGTGAACCGTGTCAAACAAACCTGCATAGTCAAACAAATCTCATCAGGATCTTGAAGGTGTCTATCTCTTAATAATTTCAGTACTGAACTCTGATTCCTGAGTACAATGAAGTCCGTCACTTTGAATTTTTTAATTTTTTTATGTGAACACTTCTTCTTTTTCCTTCCTCAAATGTGATAATATGGAGGGGCCGCTTGAAGGAAGCACTGCCTGCAGTTTGATTACTGTGACTCTAAGCTGTGAACTCTCTATGTAGGTGACAGGAAACTGCTTGCCTAGTTCATCTTTTTTTTTTTTCCTTTTTCCTTTCCGTGGTATACTAAACCACTAGTGTGTTCAGGTTCTTAAGTACCTCCTCATTTTAGGACACAGGCTTACTCTAAGGTGACAGTTGACTATGGAAAAACAAAACAGCCCCTCGGATACAACTTTGAGTTCGTGGGCAGTCACAGAGGATGAAATATGTGTTGGTTTACTTTTTACCTGACCTCATTTCGAAGCATTATCAGCATTTGATTTAATCTGTTTTTGTGGAGCTTTCACACAGCTGAAGTCACTTGGCTAACAGGACGATTTAGAATATAAACTTCTGCATATAACACTTTCTTTTTTTTTTTTTTTACAGTTTGATCGCTTTCATCTGACTCACTCACTGAGTATTTCATAATTTATTGTGTCTCTATGTAACATAAAGGCTTAGGCACTGTGTCTTGCAGAACTCTTCATGTTCCCTAAACAGTTGGACATTCTTTTTACATTAATACTACTAAAGTTTAAAGTACTTTAGATTTCAAAACAGTACTTCAAGATTTTAATATCTTAAGGAGCACTTATTTTATTTAGTCTTGTATTTTCCTTTGAAAATTGACAGAAAAGTCAACCACCTGTTGAAAGATCAGCTATTAGTGGCGCTTTCCACAGATCTCTGCTGTATTGGAAAGAAGAAACCAGTTTGCTGCAACAATTTTGAAGAAGTTACTCAGAGATTAGAATGAAGCTTTCTAGCCTTCATGAAGCATTCTTTGTGTGACAAAAAATGAGCACTGCATGTTATTCATGGTAAAGCATTGTGATGGCAGCATAATGCTATAGAGCAGAGGTCCTCGATTCCAGTTCTCCGTTGTGTTGCCCCGTTTAGATGTGTCTCACCTTCCACACCTGAATAAATGGCTAAATTACTTAGTTTCAGTCAGGTTCTCCAGAGTCCTGCTGATGACCTGATTATTTTACACAGAAAATAAACACACAGTGAAAAAGCAGAGACACAGCTATAAGAAGCAGGAAACCCCCTGGACTGGAATTGAGGATGCCTGCTGTAGGGAGTTCAGCAGTGATGGGAAATCACGGGTGTGTTCGAATTCGGTGGTTGTGTCCACTGAAGAACTCAGTCCAGGTATACCGGATCCACCAAAGGCTATAGATTCGAACAGGTCCAGCCTTCTACGGCTGTCACCGCCACTAGCTCAGAGTAAGCCCTGTCGCTCAATAACAATGTAAGTTGATGCACAAAGCAGGCAAAGAATCAATACAGAACTTCTAACTCCTGTTCTGTGTGCACATTTAATTTTCGAGAAGCATCTGCAGAGGTACCAAACCTATTTGGCTGACAAAGACATAAAACCTTTCAATAAACCAATATTACCTGCGACATATCTCACTCACCACCCATTTAAATGAACAATTTTCACCAATTTCAGACAAAAATATGCACATATTTGCACTTCCACTATTATCACCAATGTTCGTTGCATTTTCCATTTGAGGATGGAGCAGCCGCTTTGCTTGGAATTGCAATAATTCATGGGATACCTTAGGCTAGGAAGGATATAACCAGATCTGTCCTTTCAACTGCACTGCATTTGTCCGCCGCATACAAAGTAGTTTTCAAATCCAAACAGGGCACGGCACCACACTGCGACGTAATTGGCCGACAAATGTGGTCTTAATGGCAGGATTCGAAGAAACCGCTAATCAGAGTTGATTTAAAGAGGAGCCAAGTAAAGTGCATTTCTGGAAAAAAAACTGTTTGGAGGGAAAAGAAATACTGAGAATGAGGCAAAGTTCTGAATACCAGCCCCACTCCTGGGGACTGACCCTCTGGGTCCCTAAGCAAAAGAGCCTTAACCCCACACTGCTCCTCAGGCGTCGCACAATGGCAGCCCACTGCTCCCCAAGGGGATGGGTTAAATGCAGAGGGTTAATTTCGTTGCTCTTTACTTGTGACAGTGTAATGACAATAAAAGCTGGGGGAAAAAAAAAATAAATATATATATATATATATATATATATATATATATATATATATATATATATCAAATCACTTTGCTGTGTTTGAATGACGTAGCCAAGGTAGAGATCTTAATCCAGTTGGGATAGTGTTACCTAAAACGTGAAAATGGATGATCCCCATCCACTTCCACAGAGAATGGCTAATATAAATCAGTTTAAAAGCTTTAAAAACCTTTGGTCTAAGAACAGTGACTCTTCTGGAAAATCTTGTCATTTTAAACCTAGCTTTAGTGTTAATATGTACAGTATTTGTCCTGTTAGGGAAGGTGCGTGTAAAAAAGTAACTGCAGTTGCTGCAGCAGTCTCTCTGGTGTGATTTATGACTATTATTTTAAATTCCCCCTCTGGCCATTAGCATATCCACACAATGCAATGTTCTGCTACCCCCTCCCTCTGCCGTTAGTTTTTTTTTTTTTTTTACTTGGAGCTGTCAAGTTTACAGACATTTGCTTTCTTATCTTAGTTTGACTTATTGCATGCCTGTAGGGCTTTACCACAGTTTGCCCCACCTGTTTATCTCTCTACACTCTCTCAATTTAGGCTAAAACACACAAAGCAATGTGGTAAAATACCAAATATATTTACACCAACTCCTTCTGGGATTTTCTGTTTCTTTTCCAATTCAACCAGTTATGAAGTGCAGATTTTTCTTATTCTGAATGCAAATTCTTGTTGTAAAACCTAATTGAATCCCGCAGGAGCAGGAGACTCAGAGAGCCTTGGTACACTCTGTACACAGATACACACACCACCTAACATTCACTCAACATCTGTGTTTTTGTTGCTGTGCTCTCCAGTGGACCGGCCTGGTGTGCTTGTGCTCGAGGTGCTGGAGGTCCATGAAGAGTGTAGCATGCAACTGGCCCACTGTGAGCCCCCCAGAGATGGCCACCAGTATGGAAACGCCGTCTCCGGGGAAACGACTCGGATGTTGGTGTTATTCAACAGAGAGACAGCAGCTCAGCTGATTCCTGCACCAGGAGATGTCATCCACATATTCCCTCCTTGGTGAGAGTTAACACCATAAAGTCACGTCTATCTATTGTTTGGGCTTTGCTATTTAAAACATCAGCAGTTTCACATTTTGCAGTGTCAACTGTGAATGTTGAAATGTGCTGAGTGCCCAAATGTGAATAATCGAGCGTAATCTGTCTTTGCAGGAGTGTTGTTATTCTCAAATGATTTTTAATAACTAAACTTGACAGTTTTTCTTTGATCTAATAGACTTTTAAGACAAAGCTCATTAAATAGATACTTAGCTTTGCTTTGTTTGATTTTTCCCTCTTTTCACACACTCTTTCCTTTCTATCTCCCTTTCACACACTCTTTCTCTCTCCCCTTAATTCTTATCCCCTCTATCTTCCTCACCTCCATCATTTCCATCTCCATTGTATACAATCTTTCTCCCTAAATCATTTTCAATAGTTTCATATTCAAGTACCAAGTGGAACCTTAGGGCAACAGTCATGGTCTGCTTGTAAAAGCAAAGCTGTTGGGCTATCATCTAGCTCTGGGACAACTATTACCATAACAGGCAAAACAGGACACAAAAAAGAGAGAAAATATTAAAAGGCAAAATAAAACACAGTTCAAACGAGGGCTGCAAGTTATTTTGAAAATTTGACATATTTAATCAATTTATTTTTTCTTTTCCAATACCAGAGAGGCACCACTTCTTAATTCTTCCATTTTGTTCAAATTAATTTATTATTTGTGGGCAAAAAGATCAGGTTAAGTTCATCCAAGAGAAAGCTTGACTTAAATATGTGACATTTAAACTATTTGACTGTAACAAAAAGACCCAGGTTCAAAGCCTGGCTGCAGCAGGAAGGGAAGCTAGAAGTAAATGGGCTCTTAAATCTGAAACCATGAACATAGTGGCACTTTGTACCCAAACATGAACATTTTTGCGGTTACAGCAGAAGAAATTCAACATACAATCGTAATATTAGTTTAAAAAAAAATTAGCATGACCCTTAATGGCCATATTTCTGCAGCTGCTGCTATGCCCTGGGCTTTCTTCTTTGCTCTATTGCAGCTGAATTTCTAGAATGTGTTCCGGATGCAGGTTGGGGGACAATGCTTGTTCTATTTCATCCCTACTGACCGCCAGAGGCGGTGCTTCAAGCACTGAATGATCATTCTTGCGCATGCGCAGGTCGAGTATTAATGACAACAAAGTCAGCTGTGACCTGCCGGGGACCCACGTGACTCTATATAGTCACGTGGCACCCGGCAATCAATCCCTTTTGTTCTTCTCGCGCGCAGGTGTGTTGAGTACCGGAGTGTGGTCGTGTGAAGCTGGTTGCTTCTGTGTATACCACTAGTTTCCTGGCTGCTTGTTGCTGGTAGCCCCGTGACCGGGTTTGGTCGGAGCTGCGGGTAAGTCTCGCCCTCCAGGGGCTGCACAAGCTGCTTTCACCTTACCAGATCTGCGGTGACTGGTAAGTTTTCGTTCTTTTCGTTCTTTTCTCAGCAGTAGTTTACTGTTCGCTTTGATTTGCCACGTTAATTTTGTGGCTCTTTTGACTCACGGTAGCGTTTCTGCTCGCGCTGAGTTGTTTTCAGTTTGTTTGCCTAAGCCCACCAGTAGCGTTTCTGCTCGCGTTGGGTTCTTCTATAGTTTGTTTATCTACACTCACCAGTGGCGTTTCTGCTCGCGCTGAGTTGTTTTCAGTTTGTTTGCCTAAGCCCACCAGTAGCGTTTCTGCTCGCGTTGGGTTCTTCTATAGTTTGTTTGCCTAAACTCACCAGTGGCGTCTCTGCTCGTGCTAAGTTCATCTTTAGTTAATAATCGATTTGCTAGTGGCGTTTCTGCTCACGCTGAGTTTGGAATCTCTGCGGGGGTTTTCCTACAACGAGTCGCCAGTAGCGTTTCCTGCTCGTGTTGACTTGTCCTTGGTAGCAGGCTGATCACGCCTTTCAGCAGTATGATGCTGGATAATTTATGTTGCTCGACCTGTCTGGCTCCACTTCAGCCGGATGACGGGCATGACTTGTGTCCCTCCTGCCTCGGAGTGGAACATCTCCGGGAGGCGCTGTCAGATGACGCTTGCCCCAACTGTCGCGTCATGCCCCGGTCGGTCAGACTGGATCGGTTGGCTGCACTGGAGCAGCCTACCGACTGGGCGAGCGCTTCGCCGCGTGCTCGTTTGCCGATGGAGAAAGCGGTGTGCAAACGATCTACTGTGGCTGCACCTTCGGTACCGACGAAGCGTGCTAGACGGACCGATGCAGGGAGGTTGTCCACCAGAGTGGATCATCTCACTACTGAGCTGGCCCAAATGAAAGCCCTCCTCCAGTCCTTTCAGACTGCTGGTGATCGCGGCACGGCTCTCCCTACCGAGCAGGATGAAACGTCAGTCAATGACGACGATGCTGTTTCTGTGGCGGCCTCTGGCACCCATTTCTGTGAGGACCTTCCGGAGCTGGGCTCCGGGGCCTCTGGGTCGGACTCCATTGCCTCCCAGGAGGATACGGGGGAGTCTGTGACATCCGCTATTCGAACGGCTCTTGCCCGTTTACAGATTAGTGTTCCTCAGGCCCAGCCTGCGGCTTCCAGCGCCTTCTTTAGGCGCAGTAGGTCAGAGACTGCCTTTGTGGTTCCTCCCTCGGCGGAGTATGTGCGGGAACTGCATGCTTGCTGGTCAGACACCAAGGCGTTTTCACGTCTGACGACGGATGGCAGGGTCCTGGCAGCTATGCAGGAGGCACCCAAGGTTGGCTTGGGGCAGATGCCAGCGGTGGAACCGGGCATTGCCTCTCTTATAATCCCGCCTGATGAGGCCTTGCGGCCCAATGCCCGTTGTCCGCGTCCTCAGTGCCGTATTACCGACGACCTTCTCTGTAAGGCTTATGACTCTGGGGCCCGCATGGGCCGGATTGGGAACTCTCTCTCCCATCTTATGCTGGCCCTGTCTTCCTCCTTGGAATCTGTTCCGCTGGATCATGCCACGCAAGGCCTGGTTGATGCATCTCTGCAGGCCTTTGCTCTTATGACGAGGGAACTTGGACGCACACTCTCCACACTGGTTCATGCTCGCCGCCAGGTCTGGTTGGCGCAGTCACCACTAACTGAGCCTTGTAGGAGGACCCTCCGGGCCCTGCCTGTGGTCCCGGGGGAGCTTTTTGGTTCAGCGGCACTGGACGCCTTGGACCGTACGGCTCAGGCCTCTAGAACGAGGCAACAGCTGGCAGGGCTTCACAGACGTGATCGCCAGCCAGTAAGCACCTGGGCAGCTGCGGGTCCTTCACGGAGGTCCTTAGTGCCTTCTCCTTCTCCCACTGAGCCCCAGGGTCTGTTACCAGGTCAGAGATCGGTCCGGGGACCTGCTCTAGATCGGAGGAACAGAGCTCGAGACCAGGCTGGGACGAGGTCCTTTCATCCCTTTCGAGCTGCGCAGTCTGGCCGGCGTCCTCCCGGGCCTTCGAAGGGCCGGGGGACCCGCAGATGATGCCTTAGGGCCGGCGGTCGGTTATTTTTCCCCGGGACAGCTCAGCTTCTGGGCTGCCCACACCCCGGACTTGTGGGTGTTGTCCACCCTGTCCCGGGGGTACCGTCTTCAATTCCGCCGCCGGCCACCTATCCCTGGCCGGGTCAGGATGACTGTGATCCACGACCCGGTGAAGGCACAGGCACTGAACCAAGAAATCTGCACCTTGCTGGCCAAGGGTGCTATAGTGCCTGTGGACCCCCTGCTGGATCCAGGGGGCTTTTATTCCACGTATTTTCTGGTTCCGAAGAAGACCGGGGGCCTGCGTCCAGTCTTGGACCTCAGAGGCCTGAATGTGTACTTGAAGGCCATGCCCTTTCATATGCTGACCACCAAGGAAGTGTTGCAGGCGATTTCCCCGGGCGATTGGTTCACTTCCATAGATCTCAGGGATGCTTATTTTCACGTTCCGATCGCTCCGCCCCATTGGCGGTTTCTTCGTTTTGCTTTTCAAGGGAGGCATTTCCAGTTCAGGGTCCTCCCGTTCGGACTTTCACTGTCCCCCAGGGTGTTCACCCGATGTGTTGCAGCGGCCCTCTCTCCTCTGCAGGCACAGGGATTGAGGATCCTCCCATATCTGGACGACTGGCTCATTTGTGCCGCGACGTGGGACCAGGCGGTTCGAGATACTCGGTTAGTGCTCCATCATGTGGGATGCTTGGGCTTGCAGGTGAACATGGAGAAAAGCAGTCTGACCCCCTCACAGGAGACTGTCTTCCTGGGCATTGCCATGGATTCCATCTCAATGACTGCTTGCCCGTCACCCCAGCGGGTGGACAGTATATTGAGCGTGCTCCCGGAATTCAGGCGCGGCATGGCGCTGCCTCTTGTGCGGTATCTTCGACTCTTGGGCATGCTTACAGCTGCGTCCGCCGTAGTGCCCTTGGGGCTGCTGTCATTGCGGCCCCTCCAGATGTGGTTGAACAGCTTGAATCTGGATCCCACACGGAACACTCATCGTCTCCGAAGACTTCGGGTGGGGCCTCAGTGTCTTCAGTCTCTGTCCCAATGGAGGGTGAGGTTGTTTATGACCACAGGGGTCCCGCTCGGTTCCCTCCCGTGTCGTCGGGAAGTTGTGTTTACAGATGCATCCTCCACGGGCTGGGGTGCAACCTGGCGGGGTCAAATGGCACAGGGGACATGGTCCCAGCGGCAGGGCAGGGAACACATCAATGTCCTGGAGTTACAGGCTGTGCTTCTGGCTCTTCAGAGCTTTCTTCCAGGCTTGCGGGGGAAGCACGTGCTGGTGAGGTCAGACAACACCACAGTGGTCTTTCACATCAACCACCAGGGGGGCACGAGGTCAAGGAAACTGTTGTGCTTGACTCAACGGCTTCTGACCTGGGCAGCTCCACGCATAGCCAGCCTCAGAGCAGCCTACATCCCAGGGCCGGAGAACGTGCCAGCAGATTTTCTATCCCGTCAGAAGCCGCTTCCAGGGGAGTGGAAGCTTCACCAAGAGGTGGTGGAGTGCATCTGGAAGGTCTTTGGCAGGGCGGACGTGGACCTCTTTGCCTCAAGGGACGCATTTCACTGTCCCCTTTGGTTCTCGTTGGACAACAGCAGCCCTCTGGGCCACGATGCTCTGGCACACGACTGGCCCAGGACCCTCCTTTATGCCTTTCCGCCATTCAGCCTACTTTTTCAGACTCTCCTCAGGGTACGTCAGGAGGGGCACAGGGTCCTGCTGGTGGCCCCCTACTGGCCAGCGAGGACTTGGTTTCCTCTACTGTGCGAGCTCAGCTCCGGCTCGCCAATGCGTCTCCCCTCCAGGAGAGACCTTCTTTCCCAGATGGGGGGTCAGATCTTGCACCCCGAACCGGACCGGCTCCAGCTCTGGATTTGGCCCCTGCAAGGCCGGGGTCCACCTTCTCAAGATACACTGGGTCCATAGGGCATACAATGGCTAATGCATGGGCGCTGTCCACGCGAGCTGTCTATGCTAACAAGTGGACGGTCTTTGCGACCTGGTGCCGTGATAGAGGGCAGGACCCGGAGCAGTGCTCAGTTTCTGACATACTGACCTTCCTGCAGGCATTGCTGGATCAAGGACGGTCCCCATCTACCTTAAAGGTGTATGTGGCTGCCATTTCCTGTTGGCATGTTGGGCTGAATGGTTGTTCTGTGGGCCGAGACAAGGATGTTGTACTGTTTTTAAGAGGTGCTCGGCGTTTGCACCCACCCAACCGCCCTGTGGCACCGGCGTGGGACCTTTCTCTTGTGCTTGAGGCTCTTCGGTCCCTCCCATTTGAGCCCCTGGCGTCGGCGGACCTCAAATGGCTCTCACTGAAGACTGCGTTCCTTTTAGCTATGGTTTCCGCAAAACGTGTAGGGGAGTTACAGGCTCTCTCGATAGCCGAACCCTGCTGCCGGTGGAATCCTGATGGCTCAGGCGTTACACTGTGGGCTGATGTAGCATTTATTCCTAAGGTATCACTGCCAGCAGGCAGCACCCAGCCTCTCCATCTTGCCCGGTTTGACTCCGGAAGTCCCTCTGAACCACTGTGTCCTGTCCGTGCCCTTGAGACATACATCAATGCCACGGCATCCTTCCGAAAGACAAATAGCCTTTTTGTTTGCTACGCTGGCTCACGGAAAGGTCAGGCACTTTCTAAGCAGCGACTTGCACACTGGGTTGTGGATTTGATCTCCAAGGCTTATGCCTTGCAGGACCGGCCACTGCCGGCGGGAGTGAAATGCCACTCTACAAGGGGCATGTCGACATCGTTTGCTGCTATGACTGGGGTGCCATTGGATGTTATATGTCGTGCGGCCTCCTGGAAGTCACCTAGTACCTTTACTCGGTTCTACAGGGTGAATGTGGCTGCGCCCCATCCGCTTCAGGGAATCCTCGAGCAGCATGCCTCTACATCACATTAGGTGGGTGGTGTAGTCGTTGTTCCTTGAATGTTGCTGATTCCTCGTGACCTTGTTGATATGAGTCATCCAGTGCTTGAAGCACCGCCTCTGGCGGTCAGTAGGGATGAAATAGAACGAAAGTTACTACCGTAACTACGGTTCTATGAATCCCGGATGACCGCCAGAGTGCTTGGTCCCTCGGAATCTCTGCTTTCGCGAGAAGATTGAGGGATTGATTGCCGGGTGCCACGTGACTATATAGAGTCACGTGGGTCCCCGGCAGGTCACAGCTGACTTTGTTGTCATTAATACTCGACCTGCGCATGCGCAAGAATGATCATTCAGTGCTTGAAGCACCGCCTCTGGCGGTCATCTGGGATTCATAGAACCGTAGTTACGGTAGTAACTTTCGTTTCACTTTCTTCATAAAGTGCAGCCTCTACTCGGCCTGTTACTCGATCCATGTGGTGTAAGTCAGCCAGATGAGGTCATCAGAGATCTGCAGTTTTCCAGGATTCTAATGCTATCTGAGATCTGTACTAAATGCTTGCTCATGTTGAGGAGTTGAGGCTCAGTTTGAAAGATTATGTTTATCTCCTTTGTATTGTTTACATTGCCCATGCTTTAGTCATTTAGCAGGCTAATGTTTCTGCACCAGCTCCCAGCTGTTGACCTTCCTTCCTTCCTTTCATACCCATTCATTATTCCCATCAAGGACCCCCTATGTTTTCTGATTTTGTTGCCACGCTGTAGAACATCCTCACCTACATAGAAGGGAAATCAAAACAGTTAACTGCAATACAAACTTTATTGTTTCTGTAAATGTTGGTTCTGCCGATAAAGCCTTTATTTCCCTTTTCGGTTCGGTTTTACTTGCTTTAACATTCAATGAAGTTAATAGATATCTGTAAATGTAACTACACAAACAGATAAAGGTGTAACCAGTCAGAGAGGGCAGGAACAATTCTATGGTTGTGCTCAATTCTGTCACTGAACAGCTTCCCAAAAAAATTAGTCAGGCTTTAGCTTTTGGAAATGATTTACAAGGAAATGTTTAATGATATTTTTTCCAGTGAATAGTCGCTTAGTGGATTTGATATGTTATATATGTGTGAGCAATTATTGCAATTCTATAGACAGTTATTTGGGTTTTCTTTTCAAAGTTCTTCTCTTCCAAATGTGGGAGGTAAAAAAATCACACCAAATTTTAAAATCCAAATGTTTTATCTTGAGATTTGATGTGCTTTCAATTAAAATATAAAATTATCAATTATATCAGACAGTTAAAAACTTTGCACCTGCAGCCAAAGTAATTTCTTGTTTTAGCCTTTGCTTTACTAACTAAGATGAATTGTGTTTCTAAAATAGCTACAGAAATAGGGGAGGGTGGGAGTTGGTTACAGAATCAGTGTGTGTTTTCTTTCTAAATGATTTCTTGGCCAGTGCTCAAAGAATACACAGAAAAAAGTTACTCAATGCAAAACTTAAAATACCTCAAGAAGTAAAAAAAGAAAATAAAAAAACAAAAAAAACATCTCTCTGAGGTGTTTTCAAAGACTACTCAATTTCTTGTTAGAAAAAGTTATTTTGAACTGCTTATTGTCTTTTAATTGTGATATACTTTACTATTCTAAGCCATACTAGTAAGAACACGAAGTACAGATGTGGGGAGCTGTCTCTCAGATGGTGGTGGGGGGTGGAGGTGTTTTCAGGGAGTGTTTTTGGAGCCGGAGCAAGGCAGCAGTTGACTCCAGCTGTTGGGAGTTTGGGTTTGAGTGTACTCTGGAATATCCAGGCTGGCGGATGCAAAGGGGCCTCCTCGGTGTTCTGACGTCACTCCCAGCTCCAGGGAATTCTTCACATTCCTCTTCCTGGCAGTAGTTAGGTCATTTCCAGAAAACTGGAGAAAAAACACAGTTGGATTATTTTCTGGAGCATTTGGGAGTTGGAGAGTGAAAAGAGCCAGAGCGCTGAGATTGAAAACACATGGTGGTTTGAAAGTATCTCTGACTTAAACGCCTCTCTGTGCCTGCGACTTATTTGTTGTAAAGTAAAAACTCATAGTAAAAGGAAAGAACTTAAATAACTTTTTTATGCAATTTTGCATTGAGCATTTTTTCAGTTGCCATTTTTTTTGTTGGAGCAATATATACCTTAAACATTAGGTGTCTATTTTTGAATAAATTAACATTTTGAGTAAAGAAAAAGTGATTTTCAGCAGTGCTTCATAAGCCAAAAAAATCTGTTGTCTAGCTTAAAATATCCTGATGTCTATTAGTCCACCTTTCATAGTCGCAGAACAGGCCGAAATGGAAAAAAACCAGAGATGAAAGCATCAGCACATCTTGTAAAATTCTTCCTATCAGTTTCCTGTGTCACATGGAGGGTTAACCTCCCACATCATTCCTGCAGAGAAGATTGGCTCCTCCCATCGCCCGCGCCTTCTTGTGAGTGGGCCGAGCCCTGAGCGGAAATACCTGCAGGCATTATTCACCGACTAACTGTGACGGCAGCAGCCAGGGCCACTCCCTAACCGAGCTACCTGTCTGATGATGACAGCTGCCCACTCACCTGTTGACAATGGCTCAACACTTCCTGTCAGGTTTGTGGCGGTTCTCATGAACAGCACGTTCTGCTCTGAAAAGATTAAAAACAATCTTTTATGACTAACAATCTTAGCTGAGATGTTGGTCTGATAAAGCGTCACATCCTGACTGTGTTGTAGCATGAATGTTTATTTTAGGACTTTATGAGAGAAGCAAGCCAATGTAAAGTTCGGCAGCAGTAAAATAGTTACTCATGTATTACTTAATTGACCGGAAATTATTTTATAATGACTTCCTTTAAGTGCATCACTGAAAACTGCTGAGAGTTGTTAAGAAGGTTTTACATCACCTGCAGTTTGAATATGTTCTCTTATTATGGTTTATCTTGCACAGTTGTTAAATGTGACTATAAAAATACCAAAATTAAGAGAATGACTCATGGGTTATGGAGCAATAAAGTACATTGGGTAGCATTATTTCAATTTATGTAAGGGACAAACTGTACATTTAATGTTTAGAGCACAATTCTATTGCTGCTTTTTTACAGCTGAATGTTTTCTGCTGTAAAAGTGAGAAGTTAATTCAACAAATTATATTAACTTGCATTACTATAAGGGGATAATTTTTAACCATGTTTTGAATTAAAACATTTTTAGGGATTTTTTTTGTTTAGGTTGTAATGATTATTTATAAAATTATTTTACTTAGTTACATTTTAAGGTCCATATGTCACTAGTAAAAAGGAGAAAATAAAACAAAAAGATTAATAAAAGCCCAATACACAATTTCAATGACTGACCACTATAGTAATCTCAAAATGAATAAGTGCGACCTGAACAGCAGTGGTGGTCACCCAGAAGGAACGATTGCAATGAAAATCTGCTGCTTATGAAACTTAACAGGAGGTAATATTTACAGTTAGAAAAATAAGTTTTTAAACACCCCCCTATTTTGCAAGTACTCCCACATAGAAATTATAGAGGGGCCTGAAATTATCTGTATGATGCAGCTGCAAATAGGTATTTGAACACCTGTCCATTAGCTGGAATTCTCAAAGTTAGTCTACCTTCAAAAGTCCACCTCCACTCCATTTATTATCCTAAATGAGAGCCACCTGTTTGAGGTCGTTAGCTGCATAACGACACCTGTCCACCCCATACAATCGGTAAGAATCCAACTACTAACATGGCCGACTACTAACATTATCACTGTTGATAATAGATTAAGACATCATGGTTTGAAATCATGCATGGCACAAAGGTTCCCCTGCTTAAACCAGCACATGTCAAGACCCATCTGAAGTCTGTCAATGACATTTGGATGATCCAGAGGAGTCATGGGAGAAAGTCATGTGGTCAAATGAGACCAAATCAGAACTTTTTGGTCAGAATTCCACTAACTGTGGAGGAAGAATGATTAGCACACAGCCAGGATAACCAAGGAGTGGCTCAGTTAGAAACATATCAAGGTTCTGGCATGGCCTAGCCAGTCTCCAAAACTTAAACCCAATAGACAATCTTTGGAGAGGGCTCAAACTCGTTTCTCAGTGATAGCCCAGAAACCTGACTGATCTAGAGAAGATCTGTGTTGAGGAGTGGGCCAAAATCCCTCCTGCAGAGTGTTCAAACCTTGTGAAAATCTATTTGCAATTGACCTCTGGAATTGCAAAGAAAGGCTAGTGTACCAATTATTAACATTCATTTTCTCAGTTGTTAAAATACTTATTTGCAGCTGTATCATACAAATAAATAGTAAAAAAAAATAAAAATAAATTGTGAAAATGTCTCTCACATTGGACATTCACCTACAATGACAATTTCTGACCCCTCCATGATTTCAAAGTGGCAGAACTTGCAAAATAGCAGGGTGATCAAATGTTTATTTTCCTCACTAACACAGCATATGATCTAAAAGATTTTTTATTACCTTTTTACTTGGGGCCTATTATAATTACTTGTTCTGCAATTGCATGATGTACCACAAAATATCCTTTTTGATTTGTCATGTAAAGTGTTTTATATAATTTTAGAAAATTTTTAGGTCAAATTGTTTTTAACCTCATATGTAACAAAAGCATAGAATCCTTATTTTAATGAAGAGCCTGTACTGTAAAAAAAAAAAAAAAAAAAAAAAAAAAAAAAAAAAAAAAGAACACGTTGCGCTTGTTATTTTTTTATGATCATATGAGAAAAACATTTCTATAATAACACTGAATGAGTCATCCAGGTGTTTGTCCCACATACTTAAAAGCAACTTGTACAAAATGTGTCAAGCACATAATATTGTTGGTAGTAATTGTCTCGCTTGAGGGCATAAAGTGCCGGCGACTGTAACAAGGCCAAATCTGTTAGTGCCATCTACAGTGAGTAAGACTGTGTGCTGCAATCCTTTTACATGGTTGATAAAAGCTATATATGTAGTTCTCCTAAAAACTTGTAGTTTGTGAGATTAATTATGGTCTTAGTTGTAACATATGCCGCTGGTAAAAAAAAAACTTGGTATTAACTCTTAATTTCTATGCATTTAATCTTAAAGGGTTTATTTAGTTGGGGTTTGTTTCACACCGTTTCCATGGAGGACTTTTAGCCCACGCTTCTTTCTAGCATTGAACTCACCTCAGCCAACCGTTGGCTGTTAGTTTTACATTTAAATGTGGGCTTCAGTTGGTTTACAGAGGGGGTCATGGCTGAGTCAAGCCCTCTAGTTCTAGATGTCTCATGGTTCAATAAATGCAACTTTTTAAGACTATCATCCCACCATATTCGTTTTAGATAGAAGAGACTTTCCCACATTAGGCTCTCCAATTATGGAGCATATTGGTGAGTGTTTTAGTTGTACTTTTATTAATAATTTAACATACAATATGAGGCCTTGTGAACATGAACTGAAAATGTGAAAGTATTTGAGTATTGAACTCTAGAGAGTTGCCACGTGTTTCAAACCCTTTGGACCTATGAATAATTGACAATAACATCTTGGGATTAACTTGTTTGGATGGGTCCTTAAAACCCTTTCCAGATTGCAGATGAATATCTGAGCTCATTGCTCATGTTTTGCTGTTTTACTGTTGTGTTTACATGAACCGCCAACACCTGCTTTTACCCTGGCTGAAGATCAGTTCACGAAGTGCTTGTGAGTGGCAGCAAGTGTCTGATACTTTGTTTTATAAATCCCATGGACACTGAACGAACGTAGTCAGTTCGGCTTTTCCCACTTTGGTGTCATCTTTGTTTAATAAATAATGACGTTGGGAGACCTGTTTTATTTTTAAAACATTTCAGGCTATGTTGAAAACCTGCCATAACTCAGTTAGGACCTGGAACTTTAAACCCTAAATTTGACACAATTTTTTTGTTGTTTTGTTTAATGCTGGAACAATTAATTGGATAAATTGTAAATAATCAATTATTAAAATAATCGTCAACTAATTTAGTAATCGATTAATCTTATAAAGACTCGAAAACATGCCTCTAGCTGACAGAGCCACCCACTTGGAGCTGTTTTTAAGATAAAAATACTTTTTTGTCCGTCGATGTCGGGAGTGTTGGCCAAGTGGTTAGAGCAGTGTGCTTGTGCTCTGAGAAGGTTGCAAGTACCGGATTTAATCCCCACAGCCTCCCTTCTGGGCCTATGAGCAAAACCCTTAACCCCACACTGCTTCCCGGGTGCCACACAATGGCAGCCCTCTGCTCCCCAAGGGGATGGCTTAAATGCAGAGGTAAATTTCTCCAATGTGAGATGAATAAAGCTAAATTATTTTTAGTATGCTCTACCCAGAACTCCTCAAGGGGAAAAGTTCTAGTTTCACCTATTTTATTTAATACTGTAAAAAATCTTCTTTAAGAAACCTTTTGCTATCTGATTACATATCGACAAAATAATCTACAGATTAATAGATATAGCAAAAATAATCATTAGTTGCAGCTGTTTTTTTGTGCAATATTTATCATGAATAAATATTGATGATTTCTCGAGTTTATTTTTTGAGCAAAAAGGCCATTGTGTTCTCCCCTTTGCAGGTCAGGTTCTGCAGTACCTGGAGTTTATTTGATTTCTTTGAACTATGGTTCTTTGATGTGAGTTTTGTCAAAATTATGGGAAACAAAAAAAAATAATCCTCTGCCTGCCTGTTTGGGGGTGGGTAAAAAAAAATCCCACGACGTCAACTCATTTTTCCCACTCATCTGCGTATCCAATTTCTCGTCATCTACAATCAGCATGCGTCTTGAACACGCCTCAACATGCCCGTAGTTTCAGTCACAAAGTGCACTTTTGGCTCTGAGTCAGTGGTAAACCATCATCCCATCATTATCCGTGGAGCATGTGGGAGAACTGAATGACCGTTATTCTCCTGCTCCAATTCCAAGTATAGGTGTCACTTAGGTGCGGGAGCTTTGTAACGAATCTGAAACATTTCCTTTCAATATAAAAGCTTGCACCAAATCTTACATTCCACTCTGTTTTTTCCATCAGCATCTTTTAGCTTATTGTTGCTTGGAACCAAAACGTGTTTTTCCACAGACGACATCACATTTGAAAAGTGCTTTTTTTTGTTTTGTCTTGTTGAAAGATGTCTTTTGTGTTTGCAACATGCATTGATGAAGGTGAGCTTATCTGTAGTGGTGCACACTTAAACAGTCCTGTGGAGGTGGCTGGGACCGAACCCACGTTTGACATTCAAACTGTCTCAAGCTGTCAGCCCCCTTGGTTCATGGAGCAGTCTATTCTATGTAATTCAGAGATTTTCTTTTCTTTTTTAACATAATTTTTTTGCAGAATTTGTTTTTCTTGCTCAACATGTTGAAGCTGGTTACATTTATTTCAATTTAAAAGCTGCTTCAGTTGTGTAAGAAAGTGTTTTTTCATTCTTTATTTCTCACACTGAAGTGTTTATGTAACCAATTTAAATATCACACAAAGACAACAGAAGTAAACGCAACATTCAGTTTTTAAATGAATTGCTTTATTATAATGAGTACAAAGCTACATGGCCATTTGTAAAAGGGAGTCATTGACTGTTGTTAAAACAAGCCCCCTTGTTAAAACATAACTATGGTTTATAACACCTGAGTTCACCGTATTAAAGCCACACCTTTGATCAATCATCAAATCGACTAAATAAGATCTTCCGGAAAAGGCGAAGTAGGCCTACAGCAAAAGATCCTCTAAGCAAACAAATGAGAAAGAAAGGGATTCAAATCTATCAATCATGAACAGCTGTGAGCCTTTCTAGGATTGACCAGCTGGCCAAAATGCCCCAAGAAAGGCAGCAAAGACTTCAAAACAACATCCAAAGAATGCTTCCATCATAAGAAAGAGACTGGGAATAAAAGAGTTCCAAGACACTACAACAGCAATATTAAGGCTCATGCCGTAAAAATTCAAAAAATATCCACTGGACTTGGTTGGATATTTTTTGAATTTTTACGGAATGACTATGACCTGGATGACTGAGAACCTTCATCAGCATTAAGGCTCATGTTAATTTTTTACAGGAATTTTTTTTAAGATTAGTTCCAGGCTCTAATAGCCTTCATTTATGTCATTTTTGAAAGTAGGAAATTGGAATAGAGAAAGACCTGCAGCAAAGGTCACCAGGCTGGGACTCGAACCTGTGATGGCCATATCAAGGACCAAAGCCTCGGTACATGGACCAAGCGCTTCACCCCTGCATCGCTGTTGCACTCCCAGAAAACTTTTTGTTGATCCATGAGACGTTTGGGAAAGTGTTCTGTTGCAAAAACAATCCAGAAATAAGTAAAAAATGGCTTAAATTAAGTATATTTAGCCTTAATTTGAGCAGGTAAATAAGATGATTTGCCAATGGAATGAGTATTTTCACTCTTAAAATAAGATAGTTAGATAATATTTACTTGAAATAAGACGATAAAATAGTTTTTTCTTATTTTAAAAGGAAATTGTCTTGTTCCATTGGCAAAGTGTCTTACTTATCTCCTCAAATCAAGGAAAAACACACTTATTTTAAGAAAAAATAACTTATTGAGATTTATATTTTTTGCAGTGAAAGCGGAACTTTTGGAAAGGCCTCTCTCACATCTGCCGTAAAAGTAACCCCTCATTTCTGAGAAAGAACATCATACATCACACCAACTGCAGAATATAGTGGTGGTAGTCTGACGGTCTGGGGATTTTTTCTTTTTTTTTTTTTTTTTCTTTTGCTTCTTCTGGAAAGGGAAGGCTTGCTGTGATAACTGGAACCATTAATTCTGCTGTCTAACAAAAAATCCTAAAGACGAATATCCGACCATCTGTATGTGACCTCAAGCTGGTAGGAATTATGGATTCAGCAGCAGGGCAGTGATCTAAAACCCACCACCAAGTCTACCTCTAAATGGCTGAGGGAAAATAAAGTTATTTGGTTGGCCTAGTCAAAGTCCTGATCTGAATCCTACAAAGATGTTGTGGCATGACATTAAAAAGGCTGTTGAAGACAAGAGATTGGAGGTAGAAAACCTTCCATTCTGGATTAATTCCTCCACAGCGCTGTAAAACACTTAAGTTATAGCAATCTCTTAATCAAGGTTTTTTGTTGCAAATCACTTTTTCACACAGGGCCATCAACGTTTAGATTATTTTTTTCTCTTAATATTAGAACTTTCATATAAAAAACGAAACCGCTCTATATGTCATTTACTAATGCAGTGTTTTGATTAGAGATTAGAGCACCGATCCAGTTATTTCCGCTCCAATTAGATACCGACTCCTAGGCTGAATTTATCGGCCCATATCTAATACTGAACCGCTTAAACTATTGAATTAATTAACCATATATCTTGCCATATTAGTGAACGCTTTAGCCTTGGCGCAAATGTAAAAAAAATAAAAGGTTAAAAAAAAATAATATAGATATAAATGTACTTTATATTATCTGTTAACCCATAAGCAGCAAAAACAGAGAAATAACAGTTCCATGTAAAGTAGACTGGATTGGATCCCCATTATCTGATATCAGAACTGATAGCCGATCCATTTATTGGGTCGATGCATCTCCGGTTTTGATTTACTGGTTTTTTGTTTTTTTAGATATTTATTGCTTTTCAGAAAAAAGGATTGTAGCATACATTTGCTCCGATTTATTTGGATTACCCTAAATATAAACCAAATATAAACCAATCCACCTGTATATAGTCTTAATACAGGTGTTGTATGAAGGGGTCTGAGTTTTGTCAAAGAACAAAACAGAAAGAGCAGTGGAAAAGTCGTGGAGATATTTAAAGCAGGTTTACTTGCTAGTATTCTAAGGTTTGGACATTTTATTTAGCACTATGAGATCCATCATCCAAACCCAGAGTACAACAACTTTTTAAGAGAGAGTAAGTTATGACTTAGAAGTTATGTTGCATCTGAGCTTGCATAGAACTTGCACTCCAAATCTATATATGTCAACTCTATGTTCGTTTTTCTATATGTAGCATCTCATCACCAAAGCAAGTTCCTTGTATGAATGGAAAGTTACTTGACATTAAAGCTTTTTTTTCCTGAATCTGAGATCAAACCTGGAAACATTGGCCTATTTACAAAACTCATTATTGTTATAAAATGAACACTGCCTGTTACCCTTGACATGACGCTGTGGCAGCACGTGTTTCTTTAGCAAGGATGGAGGAGTTGGTCCAAATAGTTCATAGGATGGGTGGATTGTTATAAATGCAGAGGAATCTGAAAACTTTAAAGATGATTAAAAACAACTCAGACTGTAGCAGATGTTTACCTTCCATCTGCAGCCTTTTTTTCTTTTCTTACAAAACCAAGATTACAGACCTTAATTACCAGGGCTGGTTATTCTGTGAGGCTGGCCTACTCCAGACCATCAGATAATCAACCTACTTAACCCTGCTGCCTTATCTGTTCAGTCAGTGTCACATTGATCAAACATCAACAAGTTTTGTCATTGATCCCATTTTTTGGTCTTTTTATTTCAGCAAATTTTAAAATACCCCTGATATGTGAAGGCATTCAGTAAAGTACTTTAATAATTGAAGCATTATTATGGTGGGCTATACCATTAACCACGTGGTCATTGTAACTGATTATTTTCTTTTTTCTTTTTAAGACTAGGTTTGACTGAAAGCTCTTTGATAGACTATTGCTTTTGTCGAGGGGATTAGGAAAAACATCTGATAAAGAAGCAAATACGTTTTCTATTAAGTGAGGCCATAAAAGTACATCCACACCTGTGGGTCTTCCTTTACAATGCCGCGTCAATGTTTGAATCACCTAGTAGCTGAGGAGACAGGTTCCACTCGCTTTTCTGTGGATTGCATCAGCCACACGTGGAGGCTGTGGTCAGAGGGGGCATGCCTTTAACATTACACAGGTGATCTGTGTGTAGTAGTAGATACTAAGAATCTTAGCAAAGCTAATATTTGCTTTACCTTAAATTCAATGGAATTTCAATTCAATTTATTTATGTAGCGCCAATTTACAACACATGTAATCTCAAGGCACTTTACAATTCACCAGATCATACAGTCAAATTGATTCAAAGTTTTCCATCTAAGGAAAACCAGTTGATTGCATCGACTCATTGACTCGAATGCAATCCCTCACACTAAGCATGCGTGTAGCGACAGTGGAGAGGAAAAACTCCCTTTTAGCAGGAAGAGACCTCCAGCAGAACCAGGCATTGGTTTCTATTTGACCTTAAAAGGATATACACAAATCTTTATAACCTTACTGGCCACAGAAGGTTCACCTACCTCAAGGAGCGATTCTACAATATTAAATATTGACATTAATAAGACTATAGCCCCATTTATACCACCCTCTGAAAAACGATCCGTGCCGAGCTAGGATCAGTTAACCGTGCCAAGCCCTGTTCCTTAAGACCATTTACAGATCATGCTAGCATTGTTCCTCGCCTCCTAGTGTCCATCTAGGGTACTGCTGCTTTCTAGAGGTAAACAAGAAAATCAACATGGTGGTGCCCATAACATTCAGGAAGCTTGCAGAGTCAGGCGAAGAAGGCAGCCTTTGGTGAATTTACTTGACAGAGTCGGCTTTTGGGAAGTGGAAACGACAAGTGATAGTTAAATCAGGGTTTACAGATGCAGGAAACAATGACGGATGTTGAGTTTCATCACACTTAAGCAGAATCATCGCTGAAAATCGTGTGGCACAGTACGGAAGTTGGTATTTTTATAAATGTCTGAAATTTCATGATTACAGAGGCTGACTATAAGGAGAGGACACAGTCTGCTCATGCACCTTTGTTATCTCAGAACTGAGCCAGAGCTGAACCACACCGAGCCCTACTGATGAACTAGTACCAGTTTAGCACGGCCCGGTTCAGTTGTTTTGATTGTTTTTTGTCTGTTTGTTTGTTTTAAATTCAGGATCCCCTAATGCTATACTTGTACTAGACTGCACAAACATGCAGATAAACTACCCTCTGGAGCACATTGGCACATTACAAAAAATTCCAACACTCAGTTAGGACACAACTATGCAAATTCTGCTGTCTCCATCTTCAGTGACATTGGGGCAAATTAGCCTGGAGTCCATGACTCCAGAACCTATACCCCCATGGATCTCTTCTAAATGAGGCCTTTCTTTGTTTGAATTGAGGGCCAACTTTTCCGCTGGCCTGATTCTGGGAATGGTGGGTCCCCTCCAGTGCCAGACACCTGAGCCTTATTTAAAACCAAAAATAAGGAGGAGGATCAAACATGTGTGCAGGCACCTTCTAAGTCATTTGTACGTTGTAGTCAATTTTTTTATCCAGATACTACCAGTCTGCAAAATATTCTTTTAATCTTTAATCCTTGTTTCATCAAAGATCCTGGATTTCTTAATCCTGCTTTTGAAAAACGGATCCCAGAGCAGTATCAACAACCAGCATTAGCTACGATGAATAAAATGCTCATTTTGTCATTTGTAGCTCAAGGTCAAGATCTAACAGAGAATCAGTGGGAATGCCTGAGTATTGATGTTTATAGACCCTCACGATCCAATCTTAATAGCTGCTTTGGCAAAGAAGAATAAGATAGAAAATCACTTTCTACATACACAAAATTGGTCTAGATGGAAAGCAGTTCTAGAAGGCACCAACTTCAGTGGTTTGGGGAGAAATTAGATTTTATATTTAAATGTATTGAAGCAATGTTACATTTGTATAAAATTTCCCAGCAAAATATTTTGAAATATGTAGAAATTTTTAGAAGCTGAAACCATTGTTAAAGGAATAGTACACCCAAAACATGATTAGCCTTCATTTTCTACTCACCCCCATGCTGAACAACACTCTGGAGTACTTTTTTGATATCTCAAATGCATCTGGAGATCTGGGAGGCTTCTTGCTGTCTGCTGACATTCAAATAATGGAGGTCTATGGCGCCCGAGACAGAAAGGTCCATAAAAGTCCACAAAAAACGTGTCAATATTCCTCCATACTGCTCGTCCAATGTATTCCAAGTGTCCTGAGTGGGTAGCATCCAGAATTTACTCGAAACGAAGTCCTTTAGAATGTTTTTAGAGCATAAACAGTAGTGTATAGGATTTCCTGAAAGCGCGCACATGCGCGTTCACGACGCTACGGAAGCCGGCAGACCAAACCAGCGCATTCAGCTCGGCAAAGAACTCATGCTCTTCCTCAACACTGAAGTCCTCAGACATTTTTCTTTCGTTGTTACTTTCTTTGCACAGGTAAACAGCACATTTCTTCTTCTACGCTTGCATTATTGGCAGAGCAGACGCTGAATGCGCACTTTCATCTGGTTTGGTCTGCCGGCTTCCGTAGCGTCGTGAACGCTCATGTGCGCGCTTTCAAGAAATCCTATACACTACTGTTTATGCTCTAAAAACATTCTAAATGACTTCGTTTCGAGTAAATTCTGGATGCTACCCACTCAGGACACTTGGAATACATTGGACGAGCAGTATGGAGGAATATTGACACGTTTTTTGTGGACTTTTATGGACCTTTCTGCCTCGGGCGCCATAGACCTCCATTATTTGAATGTCAGCAGACAGCAAGAAGCCTCCCAGATCTCCAGATGCATTTGAGATATCAAAAAAGTACTCCAGAGTGTTGTTCAGCATGGGGGTGAGTAGAAAATGAAGGCTAATCATGTCTTGGGTGTACTATTCCTTTAAAGCACTGTGTTTTAGGGGTGTGGGAAATAATCGTTTTGGCGATATATCGTGATATTCGGCTGCCCAATATAATATCGATCTTTCACTTCTTAGTATCGATTAAAAAAAAGAAAATGCTTACATAAAACATTGATGGGAAAATGGGCTACCTCTGCACCACCACTCTGGCAGAAACCGCTGTGGAGCCCTTTAACGGTGCGTGCAGCACCACATCTATATTTGAGACAGTCACAGTGGAAGAAAACCCCAAACAACATGGATAATAATACCTAATCAATATTTTCTGATGAAAATATACAGCACTTGCTGTTTTATCTCATCATTTGATTTTTATAGCTGGGGAAAATATGGCAATATATAGTGATACTGCAATATCGTGATAATATCGTATCTTGACCCAAGTATCGCGACATGTATCGAATCGAAACACTCATGCCAATACTCACCTCTACTGTGTTTATCTATTCAGCATCTCTGATCATTTTCTCTTTTCAGGCAGAGTCTGTCTATTGAAGGCTTCAGCTGTCCGCTTATCCTGAACACACACTTCAGCCAGAAGGTCTCCTCTGCTTCCAAGCCAGATAATAGTTCCTCAACAAAGATTTGGCTCTCTGCTGAGAGACATGCCCCTTATTTTTTGGGTAAAATATTTGGACTACTGGATGAATGCAAGCCTAAAGATGAAAGCAATGCAACGCAGGTATGAATACATTGACCCTGACACAAGAAATATATTTAAAGCTCTTGACAAACGTCTAAATGGTTAATAAACCGATTTATTAAGCATCAATTAATGGAAAAAAAGTTGAAGCAGGCAGAGAATTGATCACTTGGAACATGTAATGACAGCAGCTGTATACTATGTTTGCAGCAGTTTGGCTACAAGCCCTGAAGTTCTTCTCAGGTTTGGTTATTGTGCACAAGAACAGGAGTTCAAAAGGCTCATGTCAGTGATATTTATGAACTCATATTTACAAAATTACAGCTGTAAATTTACAGATTGTGGTTCATTGCCTCAGGGTTCATCGCAATGTCTTAATAATGAGCATAAAGAATTACAAATACCCATGGTGGAGCACTTTAGTCAGCACGATTAAATGTGTTCTCCTTGTGTACTCTAGAGGTGTCATATATGATGAATTTACTTGTACTTTTATGTACTTGAAATATTAAAGCAAGTATAAATACTGGATTATTTTTATGGCATCTTTTAAGAAGTGTTTTAGCAGCTACTATCAATCCTACCTCCTCATTTGTCAAGATTTGCAAAAGGAAAACAAAAGTTTTCCTTTTGTAAAGTGTCAATTGACTTGAATTTAGATTTCCCAGCAATTGCATAAACAGGCATGTCCAATATTATTAAAACATCAGATCAGCTTGTTGCAGTCTAATCCATTCTTTTATTAAGTTTAAGATTCTATAACATACTGTCCAATTTGAATAACTTTTATAGTAAAATAAGTTTAGGTTTTTTTAGGCAATTCAAATGGTAATTTTTATCTAAGAGGTCCAGCTGATTGCAGTGACCCGCTGACTTTGCAGCAATCCTTCTTCCTTAGCATGCATGAGGGGATAGTGGAAAGAAAGAGTCTCCAGTTAACAGAAGAAAAATAGCTCATTTAGAGCCAGAGTTTAAGCAGTCATCTACTAGACCTGCAAGAGAGGTTGATGGGATAGATGATGATGATAAAAACGCACAAACCATCAGTCCAGCCGTATAACCGTGGCATTCTGCAGCTACATGTGATGTACAAATTTAGCAGTTGTCTTTTAAGGGTGTCTAGATAGAGACCAAGTGGAGCTATGTCCCCTGTTCTTTAGAATGCAGGAGAAAACTAAAGGAACAAAAACAATTGGATTACTCCATGTAGTCACACTAAAGAGTCTGTTAAGTAAACATATTTTATTTTATTTATGCTTATTCAAATGTGTAGCACAAGCAATACCTGTAAATTAGCAGGACATGAATTTAAGAAGAGGAACTGGCATAAATATTCACTTTTAGATGCAATGAAGCTTTTTTACAAATAAATATGCCAGAGATAAATCTAACGTGTTCATTTTATGTTATTCTGGTTCTTTTTGCTTACAGCTTGAAGGATCGAATGTTCTCTGCAGTTTTAGGACAAGACACTGTCTCTCTCTCCTGGAGGCCATTGAAGGACTTGGCCAGGCTGGCCATGTGGATCAGGATGTGGATGTGGTTGTCCAAAGAGTTTACTCCATCCCTATGGCAGATTGTTCTCCTCTCTCCTTTCGCAAGCACAAAGCCTCCCTTCGGTCCTCCACTGCTCCTCCTCCAGCAGAGAAAGGAAAAACCAGGTACTGCTAAACAGCCCGATAATTAGTGATCCAAGTGTGTGTGTGTGTGTGTGTGTGTGGGGGGGGGGGGGGGGGTGTATCGTTTTTGTGCCAAAAACAATACACGCACCCCCCCCATATTGTTCTATTTTAATCATTTGCTGCAATTGAATTAATTTTTTTTGGTTGGATGTGCATGCTGACTTTTTTTTTCAGACCCCATATGTTTGTCCTTCGTGACATGATGTGTCTCAGTGGTCGAGCTATTGTTCACGGAGGAGCAGGCCCCACAGAGTGCTCTTGCTGTCTCCAGCCATATGGCATTCCTTGACAAAGGACACAAACATTTTTAATTGAATCCAGTCTTTCTCTTATTGTTCCTGGCGATTTCTCAGGAAATAGAGCAGTACGTTCATACAGTTTTGTGCACCAGCAAACTTGTGAACTAGTCTTGCTTAAATGGAGTCCCATTGTTTCTTTTTTTTTTTTTTTTTCAGTCCATCAGACTACTGATCGAGCTCTTCTTATATAATCACATGTAACACAGTGACTTAAGATATGATAAAAAAGAAGCAACACATCAAAGAACACTTAAAAAATCTTGGGTAAAAGTAAAAAGTAAGCTATAAGGCTTACAGTATGAATTACATAAGTGAGGGAAAGCATTTACATTTATTTGTCAGAAGATAGTAAAGATGAAGTATTAACTTACAATTAATTAGTTCAGAAATCTCTAATAGTGCCACACATTTGTTTTCCAAATTAGGTTTTTTGAGATTGTAGGTAAATGGAATAAAACTAGGCAAAAATAAACTTACTTAAAAAAATCATGAACAGATAAAGTTAATAATATAAAAATAAGATCAAATGAATGAAGTCAAAACAATTCAGCCCAAGTTTCTAAGTTTTTAATCGGTGTTTACAAATGTCAACAGTTGCAGCTGATCTCTGGTGTACAGGTCGGTCCTTCCACATGCTGCAGCCAGAATAAACGAGTCACGGTTTTTGTCACAGTGGATAAATTCAAGTCAGGTTTGGCCAAAAACACTAAGCTGTATGTAAAAAAAAAAAAGAAAAACAAATGCCCAGGATGAAGGGAAACTTTTTATTATTGCTTAAATCTTGAAAAGATAAAGAGAGCAGTAGATAAGAGATGTCCTCACCCTGAATAAATACAGGGACTGTTTGAAGATGCAAAATACTACTACTAATGAATAGTAGGTACCGTAATTAATTGATTAAATTCATTTTCTTTATTTAATGATATATTTGTTTATTTGATTTTGTCCCTTTCAACTCTCCACATTCTAGATCTGCTGTAATACATACATATATTTATAGGTGATATGAAAATTTTGCATGGAAGAATGCTACATTGCTGCAAAAATAAAAGCACCACACATCACTCTAAGCCTCCACTTTTTAATTGGGCCTAAATTGACAGTTGTGGAACAACAAAGTTGGAATCACGTATTCAAGAAAGCGGTTAAGCAAACCTAGCGCCGTGCGAGAGAAATCCAAGCATGTGTTTATTTAAACATGAACTGGAATATTTGGAAACTGAGCTACAGTTTGTCATAGTTTTTTCTACCCTGTTTGTGGTAAGATGACTTTATAAATGTTCATGATTGTAGTGGCTTACTTTAGAACAATGCTTTCTTTATTTGGTTGCAAAATAAAACCAGAGCTGATCCTTCTTTCTTTAATGTTCAAACAGCTCATATCATCTCTTGGAAGTCTGTATTTATTAAGGAGACATTTCCTTGCAAAAAAAAATAGAAAAGTTAAAAAAGGCTTTGCCCAAATGCCCAAATACATTCCTTTCTTTAAAGTCTTCCTCTCAGGTATTGACCAGTCAGTGGCGGCCGGCCCATAGGGTGCACTGGGGCACCGCCCTCCCTTATAAGAAGAGAGAAACGTGAAATATATTTTTACAAATTAACTCATAAATGTCAGTTTTACTCTCTAGAGTGTGTACCTATAAGCAAAGCAAATTATATAAACTACATTTACCTACCTACTGTCATTCATTTGTGGATTTCCACAGACAGTAATAAATTACAGTAGTAAATTAAATCATTACTGTTAAATTGTATTTATTGTTCAATTGTTTATTTGAATTCTTATTCTGGATTAGTTTGAGACATACACTAGGCTATATCAGCCCCACCAAAATTATTTTTCACCAGCCGCCACTGTGACCAGTATAGAGCAGATACAAATATTTTTCTGTATTCTTTTATTTGAACAGGAACCGATTGTAATCTAAGCTCTATACATACTGTTTGATCTGGTATAACTGAAGGGCCCCGATCTCCTCACCAGCATGTTTCTGTGGTCCAACCAAATCATTTCACAGAAACATAACACAGCAGCTCATGAAGTGCACCACTTTTTTTTGCAGATTTTTTGTTTCCTTCTGTCTCTGTGCCCCACGAATCCAAACAATGCCCCACGGATCATTAAAAAACAGCCAGCATGGATTCAAAGCAAGCAAAGTCCCACTTAATGAACACACTGCACACCATACCCTTAAACCAGAACATATAGAGGATCTTGATATAAAAACAAATGGAATAAACTGCATTTAAAGAACAGAAAAACACAGCAGCAAAGGCTGTGGGATGGTTTATAGGTACTGGGTGAGGCCGTAAGAGGTGATTCTCAGAGTGATCTGTGGTGCTTGTTGAAGTTTTTTTTTATTTTTTTTTATTTTTCTTTTAGGGATGAGTGATAAGCTGCACTTTCCTAATGTCGCGTGATGTTTTTGCAAGGCTCAAAGATGATCAATACTTTATTTGATTTCTGTCCTCCTGAACTCATATCATTGGTAGTTTTCTGTGTTCTGTTCTGTTTCATTGATTGTTTATTCCCAAATCTGCCCCACCTGTTCTATATGCTCTGTGTGCCTCCAAACCTGATTGTTTCCCCATGAGAGACTTTAATTTGTATTTCCCCCTCCTCAATGTGTGTTTTACTTTGGAACCCATCTCTCTTCCTGTCAGACCCAAACTCTAATTGATTGAGATGGCTGTGTATGCTTATTTTCTGACCTAAAGTACCCTACATTTCTTGGTTCAAAAGCCAAATAGCTGGATCTGTCATACCTACACAGCAAATTCCTATGATCTCTAAAAAAAACATTTTGAATGAGTTAAGAATGAATCAGTGTTAGCCATTATGAAATGGGGACTTCTGATACCAAAATAGCTAAGCTTTAAATTGCCTGGAAGATTACTGATATTGGTTATAATTAGCTAAAAGTCTCCTGTCTCCTGTTGGGGGTCTCCTGTTGTGGTTAATGAACCACCGAATGAGGCATTTGAAGCAAATCTGACCTTTGATTGCCTGAACCACTTTCTGGCTGTTTTTTTTGTTTCCTTTGCTTAGTAATAAAAGTATTGGTTTATCTAAAAGGGGGGGTTCCGGTCAGCTGACAAACTAACTGACTTGACGGGCTGTGGTTGTCACAGGACTCTCTGGCGATGCTGCTTCTGTAGCTGTAAAAAAACAGCACCCTGTGACCGGAAACGGTGCCTCTGATTCTCTCTGACAGAGCAGATTTAACAGACTCTGTTTGGAGTGAAAGGTTGGGGAACGGAGGTGGGGCAGAGGTTAGGATGAAGGAGGAAACCTGTTGACTATTGTGACAAACTGGGGTATTGCTTACAGTGAGTGTTTCTATTGAAGTTCAGATCGTTTTCAGAACTTTTATCTTATTACTTAAAAAAAGTCCATAATCTATGGTACTTTTCCAGGATGTGTGCCTGCTCTGAATTGTAGTTTACTCTGCAGCCCACTGGCCTCCCTTTCTGTAAAGACAAGGACACTTTGTACCTCTCATGTTGTGTCCCCTGTGTCTGACTCACTCCCCTGGTCAGCAAATCTTTTTTTTCATCCTTTTTGTTTTTTTAAACCTCTCCATTGAAAACTCAAGGGAGATCTGTACGATAGGAGACGTAAGTTCCTGTAAATTTCGAAGAGAATAAACAAGAAGATTAACTGTTTGCAGGAAGCAAGGGGAGGCAAGTTGTTGTTTTTCTTTTCTTCTTCTTCTTGGTTTAGAGGGAACACAATGTGCTGCTGGGATCCTGTTACAACCATGTTTATCACTCTGCCTTCACTGATTGGTGGACAAAGTGTAGGAAGGAATCCTCCATGCCCGCCCTCCTCCAATGAAATCTCTCCTCTGAGTTCTCGGTGTGTGGCTCGCTTACTTATAGTGTGTTGCCAAGTAATGTGCTTGTGCTCTGGCCTTTCATGCGCTCAAAGTGTGACTGTGTGTGTGTGTTAAAGAGGAGATATGTTTGTGGGTGTTTGCTCAGACTAAGAGTGTCGAACTTCCTGGAAGAAAATCTGAGTTGCCGAGAATTCTGCGATCACTCACAATAACAAATTCCTGAAAACGGTCAGTGACCCAGTGCAGCCTGTGGCTTAGGGTTTTTTGGGAGTAAAGGGTCATCGTTTTGGGGGGGGCAATGGACAGTAGATGAAGCCAAAAAGCCACCTTTTTGCAGGGAGATGGTGTTGTTTATGCCAAATCAACCCTTTTTGTCTGTTAGATTTGATATCCTATCAGGTATCAGGCTGGCTTTCAAGCTTTTACATGCTGCAACAGAAATGGAAGTGTATACATTTTTCCAACTGAAGAAAACTTAGCAGCTGCCTTCATGTTTTGGGAAACAACAAATATCACTCAGTAACCCTTACACAACTGTACTTTGTCCATAAAATATTTGGTTCTGCTGATATGTCCAAGCAGTAAGCCATTGATTAAGATATCCAAAAGACTTAAAATAGGACAATCCTTTATTGTAGCCGGTATTTATATTCTGTTGATATTTTGATCCAGTTTTTGTGTGTTACATCTTACTACATTTTAGAAGACTGTAATCAAGAAGTGGATCAGCTGGTCCACTTTGGAGGAAATAAAGGACCACCGAAGAACCTCCTCTAACCCCATCTCACCCACACTGCCTCCCCTACCATCCTAACGACACTCTTTCTGCTGTGGATCACTTCCAGTTCCTAGGAACTTCCCTCCGTTGGGACCTGTGATGGTACCATAAACACGGTTCTGCAGAAGGCTCAGCTTAGAATGTCGTCCTGTGACACCTCAAGGAGTTCATAGTAATATTGCGTAAAAAGCTTTGGGGTTCTTGAACTTGAAAAGCAACATCTAAGTACAGTAGATTTACCATTTACTATCCACGACTTGTCTAGAGTCTGAAAAAGGACAGCTAACATCTCTGCAGACCCCACACATCCTGGGCACAAAACGTTTGGGCTTTACCGTCAGGTCGCCGCAACCAAGGGCTGTTTGCAAAAATTAGTCTTGAAAAGAGACAGTTCCTTTCCCCAGGCTTTCATTCTGATGAAAACGATAAATACCTCACCCCGAGTACTCAGCTACACTATTGTGAGACAAAATATGTTTATTGCATTTCATCACTCAAAGCCCACCCATTCCTTTTCTGTAGAAGTTAAACTGATTACTGTGTACCTAAGGTGATGTTGGAGCTCTATTACCAAAGCCAAGTTGTCGACTGTACCAAATCAAGGCTAAATAAATCAGATTCACATTTTGAGACTGAATTTACTTTGTTTATTTAGACTGTTGCAATTCTTTGAGCAGTAAAACTATGTTTTCCAGCCTCTTGCATTTGCTAAGGAAAAATAAAATCCAGCCTAGAATAGAATGAAATTACTGTCTGACTTACAGACAGATTATCTTTTTTATGTGAAACAACTTGATATGAAATATCCATTTTAAGTTTTTAAAAAGTACGTAAACTGGATGTTCTTCTACACAGAGTAAAAATCTCAACTACCACACTCATTGGCACCCTTAACTGTTCTTACAAAGCAAATTTAACTGGTCCTTTGTTATGTTTGATTTAATAACATCAATGAACTATTATTCAATAACAAAAAATGTTCACTGCACATTTTTTTTCTGAAATCAACATCTGTGCATCACTGCCATCAAATGACAACCATCATTTTACTTAATTAGGTACTGATTATGTGATCGCTTTAACCCTACAGCAGGGTGAAAAACTAGTGAAGAGCATGCCAAGATAAATTTAAGCTGTGATTAACTGTTTTACAAGTGTTATTAGACATGCTAAATCATGTATGCACAGGTGATAGGGACTTATACCACTAGCTGCTGCTTATTGAGCTCAATCTTACTTAAAATCATGAGGATTGTGTTGTTAAAAAATGAAGAGTTTAATTTGCATTATTTGAGACCTGTGGGAGATGGAATTATTTTCGTCTCCTGTAAATTTTCAATACCGAGATGTAAGATGTTGTTTTAGGTTTACCATAAGTTTTATAAGCTTTGATTTCCAGTTTATTTTCTTGGAAAGCTTCTGCCTATGTAGTTTTACTGTACATCCAGAATGTCTGCTCCCGGAGACAGTTTTCTCTGTTCTTTGTTTTTGTTTTCCAGCTAAGCTTTAGATAATCACTCAAAAGTTTTACTGCTTGACAGTCTGGTTGTTTTTAACGTTAAAAGTCATTTATTTTACAACGTCTTTGGAAGTCAGCAATGACATATTTCAACATAAATCAAAGCACAGATAGGTTTAGAGAGAAACGTCTCAATTTATGCAGAACATTTAAGATGGCTTCAGGCCCTCTGTACTGTTACAGTCTTATGAGGTGAGAATATTTTTTTCTTTTAAAAAAATCTTGGTTTTGGGTTTTATATAATGTTTTATATCAATTTGCCTATTTATCAGTCTTAGTTATATTAAAGGTAAAATAGACAGCTCATTTTTGATGGAATTCCTTGATATTTTCAGTTTTTACAAGACTTTATTGCAGAAAGACTGTTTTTGACTAAACCACTGGATATATCTTCTGTGCAGATATGAACCCTAATAGCCATGTTTAGTCAAGAAATGTTCATTCAGATCATTTCAGAAACAATATGCAATATAGTTCAGAAGATCAAAGGTCTTCAAAGTATATTTGACATGGTCCTTATCAGTTTGATTTAACCAAACTGAGATTAATACAGATTGTTAACTTAGCTAAAATTATTTTGAAGTTTCTGTATATTTTTAAAGTTTCTGGAGAAATCATTCCAAGTTTAAAATTAAATTTGATTTTCCAAAATGGAATATGTGTAGGTTTTTCTCTAATATCAAATATATATATATGTGTGTATGTGTATGAATGTATATATGTGTATGTGTGTGTGTGTGTGTGTGTGTGTGTATATATATATATATGTGTGTATATATATATATATGTATATATGTATGTGTAAGTATGTGTATGTATATGTATGTATATATATATATATATATATATATATATATATATATATATATATATATATATATATATATATATATATATATATATATATATATATATGTGTATGTATGTATGTATGTATGTATGTATGTATGTGTGTGTGTGTATGTTTATATGTGCATATGATTTTTTTTTTAAAGATTATGTTGTCAAAACCACAAAAAAAGTTTCTGTTGTACGTCGTTCTAAATAGCTTAGAGAGTAATGCAATACTGCCCCTCCCCCACCTGTTGCTGTGCATCCTGCCATATTTTACCCAAGCTTGGAAGGAAAGGCAAAGTTGGCGGTTTTGCGATTTCTCCAGTCGTACAAAAGGACCAACCATCACAGGTGGGAACTAAAGGAGCACCATCCATGACTTAATAAGGAATCACAGTTTTAAAACTGCAAGCTGGTTATACCAACAGTATAACAGTGGCTCAACCTAACAGTTAATCAGCTTAAAAACTAACTTTATTAAACTATAAAGAGGAAAATAGTGGTGCAGTGTAATACTTCCCTCAATGAGTGCCTAGAACTACTGCTATATTTATTCTAAATTTTTGGTTGAGTCTTTTTATCATATCAAACAAACAATATATAAATGAATGTATAGGTATTGTAAAAGTAATTATTCATTAGTAGTCAAATTGTTATGGGATAACATTTAAATCGAAGTTGCAATGTTAATGCAAATACCTTGGTATTAACACAAACTATCATGATATATCATTTTACTATCATTCTGGGAGACTCTAGTTTGGTCTCCACCTAGTGTTAAACCTTTGTTTGCTTGTCATCTGTTTTTGTTTTAATCCCACAGCAAATGTTATCACTGCAATGGGCTGTATATGTCTGATTTGGTACTATGAATACACTGACTAAAGTAAACAGCTGAGAATAGACCCGGTTGATCATGGTCAGACTACTAAAGCAAAGTCAGGAATGTTATTTTCATATCTGCATCGCCTTCTCTGAAGACAAACACAAACTCCAAGTTTAGCAACAGAAAACATTCATAGCTCCAATCAGGTGGTTGAAAACAGCCTCAAATATCTCTAGCGTCTGGGGTGTGTGGATACATGCACAGGCTTGGTGGACAGTCCTCTACCCGTCTTGCTATTTTTTTTTCTATCTTCCTCCTCCTCGTCTTCTCTGACCATGCTTGTCAAACAAGGGTACATGAACTCCACTGTTTACTCTCGGGTTGTGCAGGACTTTGTCTGGGCTTGACTCTCACTGATACTGAAGCTTTTAGCCGTTGAGGGTCTAAGCTTGCTGGGAGCAACAGAGTGCAAGAATAGTCGACTCCTCACTCCCTCCATAACTCTGTAGAGCAAAGGTCTGCTCTGTCAGCAGCAGCCTGTCAAACCAGCTCCTGGCATTAACACAGAAATGTCACAACTAAGTATCAACCCTGCATTGTTTGTGTGACACAGCACAATGTGACGTTTCATTACAGTAATTAAAAAAAAAGTCCTTTGATTTTTCAAATCATTTTTTGGAAACCATGATAGGCATTTCAGCTTTCCTTTGTAGGTCAACTTTTATTTCAGTTAAGTTTGCACTATATTTGCTTAATTCAGATATTCTGCAATATAATGTCAAAGTAATATATTTTCTTTATTTAACCCAACCAGGCCCTGATATTCTGATGGTTTGGGCTTTTTAAAACGGGTGCAAACCTGTTAATATGCTCATAACAGATCTTCAAAGAAGATGCAAAGTGTTAAGCATTTGCATTTCAGCAGACAACATGTGTAAACATAATCTAGTGACTAAACCATGCAAATCATTGGTGGAAGATATGCATATATATTTACCACACATTAACAGATCTTCCAAATCTGGAACTTGGCTGCGGCTTCAGTTTTGTGTTGCTTTTTTAGTTCTTCTGAAAGTCTGATTCAAACTGACAAGCAAAAATATCCGCGGTCATTGTGGGCACTAAAAGAAAGAATGGGTACAACGCCAGAGAATGAAGAGAGATTTTGTGTGCATGTAAACATATTCAGACCATCAGAAATAACAATAGTAGAGTAATAATAATGCTGTATAGTAGAAAACCTTTCAATTAAACCAAAAAAAAAAGAAATGACTCAGCTTATTGTGGCACTTTTATAAGAAACAAAATATCAAAAGAGCATCTAAAACATAACTGTATATAAAGCATGGTTGCACTATAAACTTTATCTAGTATTATATTGTTTTTTTTTTTATCAATTATCATTCTTGCAACTTTTAGCTGCATGGCTTTGAACCTCCCTTTTTTTTCAGCCACTCTGAATCTCCCTGTAGGTCACAATATCTGCTCATTTTTTCCTCAGATTTGAAATTGGCCAGCTCCTCCCTCTCTTTTGAAAAACACTATCCCTGTAGCATAATACTGCCATTTTATTGCTTCATATTGTAGAGCTTCCCCAGTGCAATTCAGTCTATTTTTGCCCCAGGCATAGTTTAACTGAGTTTTTCAATATCAATATATCTGTAAAATACAATTAAGCATGTGATTGTAAAGTGAAAAATGGGAATACATAAAAATGCCTTATTTCTCTTAGGAATTATGATCAACATGTTATATATTGTTTTTTGTTTGTTTGTTTGTTTGCTTGTTTTTTTCAGGTTATGTGTGCTCATCCAGGATAGCTTTGGGATTTTTAGCGTGCTCCAGCTCCATCCTCTTTCCAACAGCGACGAGCTCCACCAGTACTCCCAGATGTGGCAGGGCAGAGCCTGTGTGCTGAGGGGCATAAAAGTGGTGCAGCGGGTCACTCGAGAACGGTGAGATTCTCAGTCTTTAGTATCAGGCCAGTTTCTCAGGTGAAATTAGCTTTGTATTTTACCAGAAACAATTTGCAGTATGACTCCATTTCTTGTAAAAGCAAGGTTATCTCTCTCCATCTTTAACATTCTAGGGTAACAGCCTCAGGTAAATGCCTCAGAGAGTCAGTTGCTGATAAGAAGTTATAGGAAGCACCCTCAGAGCCAGGAGCCCTCAGCATAAACCCTCCTCAAATCCATATCTGATTTAATTAAATGCGTTTTGGCAAATACAGCGGATATAATAATTACATCCCCATTTTTTATTGTTAACATTATTTTAAATTAAACATTTGACCTGAAGTTTCCACCAGGTGTGGGTAACAAACTAAGTAATCCATATATAGAAAGATACCAAAACAAATAAACTCAAAAGTTAAAGGAATAGTACACCCAAAACATGATTAGCCTTCATTTTCTACTCACCCCCATGCTGAACAACACTCTGCAGTACTTTTTTGATATCTCAAATGCATCTGGAGATCTGGGAGGCTACTTGCTGTCTGCTGACATTCAAATAATGGAGGTCTATGGTGCCCGAGGCAAAAAGGTCCATAAAAGTCCACAAAAAAACGTGTCAATATTCCTCCATACTGCTCGTCCAATGTATTCCAAGTGTCCTGAGTGGGTAGCATCCAGAATTTACTCGAAACGAAGTCATTTAGAATGTTTTTAGAGCATAAACAGTAGTGTATAGGATTTCCTGAAAGCGCGTTCACGACGCTACGGAAACCGCGGCAGACCAAACCAGACGAAAGTGCGCATTCAGCTCGGCAAAGAACTCATGCTCTTCCTCAACACTGAAGTCCTCAGACATTTTTCTTTCGTTGTTTCTTTCTTGGCACAGGTAAACAGCACATTTCTTCTTCTACGCTTGCATTATCGGCAGAGCAGACGCTGAATGCGCACTTTCATCTGGTTTGGTCTGCCGCGGTTTCCGTAGCGTTGTGAACTCGCAGGCGCGCGCTTTTAGGAAATCCTATACACTACTGTTTATGCTCTAAAAACATTCTAAATGACTTTGTTTCGAGTAAATTATGGACGCTACCCACTCAAGACACTTGGAATACATTGGACGAGCAGTATGGAGGAATATTGACACGTTTTTTGTGGACTTTTATGGACATTTCTGCCTCGGGCGCCATAGACCTCCATTATTTGAATGTCAGCAGACAGCAAGAAGCCTCCCAGATCTCCAGATGCATTTGAGATATCAAAAAAGTACTGCAGAGTGTTGTTCAGCATGGGGGTGAGTAGGAAATGAAGGCTAATCATATTTTGGGTGTACTATTCCTTTAAGCTATGTGTGGTAATGTGAAATGAAACAGGAAAAAGAATGGAACACACTCACTGATATTTAATTAATATTTTGTACAACAGCCTTCTGTTAGCAACGAACGCTTCAAGACTCATCCTGTATGGAGAAACTAGTCACACGCTTTGATCAGGTGTGTTCAATACTGCATATCCTTGTCTGTCCCTTTTTAACGACCTAAAATGTGAACATGATGTTAGGAGTTTTCTTGAACCGTGTGATGATGTCCTGTCAGCAGTCTGTCTCTGTTTACAGGTAAGCTGATACCAAGGTTCATGGTGTCTGTTCCTCGTGAGTTTCCAGCTAACATCCCAGATTAGCAGCAGTTAGAAGAAGTGGTGTGAGGGCATTTAGAAATTGGCTGGGGAACATTTACTTCCATGATATTTTCAATGTCTGTCCCATAATAATCATGGAGGTTGACTTTGGTCAGAGTGTGATGGATAGACTATCTCCAATAGCTTTATTTACTCAAGTGGGAAAACACTCGGGGTTTTTCCACTTCAGTGGAACTTTCAGAATGCCTGCTAGACCTCTAAGCTTGTCCTAGAAATCCAAAGTGTCTGAGAGTCCTCTGTCCTGTTGGCAGTGTACTCATATTATTTTCAGGTCAAGGCTGATTTAATAGGACCAGAAGTTCATACAGTAGGTGTTTGGCTTTTAATTCAGACTTAAAAGTTAAAACAAAACAATATGCCTTGTTCTTTTCACAAGTAGAAACCAAAACACCTTCATAGTGTGTTATTGTTATGAAGTATCTAAAAAATTTTAGGTCTTGCATATGAGGGTATTAGGGCTGCAACAACGAATCGATAAAATCGATAAAAATCGACTTTTAAAAGCGTTGGCAACGAATTTAATCATCGATTAGTTGTGTCGCGCGATTAATGCGTCATCCGCCGCCGCCGTCATCCGGGGGAAGAAAAAAAAATATGGCGGAGCGAGTCAGCGCCGCAGTTGCAGTGTTGCCAACTCAGCGACTTTTCAGACCCCTCCAGCGACTATTTTTCAAAAAAGCGACTAGCGACAAATCTGGCGACTTTTTACGGTGTCACTGGCGGCTTTTGCCTGCCGTGGGGCGCCTCCCCCATCCCAACGCCTTTCTCCCTCTCCCACAGGAATCCCTCTCAGCGCGGCAGTCAGAGCCGCAGGATTTTAGTGAGGAGTTTACCCTCAGCGTCCAGACTGCAAATGAAGCGCGCATGCGCCGGGATTGACGGCGCAAATTGATCACAATAATTAAAATAGCCTGCGCTTTGTAAAGTGAAAAAAGTGATAACATGCAACTTTTTTCAAAAGAAATGAACATGGCACGGAAGCACCACTGTTATGACGCAGCACCTGAAAAGAAAACACTTTGGAGCCTTCGATGGCAGTGAAGAGAGCTGATCAGCAGGATGAGTAACCATGTTTGTTTGGTTTTAAAGTGGGGAAACGTAACGTTAGTTTCTCAGGTAGCTCATCTGATGCTTTCCTTACCTTGTTAGTAGGTTACAGACAGGGATAAGGTTGGCTACTTATTTTACTTTTAATTTCATTTACATTTGTTTAAGCAGCGTTTATATTTTCTTTATAAATAAATTAACTTGCAAATTATGAGGGCAAGGCTTTTAAAGTTTAAATCTTCTGGCAAAGATAAAGAAAAGAAGATCCTGCAATTTATGGAAGTAAAGCAGAACAAAATCCAGCAAGATCAGTAATATGTCAATTAATTATCTGCCACATTCCCATGTAAATATCTGTCTTTGGAGGATGTGTTTTTTTACCACCCCTAGTTCTCTCATTTTTATTCCAAATACAATTTATAATTTGAATCACAGGGCTATTTTTATCTCTATGGTTCAGTATTTTCTCAAGCAGCAACTTTAACTGCTATACTTTCCTGTCTTAAAAGGCAGAACTCTTCTAGTCTAAAAAAAACTCATTTCTTGAAATGGGGGGACCTATTGTTGAACCCCTTAGGGGCTTTAAAAAACAAAAATGCCTGTCTCTTTTTGCGCTTTATGAACCAAAGTAGCCTATATTTTGTGGATGTACAGCTACATTTCTCATGTAAGTTTGCGTAGTTTTTACACAAACATTTATTTTTCATATTGCACCAGTACAGTTAATGAGCAACCTGTACTTGTGTGCTTGTTTGTTCTGTCTAAAATGTTTATTTTGGAATAAAGAGGTTAATATAAAATTTTTTTTTTTGTCCGATTCATCGATTAATCGAAAAAATAATCGGCCGATTCATCGATTTTTAAAATAATCGTTAGTTGCAGCCCTAGAGGGTATACATTAAGCAAGATTTTTCTGTTAATGGTGTTCTATGCACATGTACATCTTTAAAAAAGTGTTCAGGTCTTATTGTGAAATCAAAAGTGTGAACTGCTGTTCTAATAGTGAGATACAGAAACCCACAGCATCAGTGAGTTAATCAGGCATCACATCAAGTGTTTCTGACAGAATACATCTGTAAAAACTTAAAACCATTGTTGAAACATTGCCCAAACCTTTCCTAATGTGTTATCTTTTTACGGGGTAGCAGTTTAATCTTACCCATACATAAAACTTAACTAGGCCAGCTTAATTTTTTATATAATTTATTAGCAAATTATTAAAGCTACAGTGTGTAATTTTCAGCGACATCTAACGTCCAGACTGCAGACTGCAGCAAAATGAACGTCTCCCCCCCACCGCTTCTCCCCCCCAACAGTACGGCAAGCGTTAGGGGACAAAATGTCTTCCACGACGTCGGAATCACCTACCTTCTCAAGTGATGAGGTTTGTTTACATAGATAATTTTACAGATAGTATTTCATTAGTCTGTATAGGGTATAGATTTCATGTAGACTTTAGATAATAAATATACCCGTTATTTTTTCTACATCGTTGTGACGTTTTGGTGAGCTGCTTTGCATGGTGATATAAACAGACGAAGGAATTGTAGTCATTAGTTTAACAGCAAGATTGTGTTCGCTGGAAGAATATATATTCCCCGTTTACAGAGTCCAAGTCTTGTTTGTGGCACGGGGGTTACAAGGCGAGGAAGAGGGCGAGGACAGAGAGGCCGGGGTGGGCGTGCAGCTAGGGCCAGGCGAGGGAGGGGAGCCAGCGGGGTGAGAGCAGAGGAAGAAAGGCTTGAAGATCTCCAAAGGAGCCGGAGAGAAGTAACCGAGGTATATATCCAGAAAATTATTTTACAGAAAATTACTGAATCATTACCTGTGAAACGTCAGGGACGTTGCTGAATAAGTATACTGGAGAGTAACAGCATCATCACGCAGCATGTTATTGTTTTAGACAGGTCTGAGCATTCTGTACTCCAAAAACTGCAGTGATATTAGACAATTGTGTGTGTAGGATTAATTACCTGTCCAAGAGAAAACTGGCAACTTGAGCGTCACTTTGAAAACCTTTTTCCTCCATCAGTGACTTCCATCGTGTAAATGCCGTGCCAATGTTGATCCGTGTTTTTTGTCGTTTCTTGTCACGCTTGCGTTTATTCTCGTCGTGTTTCCGCTTCTTAGATGACGGGGGTTCGGTGCCCGGCGCTTTTCGTTGTGATACAGATTAGGCATGATCCTCCATTCGTCTGATGTTTGGCCACACAGTGCCAAACAGTTTGCAAAGTCACTCACGCCTGCCGCCTTGTTCACCTTTCTTGTTACTGAGGCGCAGTATACCTGCTTCTTCTTCTTCTTTGGTTTCAGGCAGACTAAACGCTTCTCAGGCATAGTACTGCCATCTACTGTTCAGTACCGTCTCAGTTAATCTCTCTCAACTTGCCGTAGTTATTTTCGAGCGTAATGGGCGATCTCGCAATCGCTAGTTTGTTGCCTCTGCGCTTGCCGTAGCACAAAGATGTCAGCCTCCATGGCTGCGAGACCCGCTCCTATGTAATTATAAATAACGAATTCTAAGGCAACGCAAATATTATGGTTAAATGGCTGAGCTCATAGGTGATGATAAATAACATAGTTATGTATAATATATTAAATTTCTGACTTTATATCCCTGTAATTATTACACACTGTAGCTTTAAATATAGCATATGTGTTTAACTTTTAATTAGCTGCCTTTATTGTTACAAAAACAAATAATAAAGGCTTTTTTTTTTTTTGCAAGTAAAACATTTTTACTATTTTCAATGTCAGCTATGGTAACAATGAACTAGATATAGACCAATGTTAGGCTTATTTTTCTGCCAGCTTATTTCCAGCTTTTTAGCAAATACTAACGTATTTGTCCAAAAGGAAATCAGCAAGCTCCAACTGGCTTCTGAACACTTTTTCTTTACTTTAGGTCGGCATCAACTCTGGAAAAACTTGATCACTGTTCACCCCCAGTTTAGCTTCTTTTTTGGTCAGCTTGAATCTCAGAAATGTAAAGCAGAGAAGAATTTCTTAGCGCTACTAGAATCTAGCAACACCAGAACTCCATCTCACATGAGCTTAGCGTAGTATTCCTTTTGGAGCAGAATCATCTAAATGTTTAATACATATATAATTTTACGTAGTTCTATACTAGATAGATAGATAGATAGATAGATAGATAGATAGATAGATAGATAGATAGATAGATAGATAGATAGATAGATAGATAGATAGATAGATAGATAGATAGATAGATAGATAGATAGATAGATAGATAGATAGATAGATAGATAGATAGATAGATAGATAGATAGATAGGATGTCCTTTGTTCATTATTGTTTTAATAAAAAACTTTGATGTCCTTTAATTAATGTAGGTATTAAGATATCTACGCAATAAGACATGCAGGTATGACTTTAATCAGCTAAACAGGTGACTAAATGTTTCCATAAGCTCTTAGTTTGGGGGGGTTGTATGTAACAGAAAGACAAAAACTTCAGAGTGTGTTCAGCAGCTTTAAAGTAACTTGTGGTGGCTTTAGTTTTTACCGGCTTCTCACCAGTAGCACCTGGGTGTAGTTTCTTGAGCGGCACATAATACTGTCTGCTTGCTTTGCTGCCGCTGTGGTTCACATCAAAACTGCACAAAGCCTCCATCTCCTTATTTCTCTCACCTCGGCTCAAGAACTTCCATATTTTAAACCACCTTGGCCTTCAAGAGGTTTGAAAATGTGTAAACCGTTTGATTACTAAAGGGAAGCAGGTACTTTATTTATCATGTTTGCTTTGAAACTGTAGAGCAGATGAAGCACACCAATGATGCAAGCAGCACGCATACTCCCCCACCTTCTGACCTCCTTGTAAACTGCGGGCTACAAGCACATGTTGTCGTGATGGAAATTAGTTGGAAATTGTGTTTAAGTTGGACAAAATAAAAAATCAGAAACTTTATTGTGAACCAATAAGACTGATATCTGGGTATTTCTGTCCGAATTTCCTATTAGTCAAGGAAGACTGCAAACATTACGGGTTTATTTGTTTATTCTTTTTTTTTACCCAATGAAACTTGCATCTTAGCTCCAAACAGATTAGCAATAGCAAAACTCTAATTATTAATTGAGAATAGGAGATCTATACGTGATCCAGCGGTCATCTTACTCTGCTTTGAAGGAACCATTGCTTTCCTACAATTATGTTGCAGTAGTGTAATTATATATATGTGTGTGTGTGTGTGTGTGTGTGTGTGTGTGTGTGTGTGTGTGTGTGTGTGTGTGTGTGTGTGTGTGTGTGTGTGTGTGTGTGTGTGTGTGTGTGTGTGTGTGTGTGTGCGTGCGTGCGTGCGTGCGTGCGTGCGTGCGTGCGTGCGTGCGTGCGTGCGTGCGTGCGTGCGTGCGTGCGTGCGTGTGTGTGTATATATGTGTTTAAGCATCATTAATCGGTGCCTACTTATTCTTCCCTCACAAACTCACTATTTACCAATTAGGTTGTGTCATGTTTCAGAATCACAAGAGAAACTTGACTTTTTCTTTTACTTTTCCCGAAACATCAACAAAAGTTAACCCACAGAAGATCATAATTTATAGACAGCACATAAATCCATAAATGATGCAGAGGCCTATTTGCAAAAATGACAATATCAGGTTTATTCTCCAGCCAGGTTAAAAAACTCGTCCTTGTCGGACCAGATTCTGTTTTTTTTTTTACTATGCATTTTTTGATGACATGTAGCAAACAAGATCTTGTTTGCTAGCTTTGCTTTTTTGATCATGGCCCAGTTACACCATTGTTTGCTTGTTTCCATTTTTGTTTTCATCGGCTAAAGATCTGAGCGGTCATCTGCTGCAGATTTAGCTCCATTGATAAAATTGAATACATCTATTTAACAAAACCTTAAACTTTGAAACCTTGTTGGTCTCAAGAGCCATAAACCTGCAAATTTATCTCCTCTGCTTTTTGATTAAATATCCTATGTTGACAGGAGGTAGGTGGTATGGCCAGTAAATGTATGGCATCTAAACATATGATAGAATTTGTGCATGTACTGACTGAAAATGTGTAACACAGCTAAGTATGACCTAGAGCTGCACCTTAGATCAGGTAAAACAAAAGGTGTTAAACTAAAAGTAAACAGAGTCAGGATTAAAACCCTAAGTGTTGAATGAGCACTGTGAGCCTGTCGTTACTCATCAGTGAGTTAACCTCACAGGACTTGACCAGGCTGCAGAACCAGTTCCACACAAAGAAACCCTGTGATTAGAGGTTGACTAACTGGTTGTTAAGCACTGACTGATATGACAGCACCACTATGGATGAAAACAGGTAGCAATGCCTTGAACTAAACATGTTCGTCTTAGACCATGAATCAGACTGAAGTTACAACTGGTGTTTTTCCCTGTTTTTTTTTCTTTTAATTGTAACGTTCAACAGCGGTTTGACGTCAATCCAACAACATAAACGTTTACTGAATATGTTCCTGTAGCAGTCTGTTTTAAAAGGGATTAAGGATATGTTAACAGGAGCCAAAGTGTCACTAATTGATCAGGTGGACATTTAAATCTCCTGTAATCCGTTTTCTAAACCTTATTTTTCTCACCATAGTTATATCATAATTTACATTGGGTGTAGATTCTCAAGTCTCTCATGACCTGCTTGTAAAAGGTATTTTGTGTGAGTTTCAGCTCTGCCAGCCCCAGCATGCTCTCTGTTGATTGTAGGTGGTGCAAAAAAAAACAGGCCCTCTCTTTACAAATTCATGTTTCAGTGGAAGTGAAACCAGCTGCGAAAGCTTTCATTCCACTCACTCAAGTCCCTCATTCTGTAGTTTCTCCTTTTTTTTCCTCCCCTCTTCTGTGCCCCTCCTCACTATTTTTTTTTGTTTCTAACTTGCAGGCACCCCAGGCTTTTCAGCTTGATAGACAGTCTCTGGCCCCCAGCGACGTCTCTAAAAGATCATGGAATCTCACTTAGTATGCCAAATGTAAGTTCTCATTGTAGTAATAATAGTTTAATCCCCTGAGAAACTGCTATTCATCACCTTTTATCCACGATTGATGTGCAAATATATTTAAATGGGAGTGTCTATAAAGGCAAAACTTTTTGTCTTTATCATTATTGTGTAGAAGTATACACAGATGACAATGCAATTACTATATTTCTTTAGTACAACAGAAAAATATGCAATCAGGTTTGATCTTAATTTACCAAGATCATATATATTAACAAACGTTCTTTATTTTGAGAATACAACAATGAGAATAGGATGTATAAAATTAACATAGCACGGTAATAAATTAGCAATACTATCACCAAGTCACAGTCTGATACCAAATTTAATAGGATTAAATGAATCGCATGTATAAGGCGAAAGCAGATATTTGGATTCAGTAAATAAAGAGCACATGCTGTTGCTGCCTAACATTAGATAAATAAGTAAGCTTGTTTGTTTTAGGAAAGTTTGGATTATTTAGATATTATTTTTGTCAAAGTAAAAATAGTGACAGAACATTGTTACTTCCTAAGCAGTTGACATGTACTTTTCCAAATAATTTGCTAAATCCCTCTCTGCCACAGACTGGTTGTTGCTGGTGTTTTATTTAGAATTTTTGTGCAGTTTCTCAAAGAGGTAACTGATGGTTTTCCTGCAGGAGAAGCTCACATTGGCACAACAGAAAGAAGTATCACAGCAGCACATGAACACTAACACAGAGGCTACTGCCCTTTGAACGTCTCTGATGTTTAATATGATATAGATTTTGTATCAAAGCGAATTTTTTTGTATGTTTGCTTTTAACTCTAGCTAAAGTAAACATCGGTGTGGAAAAACAGTTTTTTTACTATTTGAGAATAAAAATATAACTAAGTAGAATTTTCCAGGTGCTTAAAGCAGGGGAACTAGGAACCATATAATAACAAGGATCGTTTCACAAACCTTTTTCTTTTGTTTTGTTTAGTTTCAGTTTGTTCTGCATTGCTTGGTTATTTGAGAGGTCATAAGGAGACATTTGAGAGTTTTGTTATCCCTCTAAATTAAAGATGACAATGTATTCCACCAGTTAGGCTTGAGTAAATATTTCTCCTTCTCTTGAAAATGTGCACTTTTAAACTTAAATATTTTCACTTTACCCTGAATAACTATAGGACTGGGCTTATCAGCATGAGCTATGCTGCATCTTTGCATTATGTAGCCGTGTACACCTTGATTGCATGGTAAAACGAGCCAAAGGTTGGCAACAGTTTCACAGATGCACTTGTTTACACTGAAAAATTAAGGAACAGGATTTTTGGCTGAAAGTGGGAAATAACAAATAATGCTCCATATTTCTTATGATTATTCATATAATAAAGTTTAGTTAGATAGGTGGGTGGGACCCGTGTGCTTCTAGATTATTTACCTACAGCTCCATTAATTTTATTATTTTATTATAACTAACAAACCTTTGATATGAAGTTTCTCAGAAAATTATAACATTACATAAGATGCATTAAAAAGTCTTTGTATTACAGAAACTTATTCTACTAAAGATTTGGTAAAGTTATATGTTGTTTAGTGTATCCATTCAGTACATTGTGTTTGCCAAAGATTTTCTTCTCTTTTTCTCCAAATGCTGCAATTATTCACTTGTGTACCTTTTTCCATCCCATTTTTCCTTCAACTCAATTTTCCCTGAAATACAGCACTTTGTGAACACTCAGCTTTTTTTCTACCGATTACTTTTTGAGGCTAACTATCCACATAACGTGTGTTTTTCATTGTGTACAGGATAACCATGAAATCAGCAGTCTTCCAAATGATTGTGTAATTTATACCATGGCTGTTTCCTGAAAAGCTGAAGTATTTATCAGCTGCCAGTTATAGTCTTAAATATTACCAGAAAAATCTGTAGAAACTTTCTGTATAATTTTTTTACTTTTCGCATTAGTACGTAATTTTTCTTTTTCTTAATTTTTCAACAATACTTTTCTGATTTTCCTGTACATTGGTTTAATATTCTAGTTATTCTAAAGGACGGAAAGTTGGAAATCCTTTAGGGGTCAAACATTCAAATAACTACATAACAAGTATATGCGTAAAATTAATTTACTAAGAGTCACTTTTGGACTTAAATCTTGTATAATTTCTGAAATTCTTTCAAACTAGAAAACTAAGTATCCCGATTTTTTCTTTAACATGTAAAATTCGAGTGTCCATCCTCTGCAGGAAATCAGATCTCAAGGTCCACCTCCAAGTTTCTGCTACCTACTGTCGGGTCATCAGAGTTCAGTTGAGGTCACTCAAGGGCAAACGAGTTCACCACTGTACCTTCAACCCAGACAGCAGACCCTACGAGATATACTGCAGGTGGGAACTTTATCTCAGCAGTCACACTGGACAATTTGCATATGCAGTTTTAATATATACTAACTCTTTTCTCCTTCAGAGCAAGACAAAATCCTGTAGCTGCAGTTTTATTGCCACGGTTTTATATAAGAGAATGCAGGTATTTCTTCCACTTCACCTAAAACCATGTAAAAATGTATACTTATTCTCACTTTAGTAACAGAAAAGAGTAAATATTGGGTTTTCTGTGGCCCTCATTCATCTTGCTAAGATTATTTAAGCTAGCAAACTGATAAGGTTGAACTCTGACGTAAAGAGTAGTGCGCCTATCACTCTGTTTGGCCATCAGTACGAAGCCAGGCCATTCCTCATCACTGATTGGTGAGAACTTTAACCTTTGAACAACATGAGATAGCAGCTCAGATCAAAGTGCTGGACTTTAGCACACATTCACACCACCTTCCCATGTTATCTCCCTAGTTAACCAGCATTGTGTGCAACCTCTTTAATGAGTGATCTTGTCAATGCAGTTATTTTTTAAGGTGTGAATAGCCATCTTATTTCTACTTTGTAAGGTTTTGTAACGTAATATTTCCTTTAAATTCACTTTGTAGGTCATTGTGTTTCTAAGTAATTCATTTCTGCCTTTGTGTGCTGTTCTGTTTCGACTTCAGAGCAGCGATGTAGGCCAGAGGGAGGTGTGGTTGGTGCTGACAGACCCCAGTCTTCAGGAGGAGCAGTCGGAGAGACCGTGCAGGCGAACAGTGGCTCTGTGTGTGAGCACTTCCTGTGTGCTCACTTCCTCTGTCCTCGAAGCACTGAATTCCCCTGCTGTCTGTAACATGTCGTTCAGAGATGCCATCAAAGAACATGGTAGTAGTGTTGTGACCTATCCATGTTAATGTTTCAAAGCACAGGATTGTGTGTACAAGTTGGGAGAAATCTGGAAGATTTACATTTATGATCAGATTTGTGACAATTTTATTGGTTTTAACAACAAAAAAGGCTGTATTACTATTAACTGATACATGTATTCATGTGTTACTTCAGGGGAGTTTGAGCTATAAATAGAGTCAATACACTGTATAAAAAGTCGAAGAAAAAGAAAATTAAAGGAGTTTATTGAAACAATCCCTCAAGACATCAGTCATGAAGTTAAAGCCGGGGTACAAGTTGGTTCCACCACAGGACAATTACCTCAATCACACCTCTAAGACAACAAAAACAATGTTTGAGGAAGGGCTAAAAATGTGATGCAGTTAAAATTGTTCCATCAAAAGGGTCTGGTATCCAGCAAACTCTTTGATGTTTCTGGAGGAATATCTACAATTATACAGCTGCAAAAGGCAGATTTACTAAAATTGCATTAAATACTTCAGCTAATCAACAAAATCAAGCAACTTTGGTCATTCTAACTGTCCTGCAGCAGGGACATTTTTTGTTAGACAAAAGAAAACAAGAAAAACAAGTTTTTGTCTTTTTATTCAGTCTATGCAAATATCTAGTTCAGGGGTGGGCAATTCCAGTTCCTGGGGGCCAGTATCCTGCAACTTTTACATCCATCCTGGGTCCAACACTCCTAAATCAAATGGCTGAATTATCTCCTTAGTATGCAGTCAGTTCCTCCAGAGTCCTCTCAATCATCTAATTACTTGATTCAGGTGTGTTGAACCAAACACACATCTAAGGGTTGCAGGATACCGGCCCTCAGGAACTGGAATTGCCCACCTCTGATCAGGCGCGCTGGAAGCTGTTTCAAGTGAGGGGGGCTGATGGCTGGGTTGGAAAACATGTGACGTCATTATGTTTAGGGCTGTGGCTGACGTTTTTAACATAATATTGTAGGCCTACATTTGTCGCCAAAAACTGCCATTTAAAATGCATCGGAACAAAGCATGAACATTTTAAACTTTATTTCTTCTCTTTTAATAATTCAAAACAAACAGCAGCTCCCAATCAACAGGATCAGGAATACTTGAATGAAACATGGCCTAAATATAGCCTAAGCTGAGCATTGCACGTCTTGAAAGTCCATTCGACTATGGATATGGGGAATGATTTCATATCTGAAACAAAAAACACACACACACACAAAAAAAACAACTAATTTCATATTTTATCATTAAATAGCTTAATACAGACATAATATTTAGTGATATGCAGCCTTATTCTAGCGCAGACTTCTTCAGCCACAGGACTACGATGAATAGGCACAGCATATAGAAATAAATAAGAAATAAATAACGCTAAATAAATGCTCGGCGGCAGTATAGGGGAATTAAAACCATTTCTTACCTCGAAATAGTCAGAAATACGTTTCTGCTGCCTATTGCTAGCCATGCCTAAACGAATGTGAGGTGGCGGAAGCACTTCCGGGGGAGTAGCCTAGTTTTTTATGAAATATTAAAATAATGAATCATTAGTTTATATCTTATACACAGCCCATCATTATAATCCCATATCAAACACCGTCTTTTAAAAAATTAATACATAAATAATTTCATGTTTTTAAGTACAATATTATGTTACGCCACAGACTCCCACCATGGGGGGCTGATGCTATGACGAGGGAGGCTGCAACCCCCGCAGCACCCCCCTTCCCGTGCCACTGCCTCTGATCTAGTTTTAAGTAAAATTCCAGGCACTCTTGTTTGGAGAACAAGAGTGCGGCTGAAGCACCTAAAGGGTGGATCAAACTAGTTAAGCTGAGTTGATAATTAGGTATAACAATCACAAAAAAATCTTTTTTAGAAAATGGCCACTTCACCAATTTATTTATCGAGCAGCAATCTACAACATGTCATCTCAAGGCACTGTATAGAGACAATTCAACCAGAATTTTTAATCAATCGACTGTATGATCTAAGGAAATCCAGCTGATTGCATGGAGGTATTACCTTTCCAGGATTTGCTCCTCCTAGATGAGCACGTGATGATAGTAGATATTCATTTGCATTGTTTTGTTGACATTATAGTAATCATTCACACCCACCATGCGTGCAATAACAGTGGGAGGAAAAACTCCCTTTTAACAGGGAGAAACCTTCAGCTAAGCCAAGCTCAGTGAGAGCAGCTTTCTGCTGAGGCTGAATGGGGGTTTAATGAGAGAGAAGCAAACAAACAAAAGGAACATAGAAGCACTGATCTATAAATATTTTCTATGTTAGAAAATATAACTGTTGACCAGCTCTTTAGGTAGCTCTTTCTTGGAAACAAACAGTTAAGCAGACAAGTTCTGAGAAAGTTTCATGTCAAAAAGGAAGAGGTAAAGAGCAAATACAGATAGTCACAGTCAAAGCTGAAACCATTGCTACGTCTAGGAGAGAAACAGGAGAAAACACTTAAAAAAAAAAAACAGGCCAAACTCTATGATCTGTAAAAGAAGTTGTTGAGAGCAGCATCTCAGCTGATGAGCTCCCCACCCTCCCAAGGATAGTGTCACAGCTCAATAGATCACCAGGCCAGAGGTTGCTACTACCCACCTGTGTGAAACGCTTGCCAACATTTTCAACTTGATGCGTCTTGATGTGTAATCTGTATCATTTTTGAAAGAAACAGTTTCCTAATTTTAAATATTTGTATTTAAGGACACATTTTGCAGGATTTAATTCCTAAAAATCAGTTTGAAAGTTAGAAATGTTCTTGTTGAACTGATTATCATTCGATCAGATTTGTGTCTTTTTAACACTTGGTTTTAATCTAAAACAACGCTTATTCTTCTCTGGAAGAGTCAATAGAACATCTACTTTAGTAGATCCTTTCAAAGCCTGCTGCACCCCACCTTATCACACAGTTTGACTTTGAGCAAGCAATGACGTGTAGCTGCTGTGACAGTGCCATCATTATGATTTTATTGCTGAAAATCTCAACTTTTCATTCTCACAACAGGAACTCACTTCGATTCAAAATCAGCTGGTAAATCATGGAACACATTTTGTGCTGCAATATCATAGGTTTGTGCTGCTGTAGGGAAAGCACACACAAAAAGTGAACAGAGAAAAAGAAGAAAACAAATTTTAAAAACTCCAGGAAAATTTAGTTCTGGAAGATTAAACATTCCAAGTCCCGTATTCAGAGTTTTCCTGAGTTTGAAAGAGGAACAGCCCAGGATTTAAAACTGCCATGGCTGGAATATAATGTGGGGACTATTAAACATGCAAGATATATTCACACAAACCAAGCACAAAACCATATTTTTGATCTAGAAATAACCCTGTCCTTACACAAGGCTCTTCGCTAACTTTAATTGACATGCCCTGGTTTGAAAGAATAGTGTTAAAATGATGTCCCAATTTCTTCTATCAGGTGCAAAGCTCAGAGTATGCTAAGTAAATCATTCAGATGAATACTTACTTTCTTTTCTTGTATACATTTGATCAGAGCAAATAAACTTCAAACTACATTTTCTGGAAAACTAGGGAGCTGATGTTACTCACCGGATGCACATTGACTTGTGCAACTTCTTATTTCCCCAAATCTCTGCAACCTAGCAAAGTTAGTTTGAAACAAACGACCTCAAAAGCCACATTTATGGGAAATATTGAAGTTTCATTTAATAGAGTAATGCGATAAGCAAAAATCGTTCCTTCATTTTATTTGAAAGGTTAAACAGCAGTTATTTACGTTTGGTTAAAGTATTCAGATTTAAATGTAAAAGGCCGACAGTGGTTTGGAAAACTATTGTACCTTTAATGCATTTTTAAATCCAGGTTTACATTAATGTAAAAGATGTTTGCTTTGGTTCATTGTTTTTGTATTATTGCAGATTTGATGAAATCTTAGTTGTTTGTTGGTTGTTTGCAGTAAAGTGTATTTGACTCATTTTCATATTTAGGTATGCTCCTCTGTGCGGAGCAGTCTGTCATTGAGGTAAAACAAGAGAGCAGTATAGGGACCACTACAAGGCGAGACCTGCTCTCCCAGTGCCTCGCTGAACCTCAAGTGAAGACCCTGCCCCAGCCTCATAGACTGGATTCCTTGAGCATGGAGACCACACCCAACTCCCTCTGTACTCTCACAGGTTTGTCTCAGCCTCTCTCACAGTTCTGTGGTTTTCCATGCAAATCTTCTCATTTGGTTTCTGCTAAGCAGGCCTGACTTCTCTGTGGGAAAACAAAACAAAAAAATTAGATTTTTATGTTTTTGCAAGTTTACAGCACCACAAAAGGCTTTGATGTTTCCGCCAGACTCTGTGATTTCTGCTGTTCAGTATTTGTCCTCAGGGTGTCATTGTGTGAGACAATGTAAATTAAAACCTCAATGGAATATAATAAAATTTGCTTCTATTCCCACATTATTTTGCAGGAACATGAACATGCATACCCCCTAATGAATCTGAACATCTGTTACAATTACTTAGATTTCATTAAATCTTCAGTCTTTTTTTGGATGCAAACAGTATTACGTTTTTATGTTTTTCACTTTATCAACTGCTCATAAATAATACAAAAAAAGATTTTCTAATATGTTGCAGTCTTCCTACTCATCCGCTTCGAATCCTACAGAAAGCAGCATAGAGTCTTACTCTCTTGATGCTTTCTAATTATGTAAATGTGGTTTCGAAGCCTGCTGCAGATAATAATCTGCATCTGCTGCCTTCATGTCACATCTGAGAGCAAAGATCACATCATGAACCCACTCGGCTCTGGCCTCTCTGGCCGCCCATGTTTGATCAGGTGGTCCAAAGAAAATAAAACACACTGTTTGCACTTGTGCACAAATGTACCTTCTGGAAATTATGAGCAAAGCGAGTAAAACAAGCTAATAAAAAAAAAAGTCGAGTAATTTCTTATCAGCGTTTGTTTTTGGTATCCTGTTTAAGGCTCCAAGTTTGCAGTGGTAGGGCAGCAACAAGTTTTTTTTTAAGACGGGGAACACATTTCTGCTGCTTTTAATCGCTGCCATCTTTGATAAATTTGAAAAGGATGCTGTTATCTCTTACACCCTCTCATAAACATGTAGATCAAATGTGTAGATCGTCTATCAGTGTTCCTCTTGTTTCATTTTGTACAAAAATGTAATGTAGGTTTATTTGAAGAAAGATTGAAACCATTAATTGGCCACAGGTGTTGATTGATTCAACGTTTTGCTTCTGTTTATCAGGGGTTATTGTTGGTGTAGATGAAAATACAGCTTACTCCTGGCCAGTTTGCAGTCTCTGTGGAAGTGACAATTTGGAGTTGTCAGCGGGAACACCGTAAGTTTTTATTTACGAGCCCAACATCATGCCTGTCACATTGGCAGCTTTTGACTGTTTTTGTGTCTCTTCCCACAGTCAAACATTTTACTGTATCTCCTGTAAATTGATGTTGGAGCAGCCAGAAACGAAGGTTCAACTGGAGGTCTTCCTCAGCTCCTCCTCACTGAGCAACTGCACCTTAAAGGTTAAGGTGGGAACACTGAAGAGTTTGAGTCAGAAATATAAATGGAGTTGGTTCAAATGAAAAGAAATGGCAACAGTCAACATGGTTTGGGTTTGAAAGCAAAAAGTTCTAAATTAGGGAAACCTTCCTCTTTAGTCCACACAAGCATAAAACCAAGCGGCCATCTTTGACATGACTTGGACATGATCCAAATTGGCATGACCTGGACGGGAAAAAAACAGAATTAATCTTTTAACCTATAAGTCTACTATTGGCCTTTTTGCATTTCCTATACATTTATTTGAACACTTAGAGAAACGTTCAGCAAACCTTATTGGTAAGTTTCAGCTATTATCTAAAGTATAGTTCTAGATTAACAGGGCTCCATTGGTTTTTCTGAATAATCTGGCATGGATTTTATTTTAAGTAATGTTAAAATTGGTCAAACAAAAAACTTTCCAATACTTGGGGTATGAAGAACAGCTTTGACCGAGATGAGAGGTAAAGGCCCAATTAATCAACTAATTATAGATTCTTAACTATCTCTATATTTCATCCATAAGTTTATTTTGAGTTGTTTCATGAAGCATAAGAAAAACAAATCCAATGGATTAATTGTATTTTTGTAATTAGTCCAGAAAAGCTGTTTTATAAAAACTCCATTGTTTATTTGCAAAGGGGGTGCAGCCTGTAAAAAATTAAACTAAAATTTATCTTCCATGTGGTGGTCTTTATGGCCCCAGTTGGGTTCCTGCTAAGGTTTGTTCCAACCGATATTCATCAGTCCAACAAATTGCAATGGATGTGATATTCATAGGCAAAGACAAGCGCACCTCCAGAGCGTATCTATATACCGCTGGTAATATGTTGAACACCTGCAGACACTGCTGAAATGTAAACATTTTATCCAGTGGGGATCATTTCCTCTTCCAGTTGTTCTGTCTAAGTTATGAGACATTAAGGCCCCGTCCACACGAAGCCGAACCCTGGCCTAAACGCACAAATTTTTCACCAAACCAGCCTCTCATCCATACGAAGCCGGCGTTTCGGGGGTCTGTAAACGATCTTTTTTTATTCAGCCTTCAGAGTGGGAAGATTTTGAAACGCCGTTTTCGCGTTTCCATCTTTAAGCTCTAACCGCATTTTTTTTTTTTTACACGCATGCGTCATAGCGTCGCCTCTAAACACGCATGTGCGACACAGTATCACAACAACAATGGCGCCGCACTGTGTTGAATGGTTGCTGCTCATGCTACTCACCCTGCTGTCGGGCTTACAACAGAATCTTCTTCTTCTGGAATATCTCCAGGAAGAACAGAGCAATATCGACGACATAGTTCAGCACCTGAATTTGACTTAACCACGAAAATGGACCCGCAGGGCAACCATGTATAAATATTAGTGCGCATGCCCAACATTTCTTCGCCTATTTTTGCTTTGGCACCACAGCGCCACTTATAGGCCTGGCATACATTTTGCAGCGTTTTCATGCATTTGTGTGGACGATCACATTTATTTTACGTCTCCGTCTTTACGACAAACGTTCTGGAAAATATTAGCGTTTCGTGTTCGTTTTAACTTCGTGTGGACGGGGCCTTAGTTTTTAATTGTTATCCAAGTGTGCAATTTTTTTTTTTTATTATTTTTTTTTTATGGAAAGCGCTCTGCTTTTTATTTATTTTTTTGTTGTTTCACTTTGGAATTTTTGTGATATAAAAAAAAAAAAAGAAAATCCATAATGGATGAAGCGGCCTGTGAACACATTTTAAAAAAGCTGCCTCTCTCTGGTTCTGGTTCTGCTGTTGAGGGGAAAAAAAGTGTGTTGTCTGGTTTGGATCGGTTCTTTCTTTCTGTCTCAGGTTTAAGTGGATAAATTGCTACTGCACGGTGGCACCAGTAACAGCATTTTTTTTTTGTGGGTTTAACTTAACCTATAGGTCCAAAAAAAGAAAAATGTTAAAAATCGCCTTTTAATAAACGAACGTTGAAGAGCTTAGTCTGTCTTCAATGGATAGATTAGTCCTATCGCCCAAGCTTAGTTCCTGCCTTCTATTTACACAAAATTTCAATCTTAAAATCTGTAAAGCCATTTGACATAAGGCGGTTGGTGCTCACAGGTGTTGCTAATCTCATCAATTAAAGCACTTTCAGTTAATAAGACAGAACCTTTAATGTAATTTGTAACACCTGCGTTAACCCTCTGTTTGATGTCAAAATGGCTTCTGCAATGAGGAGGTGTGTTCGTTTCCGCCACCATAACAGCTCAATGTGTGCTGGCTGTTTTCTGTCACCTGCGGTAAAACGGTCAGGTTATTCTTTTTTTTATGTTTCCTAATTTAGTTTAAACTGATTTTGAAAATGTAGTGAGGCAGCTTATTAAAACTGTTGCCGCCTCTAAAAGGGACTTTGATCTGAAAGCTGATTGTATATGTCAAAGAAATGAAACTAGGGATCAGTAAGGATGTACTGATACACCCTGATACTGAAATTATTAATTGAAACAATAGGTATGTAGTTGAAATGTAGTTGAAACAATAGGTGTGAGAAAATATATTTTTAATGAATGGATTAGCGTAAACTTTGAACAGAGGCAGAGTTTAAATTAGCCTGCTTGCATTGAAGATTTGAGATGCGGATGGATAAATGTCGAAATCAGTTTTTTTGGCTACCATCCGAAAGATTTCCATAATTAATATCTACTCGGGACATCCCTAAATTCTTCTGCATCTCTGTGTTTAGTAACGTTGGCTTGCTGAAAAGGCAAACCTTCACCCAAATGAGACCAGAGATTTCCATAGAGGCTGCAAAAAGCATGATAGTTTTATTTAAAAAGCTACTTCTTATAATTTATCTTCCGATGCTACACCAGCATTACCATTCACATTGTGGCTGTTACTCTAACTAATGCTTCTGTTGCTGTATTTTATTTTATTTATTTAGTTTTTTTTTTTTTCAGTTTAAGTGAGTGGTGTTGTCGTGATTTGGATGGGGTGGTGACATATTCTCTACTAGATTATAATTCATCTTTATCACTAACTTGTCTGCTGTATTCATTGGTCTTCCTCCCCATTTGTTCACTAATGTCAAATAAACTTCTTAGGTCCTTACAGAACAGCTGTATACTTGCAGGAACTAAATCACCTGGACTCTAATAATTGGGTGGCTTTGAAAGGCAGTCCATTGCACTGGCTTTTTATTTATGGATATATGAGTAACTAACCTGAATACAGAAGTACAATACTCTTTAGATTTTATTGTTTTTCGGTTTCCTTTATTGCTCTTCTAGAAATGTAGATTAAAACTTCTCTTATTACAGTACAATAGCAAATATATTTATTTTGCATATGACAGAACCTTTTCCTTGTTCAAAGAAAAATAAATGTTTTATTACATTATTTAGATAAAACCTTTGACCAGAGGGCCATCTCTACTGATCTATGCACTGAATCATTTCATGTTTCCTGGTTGCCTCTTTATAAATCTCACTCATAAATGTTATGAGTGATGTTATGAATTATGTTCTGCACTGCGAAACAAAGTCCTGATATGTGTACATTTTTGCAACTGTTAATTAATCATAGAGAACTTGGTGTGGCTGAGATCAGAAACGTTAAGTGAGACAACCAGTAAAAGTTATCAGTGATCTTATCTGCCTGCTCATATTGTAAACCCTGTTCCAACCATAAACCAGCAGAGACCACAGCCTGTTTGTGCAGCAGTTTTCATTTTAATTTACAATGCAGAGGGAACAATTAAAAAGGCATTACTGACTCTGAAATATTCTAATCTTCCACATAGTTGCAGCAAAAGACCATCATGTCCATCCTGAACACGCCCACACTAGAAAGCAATGAGGTAAGTCTACCTATCAAACTGTTATATAAGTCTGAGCTAAGATAAAAGGTACATTCATTTTTTTTTATGTCAATATGTCCTTAATGCACAATCATCTGTTCCTGTCACTGGGATAAAGCTCCTCTTTGAGAGCTGGGTTGGTTATTGACAATATTCTCTGACAAATTAAAAACACAATCCTCCTCACTTTCTTTTGTTTGGAGGATTTTGAGTTAGCATGCTGTTATTTGTTGCTTACATAAGCTGTAGATGGAGGAGTATTTCTTAATCAAATGCTATCTAATCTGTTTGCATGAATGCCCTTCATGCTAAAAGTGCAACTAGTTCCCAATAAAATGTTTACTTGGTTGATGTATTGCAAAGATTATATGCATGCTTTATTAGGATGTGCAACATTTATATAGGCTTGCATGAAATGAATTCTAAGAGATTTGCATGATTGATCTCTCGCTTCAGCTCCAAGGGTACGATGTGGAGAGCGTCTTAGGAAAAGAGGTGGGTCCTATCCCCGTTTATGTCAGAGTTGTCACCAGGAAGCCTGCCCTCTGGATGGGCCTGGAAGAGGTCTGCCTCGGCTGCTGATAGCAATCCTCAGACTTTTGCTGGCTCCAGCAATCTGCACACTGGGCCTTGGTCTGAGCCAGTTTATCCTCCACTCCCCCTTCCGAAGGCCTCCTCTGACAGCTTGAGGCTGTTCTGAAAAGAAGGGGGCCACTAAAAGACAAGGTCTTGTTTGTGTTAATGATATGTGATCCTGTGCAGCAGGAGTTGACAGCCTAGGGGTAGACCAGTGGCATGCGGGCTGTCAAACCAGCCCATGTGGATCATTAACTGTGCAGAGCCTGAATTTGGACTTAAACTTTCAAACAACCTATGTATTAAAAATACTCACTGTCAATAAAATGGGTTATTTATGCTGACTTTGCCTTCTGCTTCCTGTTGCATTTCCTTTTAACACAAATCATACAGACTGCTCACAGACCACAAGCTTTTCACGTTATCATTCTTTCTTTATTACAGATTCATGAACACGTTTAAAGGTTTATACAAACTATTATAAAAGATCATGCTCTGGCTCTTATACAAAGTTAGAAATTATAAAACATGTACCATATCAGGTATGACATGTAAATGCAGTGGTAAAATAATTTAATACAGAGAAACATCCCACAAAAAAATATGGCAGCAACAACATTATTTTCCAGTGCCATTATGGTAAGCTTAATACATCTGGTACAGATGGTAAAGACAAGAGTCTGCTGAGGTATGTCTTCTAAAAGTCTCAGTTCCAAGAAGATCCAAGGTGTCACCGGCTCTCTGCGCTGGCTGAGCTCGGGAACGAGGCGTTGGGCATCTGTTTGAAGAACTCCCTCAGCCCAGTCAGTTCCCTGGTTAGCTGCTCGATTGTTTTGTGCAATTTGTCGTTCTCGTTGCTCAGTTCGATCATTTTCTGCTGCATCTCCAAGTTGCGCTTCTTTGCCTTGTCCCTGCTTTTTCGCACCGCAATGTTATTCCTCTCGCGCCTCTGCCGATACTCCACGCTGAGCCGATCCACCGCCTTCTTCCCCTTCTCCCTGCCGATCTTCCTCGGGGACGGCCTGGCGGACACAGGCTCCGGGGTGGTCGGGGGAGTCGGCTGCCCCGTCAGGAGGCTGACCGAAGTCTGGGCGCAGGTTTCGATCTGGGAGGGTAAGGATGAGGACACGTCGCTGTCGCTCCAGTCGGACTCCTGCTTGATCGGCGCGCAGAACGCCGCCTTCTCCGGCGCGCCGTCCTGCTTGGAGTAGACTGTGGACAGCTGCTGGGGGCCGCCGGGCAGCACCGCGCTCTGCAGGTTGTAAAAGTCCGGCCTCTCCTGCTTCACGGTGTTAAACAGGTCGAGGAAGAGCTCGTCGTTGCACAGCTCCAGGTTTGGCACCGACGTCATGGATTCGATGTACTGACTGAAGTCGATGGCGCTCTCATCGTCGTACATGGCTGGGTTGGTGGTGCTCAGCTCCACCATGGTGCTCTCTTCTCCTGCGCCGTCAGTCCTGCTGCCCGGCTTGCAGCCCCCCTGCTGCGGCCCCCCCAGCTTGCTGCTCTCATAGAAGTTAGCAGGCTCCATCGCCCAACTCATGTTGCATTGTGGGGACACGCAGTGAGAGTCCAGGCTGTATATGTCACACATGAACTCTGCTGGTTTGTCCACGTGGTTAGAGAATAAAAATAAACTTTTTTTTTGTAGGAAAAAAAATAAAAAAGAAAGAAAGTCACTGAGTAGACCACTCAGTCGGACGCCACCGCTGCAGGTCCTGAAGTTAAATCAAATGTTAGCTGGATTCGCTGACTGTCAGCGCGCTGTCAGTGGGACCTCTGGACTGTCACTTCTCTAAGAGCAGCTTTACTTTCGCGGAGTGTTTTGTATCCTTCCCCGCTGACGTCACGCACAACCGCCCTCTTAGGAGCCAGTCAAACACGGGTCACGTGGTCTGTGGGTAGGAAGGGGGCGAGTCGCTCGTTCCTCCCACTTTTTACTATGAGCATATGAATGGTTCAGAGTTGTTTACATAGTGCAGGATGTGCTCTGGCTGTTGGGAACAGGATTAAATTTATCATGATGGGCACAAGGGTCCAACTAGAACATTGGCAGATGACTTATTCAGTAGTAAAAAAAATAAAAAGATATTTCTACTTTATAGACACAAAGAAAAAAATTTGAAAAACAGTGTGTATGTTTTACTCTGGATAAGAGGAACATTCCTAAAGAAGACATAAGATCCTCTTAATCTCTTTGTCCATTCATGCTTTTACCAATCAGCAAAACATCTTCACTCGCTTCAACTTCATAAAAAAATCACTTTGATTTACAACCGAAATGCAAAATGTGCTTTCATTTAGTAGACTTGCTAGTTTATTTTCTTCTTTCTTTACACTATTCTGAAGTGGCGTACACAAGGAATTCACCACTTTCAGCTCATATCCTGATCACTAATGTTCGGTGGATCTTCAAGCAATATCCACACCTTGTGACTCTCCCCAAAATTCTTGAATTACCTTTATGCTTCCACTTATTGTTTTTATTAATAGGCAAGGCAAAAGTATGCACAATTCAGTACAAAGACAATGCAAAGTGATTTACCTGATTAAAATATAGGAAAATAAAACACAATCAAAGCAATAATAATATCCTTGAATACAGCAACAACCAGCCACTGTAGTTAGAACCTGCCCTCCTTGTCCTCCATTATTTAAAAAAACTGAAAAGTTAGAACTGTAAACATACAGCCATATGTTTATATTTATTATGTTTTTATATATATATTTTACTGTTTTTCAAGGCTGCACTTGCAAAAAAAAATTGTATTGTCTAGAGAGCTTTTCTTAACTAAATTTCTTTTTGTTTTACACTTGTGTAAACAAAATGACAAAGCTTTCTAAGTCTTGTGTGGTCAATACATTTGCTGCAAAACTTTTAAATGATTGTGTAGGGGTGACACAATACTCTTCACAATCATATCATGCATTTCAAATGATTTATGATTTCTGTATCAATATACCTCTATTAGATTGCTCTACTTAACATACATTTTTAGAAAACGTTTTGTTCGATTTTCTTTGATCCATCATGCATTAAAATGAAATTGAAATTAAATAATAGCAAAGTGTTGATTGACTCTTTGCAATAAACAAGTAAAATGTTTAATTTGAAAAACAGATACATATTGAATGTTCAAAATAATTTAAACGCACTCTGATCGTAAACAAGACTGTAATCAATAAAGAAAATCGGTTCAGAGGAACTTGAGATAGAAAGAAGATGTTCCTTCCTGTCTAATGTCTAATGAAGACGACAGTAAAATTGTGAAGAATTTCAACTGACAAAGGAGTCAAAGGTATAATTGCAAATTGGTGGTTGTCACTTTGTGAAATACACCTGCTGGAGGAATTCAGGGTTCTGCACGTTAGACAAGATTTGGTAAGTTCCACACATGAAGAGGCAAGGGGGGTGTTTCTCATGTAACCTGTTTATTATTGTTACAGTGGTCTTATGATGGTGGGATGTTAGAATACAACAGGATGCCTGGATGTTTGGAAGAGATGTTTAATGAGGATCGTTTACAAGGAAAGGAAAGATACTACACACTACAGGTACAACTAAAAGTCTGGCATTACGATGAGAGAAGTAACAGCATCAGAAGTACAGGTAACCTCTGGTATTGTTTTAAGTATTCCTATTGTGGGGAGTAGTCCGGGAATAGAGCTTGGAATCCTGAGTTCGTGCCCCACTCCCACAGACTGCCACTCTGGGGCTCCGAGCATGACCTTTAACTCCTGACTGCTCCCCGGGCGCCTCACAATGGAAGCCCTCTGCTCCCCAGAGGGGATGGGTTAAATGCAGAGGTAAATTTCTCCAATGTGAGGCCAATAAAGTTCAATTATTATTAAGAAATTATAGCTTCCTGAAATTTCAAATTGGAGACACGCCCAATCTAGAAAATTCTCAGTGCCATTTTTATTCAATTGTTTAACAACTTCTGATAAAAATATTTGGTCATGTAAACATGTTACCTGTAGATACCTTAGCAAGTGAAAGCAAACTAAGTACAGGTGCTGGTCATAAAATTAGAATATCATGAAAAAGTAGATTGATTTCAGTAATTCCATTTAAAAAGTGAAACTTGTATATTATATTCATACATTACATACAAACTCATATATTTCAGATGTTTATTTTGTTTAATTTTGATGATTACAAATGACAACAAATGAAAATCTCAAATTCATCATATCAGAAAATTAGAATATTGTGAAAAGGTTCAAAATTGATGGCCCCTTGTGCCATACTCTAATCAGCTAATTAACTCAAACCACCTGCAAAAGCCTTTAAATGGTCTTTCAGTCTAGTTCTATAGGCTACACAATCATGGGGAAGACTGCTGACTTGACAGTTGTCCAAAAGACGACCATCGACACCTTGCACAAGGAGGGCAAGACACAAAAGGTCATCGCTAAAGAGGCTGGCTGTTCACAGAGCTCAGTGTCCAAGCACATTAATAGAGAGGCGAAGGGAAGGAAAAGATGTGGTCGAAAAAAGTGTACAAGCAAGAGAGATAACCGCACCCTGGAGAGGATTGTGAAACAAAACCCATTCAAAAATGTGGGGGAGATTCACAAAGAGTGGACTGCAGCTGGAGTGAGTGCTTCAAGAACCACCACACACAGACGTATGAAAGACATGGGTTTCTGCTGTCGCATTCCTTGTGTCAAGCCACTCTTGAACCACAGACAGCGTCAGAAGCGTCTTGCCTGGGCTAAAGAGAAACAGGACTGGACTGCTGGTGAGTGGTCCAAAGTCATGTTCTCTGATGAAAGTAAATTTTGCATTTCCTTTGGAAATCAAGGTCCCAGAGTCTGGAGGAAAAGAAGAGAGGCACTTCATCCACGTTGCTTGAAGTCCAGTGTAAAGTTTCCACAGTCAGTGATGGTTTGGGGTGCCATGTCATCTGCTGGTGTTGGTCCATTGTGTTTTCTGAGGTCCAGGGTCAACGCAGCCACATACCAGGAAGTTTTAGAGCACTTCATGCTTCCTGCAGCTGACCAACTTTTTGGAGATGCAGATTTCATTTTCCAACAGGACTTGGCACCTGCACACAGTGCCAAAGCTACCAGTACCTGGTTGAAGGACCATGGTATCCCTGTTCTTAATTGGCCAGCAAACTCTCCTGACCTTAACCCCATAGAAAATCTATGGGGTATTGTGAAGAAGATGCAATACACCAGACCCAACAATTCAGAAGAGCTAAAAGGCACTATTAGAGCAACCTGGGCTATCATAACACCTGAGCAGTGCCACAGACTGATCGACTCCATGCCACGCCGCATTGCTGCAGTAATACAGGCCAAAGGAGGCCCAACTAAATACTGAGTGCTGTACATGCTCATACTTTTCATGTTCATACTTTTCAGTTGGCCAACATTTCTATAAATCCTTTGTTTTTATTGGTCTTCAGTAATATTCTAATTTTCTGATATGATGAATTTGAGATTTTCATTTGTTGTCATTTGTAATCATCAAAATTAAACAAAATAAACATCTGAAATATATGAGTTTGTATGTAATGTATGAATATAATATACAAGTTTCACTTTTTAAATGGAATTACTGAAATCAATCTACTTTTTCATGATATTCTAATTTTATGACCAGCACCTGTAAGTTAGAAATATTTTGGTGTGATTCACATAAAGGAGGCATTGCGTCAGATGTGGCTAAAATGTGATAAAAGACGTGTTTTTGTTCATCTTTTATGACCAGTGGTGTCTCTGGGAGGTGCCCTTAAATCGCACATGGACTGAGGCTTCTCGGAAATGTTTCTCGTGTTTTCCACTTAGGAAGTTTGTTGTGGTACTTTTCCTCTCACCTCTTCGGGTGAGAGGAAACAGCGGGGAAACTGTGCCTCCTTGTGGCCAAAGGATGTATTTGCGGGGTGTTTCTGTAGTATCAACCTACTGTGCACATTTATTGTATCTGAAAAACTCAGACATTTTTCCATATACAAAATATTTTTAAACAACAAAATATATCAACTTAAAAAGTACATTTCTCTGTTTTATCTGTTTAAGTGATTACAAAGAAACAAAAAAAGCTGTCATATGTGGACGCACTGTATTGCATTTATCCCTGCAACTTTTTCTTCCTTTGGCACATTCTTCTTGTTTGACTATTTGAGCTGATGTAACGAGTAAAGTTCTCCACTGTGAGATCAATTAAGTCAATTAATCAATCAAACTAAAGTTAATACATACAGAGAAAGAGAGGGAGATGGCCAGATTTTAGTCGGGGGGCCATTACCCATAATTGGTCAGTAATTTTCACCCATCAGCTGTGAGGATGGGAGGATGACAACCCATGAAACATTCTTTGGTTTATTCTTGGTGTGATTTTTTTATTTTATTATTATTATTATTTTTTTTTATCAAAAAATTGAAATGATCCCATGCCTACAGAGCTGAGAGCTTTTGAGTAAGGGCCCACTCAAATGATTTTAAAGCATGAAAGTAGGTATGTGAGGCACATGAAACAAGGAATTACACCACTATGAAAAAAAAACAAAGAAACAGCAGAGATCAAATAGACAATGTTTTAAAAGTGAGACGTTTACTGAGCTGCACATGCGGTGATAGCTTTTTGATCTACTGGTTTTGTAATTTTGCTCACTTGCAAAGAAAAAAACAAGGATTCAATTTGTTTTATGTGATGATTCATTTTGATTTGGAGGGGGCATATAAATTACAAAGAAATCAAATCAAGAAAAAAAAAAGCTCATGCCAGAAATGAAAGATTCCTCCAGCAAGACATGACTGTCTAATTTGTTCTACATGTCTTAAAGTTGGACATAAAAGTATTCAACCATTCCAATCATTCAAATAAAAAAACTTGTGTATTAAGAAGGTGATTCCTAAGGTTTTAAAGACAGATAAGCCAATAATTTAGCCTATAAAGTGAAATGATTCATGAAGACAGTGAAGAAATAAAGGTACCTTGGTCCTCAGCAAAAGGTTATAGCAGAAGTGGTCACACAATGTGTCTAAAGATAAAAGAATAAGTGACAGTTAAGAAAATAAACTAATGATATACCGTACTGTACAGTGTTTTTACAATATAAATACTCTGTGTCTGGAGAATAAATAATCAACATACAGCTGTGAACATTTTTACAGTAGTGGATATGTGAAAATAGCAGCAGCATGTTATTTTACTGACTAGGGCAGAAATTGCAAAATCAGCATGAATGTAATAACTTATTGAGGTTTTTGGGAACAGTGGGTTATAAAGTCTTACAGCTGCTGGGAGGAAGGATCTGTGATAACGCTCCCTGGTGCATTTAGGGTGCAGCAGTCTGTCACTGAAGGAGCTCCCCAGTTCTACAACAGCTTCATGCATGGAGTGGTAGACATTATCCAACAGAAGAGGATCAAGAATTGTACCGCAGTATAGCCGGTTGTTTTACTTTCATTCCTCCAAGAAAGACAAAAAGCTTTGATTGCAGGACTTAAAAAAGCTAGAGCCAATCAGTCAGGTTTGAAATCGTAGTGTAATGATGGACTCACACCTGAAACTTCAGAGGCACATAAAGACAGTAATACAGTCAGCCCTCTTGAAAAACAAATTCATGTGTTCATCTATAGCAGAATTTATTACTGCAATGTTTTCACAAATGATATAGCTTCATCTGGTCTGTTCCTGTTTGGCTGTGACACCATTCTGGAGCCATTAACACCTTTGTTTACAGATGTTGGTTATTGGTCTGTTTTTCAGTGTAGTCCTGTTTCTCTGACTATGACTGGCTGGATGTGCTCTCTTTGTCCTCTGACATGGGAGCTGGCTCAGAGCTCGTCTACCTGGTTGTGTGTTTCCTGGACGGGGTCGCCTGTGGAGCTGGATTACAGTTCTCTTTTGTTTCTCTGCTTCTTTCTGTATCTCTGCTTCTGTCTCCTTGAACCCCAGCCGGCCTCGGGAGATGGCCGCTCACACTGAGCCTGGTTCTGCTGGAGCTTTTCCTCTCCGCTGTCACTACAAGCATGCTTGGTGTGAGGGATTGCCTTCGAGTCAATGAGTCGATGCAATCAGCTGGTTTTCTTTAGATAGAAAACTTTGAATAAATTTGACTGTATGATCTGGTTGAATTATAAAGTGCCTTGAGATGGCATGTGTTGTGAATTGGGGCTATATAAATAAACTGAACTGAATCTCCCTAAAAGTTGATCAGACAACTACAGCTGATCCAGAACGCTGCTGCCTGCGACCTCAATAAAGCAAAACAATGGGCACATCATCCCAGTTCTATAGTCCTTACACTGGCTTTCAGAGAACTGACTTTAAAATACCTCTGTTAGTCTGTATATTACTTAATGGCTTAGCTTGAAAGTACAGTAAAAACTTCTCGTTGTATCAACCATCCATTCTCAAATCTACTATCCATAACCTGAACCAATCACGGAGAAGCGGCTTTTGATTATGCTCGAATAATCTGAAACAAACACCCAGAAAACTGAAAAAGTGATGAAACCCTAAGTTGTTTGATACTGAGATTAAAAATATATAGTTTCCTTTGTCCTATCCAATTAGTTCAAGTTTGTAGTCCAAATTTCTTATTTGTTTTAAAATCGTTTGTACTTTTCAAAGTGTTCTTCTATTATGTACAGTGCTCTGAATTTTCTTGGCAATTAAATGTGCTATATAAATAACATTTATTTTTTTATCAGTTGAAATCCATTGTTTAAATTGACATTTTTTAATAACGCGCTGTTATGATTTATTATAATTATTCGCTGTTTTATTTAGATTTTATAGTTAATACTTGTATGTATATTCTCATCATTCTTCATAGTTAAAAAAACTTCACTTTAATTATTTTTACATGGCGGAAGGAAAAAATAGGTTGCAGCTTGTTGGACTAAACCAAATCACCCTATCGATGTTTATATGAGGATTTCTGAAAAGTGCTTCGAAATGTATATTTTACGTATCAATAGAGCTTTCAAATCAGATCAAAGGAATTTTGTGACAACCAAAACAGCTGAATAATTTTATTTGACGTTATAAAATGAAAGACTTGTCACGAATCCCCCCTGTGCCTAAATTACTCAGCTAGCCGGAAGGTTGAACAGTGACGGCTGTCATTGGCGGAAAGTTCCCCGCGAAAACTACGTCACACACAGTTTCGCGCCACATCTGCAACAGATAGACGCCTTTACAAGAAGAGGTAAGAAAACTACAGTTTTATCAGGTTTTACATCTATAATCATTCAGTTATGGGTTTTTCAATCCAGCGAGGGTTAATATCCAAATTACAGTCAATGCAAACGTAGAGTTTGGAGCATAAAAAGAAAGTAAAATCCTTCTAGCGATGCCTTATTGTCTTCCTGCAGCCACATGTCAAATGGTGGCCGAAGTGTTTTTAGAACTGGAGATTATAAAGGTTTAGAAGTTTTCACTGATCTAAATATTTAACGTGATTTTTCTTTAGTTTTTTGTTTTTTCAAAAGTTGGGGGATTCAATGATAGAGAAGTTAATTAGTATTTTTTACTCGCTGTTACTTGAAACAGAAAAAATCGCATTAAGAAGACAATGCTACCTCCCGATCCCACTTTTCTCTATCAACAGCAAAACCACCTGTATTTGTTTTAGATTACTGTACTGAACAGATTCTCTGTTCTCTCTGCCAAAAAAAAAAAAATAATAATAATAATAAAAATAAATCACTTTGCAAACAATATTCTGATTGGAAGAGACCAAGTTTAACCAAAACGCCTCCATAACTTAAAGCAAACATCTATCTTATATGCTAAAGTGTGTCTGTCGTTATGGAGTTAAATTTATGAGGGTTGTGTTTCAATCATGTCTTTATTGTTGAAGTATATAAATGATGATACTGTTGTATTTTGCATCCCCAGATATCCCATCAAACATGTCTTCTCCTGCTTCAACACCTGGCGGACGCAAACGTGGGAGAAATGCCAACCCTGCCACACGTAAGTCCAGGACCTTTTTTTTAATATTCAGGAAGATCTGCGGTTTTTTGTTGTTTATATACCATGGAGCTCATACTGATTAGTTTTGGTCTCTTGTCTAATCGCAGCAAGCAGTGAGGGCCCCATCTCGCCTCCCTCTCAGAGACGTCGGGGCCAGGACTCCTCTGCTGGTGACCTGATGCCGTTACCAACCTCTCCTGCTACAGATCTTCTCAGTCCTGCTGCCCCACAGGATACCTCTTTGTTCTCTAGCCCCAGACCATCAGGTACTTTTGTGCTCACTTATTTTTATTTTTTTTTTTAAATCTGTGGAATCAAACTGATTGTTTCTTATCATTTATGCAGTTGTGCCAAATGAAGTGGACATGAGTTCTCCCTTGATGTATGGGACACCAAGCTCTACTCCGCGAGGTGGCACACCAGCAAGACAGCGCCCTGATCTGGGGTCAGTGAGGAAGGCTCCTCAGGTTGACCTGCATTCGGATCAGGTTAGTGTCAGTGAGCTGTTCTCTGTTTATTTGTCTTTATGAAATTTGAAACAAAAGTTAAAAGTTCTCCCTTTGTTTCCCAGCCAAACGCAGACGGCACGGCAGCTAGCGAGCCAAATGCTGGCCACAGGCTGGTGATCTGGGGGACTGACGTCAACGTCGGAACCTGCAAGGAGAAGTTCCAGGTATACAAGATAATAAAATGAATGTGAAATGTATCAAATCTCTTTGTTGGACACAGACTTTGTGTTTTAATCGTTTTGCTCCTGTAATTTCCAGAGGTTTCTGCAGAGGTTCATCGACCCGGCCTCCACTGAGGACGAGAACGCTGGTCTGGATCTGAATGAGCCGCTCTACATGCAGAAGCTGGAAGAGGTGACACGATCATTCACCTCTCTGTTTGGTTCTGTAGAGCAGAACGTTCACATATTTAAATTACTAATCTTTTTGATGTTTTGATTTGTTCCTGACATCATTGGGCTTCTCTTTTTGTCTGTCAGATCAGTGTGGTTGGTGATCCCGTCCTGAACGTGAACTGTCGACACATCCAGTCATTCGATGCAGAGCTGTACAGGCAGCTCATCTGCTATCCACAGGTAATAAACCCCTGCCTTTGTCTGTTGTAATATATTTTTAATAGAAGTTTCATATACCCTGATTGTGTTGGACAATGTATGTTTTAATATAAATGATAAAGATCTGGGTCTACTTTCCGCCACAAAAATATCAGTGTGTTTTTGAGTGATAATTTCTACATTTTACATGTTGGTCATTAATCTATAAATCCTAAACTTCAACATAGTATGGAGTTTGCTGTTTTTGAAATCTAAAGAGGCAAAACTTGTCTAAATTGAGTTTCCTTTCTCTTTTTGAGTTTTTAAAATGGGTTAAAGAAAATATGTATCAATGTTTGAAGCTGGATGAAAGGAAATATTTCCTATAAGTATTTTCTTATTTTCTATCGACCTTATAGTGTTGGTCATTTGTAAAAGGTGTTTGGCAAGTTGATTAGAGGTGCATAAAGCATTGGTGCCTCATGTTGTAGGACCCTGATCCAAACGGGTCAGGTCAGAGATCTGTCCTGGAGGCTGCCATGGTTTTCTCCTGAATCTTGGATGGGACCCTGCTGGACTATGACATATTTGCTGCACCCTAAGCTATACTCTTATTAGCAGCATTTATCCACAAGATTTAACTAAATGATGTGTAGGGACAAGTCATCACTACAGGCTGAACGGGGGAAATTATTCTATTTAGATTATTTAGCGTCTGGTTAATCTGCTTTGCTTTAGATTGACCTAATTAAGATGAAATTTCCTCCTACTGATTTATTTATTTTATTATTTCTGCAGGAAGTCATTCCAACCTTCGACATGGCAGTCAATGAGCTTTTCTTTGAGCGTTTCCCCGATTCGGTCCTGGAGCACCAGATCCAGGTCCGCCCTTACAATGCCCTGAAGACCCGAAACATGAGGAGCCTGAACCCAGAAGGTGCGCTCATTGCTCTCCAGAATAAAGTATTACATTCCGCATATAGCGTGGGCTTTCAGGCAAACTGTCTACATTTCTTCTCTGCAGACATCGATCAACTGATCACCATCAGCGGCATGGTGATCCGCACCTCGCAACTCATCCCAGAGATGCAGGAGGCGTTCTTTCAGTGCCAGGTGTGCGCCTTCAGCGCTCGCGCGGAGGTGGATCGCGGCCGAATCGCAGAGCCAGCCGTGTGTCGCCACTGCAACACCACCCACAGCATGGCGCTCATTCACAATCGCTCACTCTTTTCAGACAAACAGATGGTGAGAGTTCTATGGGCCTGGTTATCGAGCAGATTGCTCACCATCATCGACACCAATCCTCTGAACGTGTCAGGTGGCAATTAGAGATGCAGTAGCTGATGACATCTGTTGTTTTTGTTGATCAGATCAAAATCCAAGAGTCCCCCGAAGACATGCCGGCAGGTCAGACGCCACACACCACTATTGTTTATGCTCACAATGACCTGGTGGACAAAGTGCAGCCAGGAGACAGAGTGAACATCACAGGTATGTTCTCCTCAGTCTAAAAAGAATCCCCACCATCGCCTCTCATTACTTGTATGTTTTCTTTTAATTAACTATTGTTGGTTGGGTCGTCATTCAGTGATCTTAGCTCTTTATTTCTATGTCCTTTTGCTCTGTTATAGTAATGCATTACGGTTATTTTTGCAGGGTGAACTACAGAAATTAAAGAATCAAAATAACACAGCCATCATCTGTATTCTCATTTCAAACCTCAGCAGGTTAACATTTGCAGCTAAACCCTTTATGCATTGAAAGAATTTGCATCTTCTTTGAAATTGGTTGTTGCAGCTGATTCCAAACTAAAACAGGATCTTTGATCCTCTTTCATTCTAAACGCTGCTATTCCTCCTGGCAGCAGTACATTTATGTCACCACTCACTAAAAAAGAGTTTTTGGGTCAACAGAAATCAAACACTGAGTTGTGAAGTGAGGGAAAACATGATGAATGGCGTTTTAAAGTCATTTTTAAAATTAAGACGTGAAGAAATTTTTATTCGGCCTCTTTTACTCAGGCTATCCTGAATGAAATCAGATCCAGCCAGTTGCTTTCAGAAGTAATCTGATTACTATATGGCCAGGCAATGAAAGCTGTTGCTTCAAAGGAGCTATGGACCTCCACCTGTTTGGTTTCAGACTTTTTCAAATTAAAGATAAAAAAATCTTCTGAAACATAAAGACATCATTTACGATGCTGAAACCTGGTGGCAGTTTCATGCTGTGGGGATGTTTTTGTTCTGCTGGTAAAGCACAAAATTCTGGGGGGAAAAAACCTGCTGCTGAAGACACACTGCTGTTAGAACGGTCCTGGTGAAGTCCAAGCATGAATCTGAACCAGAATCTGGGTGGAGACTTGAAGGGTGTATGCAGCTAAAGTGGCGATGGTTCCAGGACCCCCTCTGTCTGGATCCAAAGCAACCCTAGCTTTTATTTTTTTTAATGAATAAATCCTCTTCCTGACCCTTTCACCTTTCCATGCAGGCATCTACAGAGCAGTTCCGATGCGTGTTAACCCCCGTCAGAGCAGTGTGAAGTCGGTCTACAAGACTCACATAGACGCCATCCACTTCCGGAAGACGGATGAAAAGCGCTTGCACGGTGTGGACGAGGACGGAGAGCAGAAGCTCTTCACTGAGGACCGCGTGAAGACCCTGAAGGAGCTGGCGGCCAAGCCCGACGTCTACGAGCGCCTCTCCTCTGCTCTGGCGCCCAGCATCTATGAACACGAGGACATCAAGAAGGTCGGTAGTGTGAAGTTAGCAGACCGATATTGAAAATGATCTAACAAAACTAACATTTGGATACTTTGAAAGATGTTTCTGTTAACCGTATGTGTCTAGGGTCTAAAACCCTGCTGATTGTCATCTAAATGAGCAGAAACTCAGTGATCCATGTTACAAAAATGAATTCCTCTATAATAGAGAAAAGGTTTTAATTTTTTCCTCAGAGGGAACATTTCCATCCGTCAGCAGCACATGACACAGCAACACAAATGAGGAACGATGAATAAATACTTACAAAAATGAATAAAATGAGGCATATTGACCCTTTTTTAGGGTTTGAGAACTGCTTTGCAATACAAGGAACTCTTAATGCTAAACATCATTTTCTATATTGATTTTGAAGATTTTTATTCCTGTTATAGAATTATTACCCTGGAATTAGAGGGCCATTAGTAATTGAACTCATTTCTATCCTGCTGTCTCTTTTCCAGGGCATCCTGCTGCAGCTGTTCGGCGGCACCCGCAAAGACTTCAGTCAGACAGGCCGCGGACACTTCCGTGCCGAGGTCAACATCCTCCTGTGCGGAGACCCCGGCACTAGCAAGTCCCAGCTGCTCCAGTACGTCTACAACCTGGTGCCCCGTGGCCAGTACACCTCAGGAAAGGGCTCCAGCGCCGTAGGTCTCACCGCCTACGTGATGAAGGATCCGGAGACCAGGCAGCTGGTCCTGCAGACGGGTGCCTTGGTGCTGAGCGACAACGGCATCTGCTGCATCGACGAATTTGACAAGATGAGTGACAACACGCGATCTGTGCTGCACGAGGTCATGGAGCAGCAGACCCTCTCCATCGCCAAGGTTTGGCTGGGTTTTTTAAGATCTGATTGCGTGGAGCACGACGATCCGTGCGGCGCACCAGATTTAGCTTTCTCTTGTGCTCTCCGCAGGCGGGGATCATCTGCCAGCTGAACGCCCGCACCGCTGTGCTGGCGGCTGCAAACCCTGTCGAGTCTCAGTGGAACCCCAAAAAGACAACAATCGAGAACATTCAGCTGCCTCACACTTTGCTGTCCAGGTAGGGAGGAGAACACAACCGACATACAGTGACTAATGAATAAAACAAATCTTTTAAACCTAAATCTGTGGTTTTATTTGATTATCTAAACACCTTGTTTTTTAATAAGCAACATTTTTTAATTCTCTTTTAAGGTTTCTGTAAAATTTGTGCACGTTCTCAGTGACTGAAACTCTTCTTTCTGCTCTGTCAGATTTGACCTGATCTTCCTGATGCTGGATCCCCAAGATGAGGCGTACGACCGTAGGCTTGCTCACCACCTGGTGTCCCTGTACTACCAGAGCGAGGAGGAGATTGAGGAAGAGTTTCTGGACATGGCCGTGTTGAAGGACTACATCGCATACGCGCGGACGTACATCAATCCCAGACTGAGCGAAGAGGCCAGCCTGGCCCTCATTGAGGTTGGTTTGGAAGCAGCTGTTCGCGTCTCCCAGCCTCAGTTACACTGCTGAGGTTGTCAGGATGAGGAAACCTGGATTCCAGTCCCTTGTAGCTGCCTCTCACTCCAGTTTGTCTGCAGGCTTACGTTGACATGAGGAAGATCGGCAGCGGTCGCGGGATGGTGTCTGCCTACCCCAGGCAGCTGGAGTCCCTCATCCGCTTGGCAGAGGCGCACGCTAAGGTACGCTTCTCAGAGAAGGTGGAAACCATCGATGTGGAGGAGGCCAAGAGGTTACATAGAGAGGCCCTCAAACAGTCAGCCACCGATCCCAGGACGGGATTTGTCGACATCTCAATCCTGACAACCGGTATGCAACCATACAGTAGTCCTTATCATTCCTCTATATGTCCACCCGTGAGCTTGCTCTTATTTTTCCCCTTTGTGTTTTACAGGTATGAGCGCTACGGCCCGCAAACGTAAGGAGGAGGTGGCCCAGGCACTGAAGAAGCTGATTGAGACCAAAGGCAAGACGCCAGCCATGAAGTACCAGCAGCTCCTGGATGACCTCAGGGGACAATCTGAAACTGTAAGTCTGTTTTTTCTCTGTGCCTTTGAATCATCGGCTAAATGTTAGCAGCATTTTTTAGTTATTTTTTACTTTAGTGTTTCAACCGTATACTTTCTCTTGGACCTGTTACGTTTTTTAAAGGTTCAGTTGGTCTTGCTTCAAGACCACGCTCTAAGGTTTTAAATGCTTTTCTCACTTCCTGTCTTCACTTCCTCCCTTGTTTGCAGGCGATTACCAAGGAGCTCTTTGACGAGGCGCTGCGGGCCCTGGCTGATGACGACTACCTGACGGTCACCGGAAAGACCGTACGTCTCCTCGCCTGAGGCGGCGCTTCTGTAAAGTCCTTCATTTAAAATCCTGTTGGTTCACGTGTATAAAGTAAAGCAATTTGAGTAAAACTTAAGCTAATATTTTGTTCGTTTGTTACAAATTTTGCAATCTTTTTTTTTTGTGCTCTTCTGTATGTCTAGTTGAAATGTAGCTTGCATTGATTTGTGTTAAGAGTAAAAATAAAAAGTTGCACAATAAAAATGTTTTTGTTTTTCTATAGCCTCAGAAAAAAAATAATCTAGATGATGAACTTATTAAAAAGAGGTTCATCCATGTGTGGCATAATCTTAGCACTGCTGTTTTTTCATGCTGCAGCCAGAATAAGCTGTGGCAATTTCCTGGATGTTGACTCTGGATTAACAGCAAATCTTTCCTTTTAAAGTATTTTTATTTATAAAAATCAGCTTCCTATACACTGCAGAAACTTTAAATCTAAGTAATTTTATCTTAAAATAAAAGCATTTTATTTTTCTTGAATTAAGTCGGTAAGCTAGAAACATTGCCAATGTAATAAGACAATTTGGATAAGAAAACAACTAACCTCATGTCTTATTTCAACTGCGTAATATCTAATTGTCTTATTTAAATAGAACAGTCCTTCCACTGGCGGATCTTCTAATTTAACTACTCAAATTTAAGGGTAAATGCACATATTTTAAGAAATTTAAATATTTGCAACCAAGCTGTCATTTTTAGTAAGAATGAAGCACAGTAATGAACATCAAATTCATGTATTGCAACACTTTAACATTTTAGCAAAGCTGCTTAAGTTTTAATCCATATATATGGAAAATTGTTGCAATGTTTTGTTTTTTTTGTCCTCCTAGATGATGGAATAATGCCTTTGTTGATGGCTGCTTTCTTTATCAAAGAATTCCTCCAAGAGATTTCTTTTTATTTTATAAATGATCATTGCACCATCAATATGATGGAATTTAGTAATTTTCTGAAATGGAGTGAAAACATGACATTAAATACGACAAAAAACAAATTAAGTATGAAAATATAAATATTCAGTTTAAAGCCGTTCATGTATTGGACACTAATGAAAGCGTTAAGCTTATTCTGTATGTTGCTTTTTCACGTCATCCAGCCTGTTTTCATAGAAGAAGCTCATATCTTAGACATCCATTCCAACTTTTTTCATAAAGTCTTTCAAATTACCACATTACTAAAATGCTGCACAGAAAATGCACATCCAAAAACAAAGAAATTTAAAATTTTTTGTGGTTTGGAAAGCCAGGGTTAATCTAAAACATGTCTAGTTAGCCACTGGAATCCATTTCAGGTGGACAAAAGTTCCCAAATGTGACACTTAGCTGACTGATTGTTAGCAGAAAACCAGTTTCACATTCAATGCTGTTACAGCCTGCCTAGCTCTGTTTTGCTTCTCTTTATGTAGTTGAATCTGTTAAAAAATAAAGACCCTTAAAGCAACATTTTGGAACCAGAAAATTTATTTTCCAAGGGAATGATCAAGATTTATTTTACAGCTTTAAAAATACCATTATGCCCTGATGAATTTTAGTTAGATCGTGGTTTTTCCCAGTCAGGGTCTTTGTTTGCATTGATCTTTTTGAGCACATGTCACACAGTAAAATTGCAAATGAGAGCAATTGAAAGAATGAAGAACTAATCTTCCTGGGTTTACAACAAGTCTCCTTGGATGCAAGGTAAATATGATTTTAGATTTTAAACTTGTGCACAGCGCTGCAAACACGTAAACAAGCAGCTATCTTTTAAACGATGGTTTCGCTAAGGAGATGTTAGCTCTTTTTAAACCCTCTGATTGTATCTGTAACCGCATCCTGACTTTCACAGCAGGAGGAAATGGTAACAATAGTTGAAGGTTAAGTCTGACCAAATTATTACAGCATCTTTTATGAGGTAAAGTGTTTTTGTTTTTTTCATGAAGCAAATAAAATAGTTGGAAAAAAATAAATGGAAATTAAATCATTTATGAGTGTTTCCAATCTGGATGTGCAATTTAAAAAAAGCTGAACATCTCAAGTAAAGTGTTATAAGAGGGTTTCACAAGTTTAAAACAAAGGCTGAGACAGGTATTTGATTTTTATTTTTTTTTAAGGTTTATTGTTTTAATTGTGAGCAAAGAAATGAATCATCTAAACATAAATATTTTTGCAAGGCGAGCATTCATCTAAGAAGCAGCCAAGAGGTCTGTAGTTACTCTGGGGGAGCTGCAGACAGGATATGCATTTGTATCTACAAATCTGGCATGTAGAGTAAACTGGTTTAAAAAAGCAGTTTTTAAATAGGAACCATATGAAGTCCAATTTTTAGTTTCCCATGTAGTTGACATTAATAAACAACTGGAGAAGGTCCCCTGTTAAGCAAAACAGCCGTTCCCTTTTATTTAAACCATATGCAAAAAATGTTCAGAGGGAAACTAACACTGCACATCAGTGTCAGCATAAAATCCCCTTTTTAATGCATAGAGGTGGCAGGGTCATGCTTTGGAGATGTTTTCCTTCAACAGATGTAGACAAAGTTGATCAGAAGTAATTAGGGGAGATTGATGCAGGTAAACACCCTAAGCAGCTAAATATCTATGGGATAAACAAAGGCACATTAATGTACTGGAACATTTGTCACAAATACAAACAGCAAAATCTAACTGTGCATTGTTGGACTGACTTAACTTGATTTTCTTCATCCAGTCTGACTCATCTTTAGCCCCCTGAGAGTGAGAAATTTATAAATCTTTCAGTCCAGGGGCGGAGCTAGATGGGGCCCCTTAGCCAATCACTGGCCACCCCTACCATTTTTCCCCCTTCTAATACAGATGTTGGCAGTAGTACTCTCAAGTGGAATATTTAAAACATTTTAATTTTTCATACATTAACAATTACTTGACAACAAAAACACTTTTGTTAATTATACACATAAATGTACTAAAATTAAAGACGACAAGTACATAATTCATGGTCTTTTCAGAACTAGATTTTGCGTTATATGGGGTAAAGAGAAAATGATGTCTCTGCAAGTCCTCTTGAGTCTTCATAGAAATCAAAGGTAACTATTTTAGTAAAAACTTATTAAATTATCAATTTATGTCTATACTTGTAAATATCAATTTTATGCATAATGATTATTGATAAAAGTAGGTAAGTAATCGCCCCAGAACTCAAACCTGAAACAATTGTTTCCACTATACCTTTAATCTAGAAAGCACGGATGTTGAAATATATGTGTCTATTTGTTAGGAAAGGCTGTAGGAAAGTATACTTACCGTAAATCCTCTAATATTGGCCTGTATTCCATTAGCAGCAGGGTCTCTAATAATGGCCTGTCTGGATTCCATTTTTTCCCGTATTGCCGTACAGAAGAATTGCAGCTGCTGGAAGATGTCTGTATAATGTTCTGTATACCGTTATGGTAACTGTACTTTTTCAATAAATGAATCTAGTATTTTATAGGTTCAAAGAGACACAAAATTTCGTTTTTATTCATTCCACTGGTAGTCTGTTTTGATCAAATAGAAATAGAGGCCTGCCTCTAATTCTGTCCTCCTTCCAATAATGGCCTGGACCTGAGTGAAATAAAGGCCCCTTCCTATATTAGAGGATTAACAGTAGTCTTTATTTAGCGAAAATGGACATTGTGCTTGTTAATTTTCCTGTTGGAACAGTGTAAGTTGACTCTGAGGTTCTGGCGCCTATCCGCTTTCGCCCCCCCTAAGTGTACATTGGTTAATGCCTGGCCACCCTTAAAAAAAATGATTGCTACGCCCCTGATCAACAAAGAACTTGTATCTATAAATGATGTGCAGAAAAGGTTGGTCCCATACTGTTCGTTTAGTTTTTTTTATTCATGGAAAATGTAATAAAAGATATGCATACTTTTCCGTCCACTAAACAGTTATAAAACTATATAAACTACATGGTGGAGGTCTACCACATAAAATCCCAATAAAATACGTTAAAGTCTGAGGCAGTGGTGGTTCTTCAAGGGAAAGGGACACTTTCTGCTTAGCGGTGAGTTTAATAGTGTGCAGAGCAGCTTGCAGTGCCCCGGTCTGCCGGTGTGTTGCTGTGTCTCCCTCGGTGTTCATTCGCTCGGATGTTCACACCTCTCTGTGTTCCTGGACTCGGCTGAAGAAGATGGCGGCCTCCTCAGGTTTGTGTGCTCACTAACGTCCACGCCGACACAAAGCGCAGCCTTCTCGCTCTGCCTTCTCTTAAACGATGATATTAGCTAACTTTAGGCGACGGTTTATTTGTCCTTCGGTTGATTTCTCTGTGTTTAAAGGCTTTATTCCGGTAGAGCGCTCCCCAGCCGGGGGACGCATCTATGTCGTGGAGCTAACCTAGCTAAAGCCAGTAAATAGCCTGGCCCGTGAGTTAGCTAAAATAGCTCGTGGTATCAAACTCCCCAACAGATGCAGTGTAGTTAAATGCAAACAAAAAATAAAATCTTTCTTTTAATTTTAACATGGTGAGGATGTTGGATAAAACTAGATTATGAATCACAAACACCTGCAGACTGTAATGGCATAGCTAATATTTAGCTACTAGAATATTCGAGCACCGCGATGAATAGCGAGTCCGATATATTCATCGCTAGCTGCGGATTTCAACCAGTAACTTGCTTTGAAAAAAATGTATATGTTAGCTGGATTGGAAATTTACTTTTTCAGAAAAAACATAAATAATAAAACAGTATTATAAAACGTTCGTATGTCCTCTGTTTGAGGAAATGTTTATGGCCAGACGTTATTTTATTCACTTTATGATTCCTGGTCACTCATTCTCCGTCTTGTTATTGTTAATTTAAAAGAGGGCGTTAGCGAAACTCTGCAAACAGTCTTCAATAGAGTACCTTCGCTCTGGTTGGGCGGGGTCGCAGTTAGACATTTTTTTTTTGGCCACAGAATTGAAGCAAACGTGAACGGCATGCTTTCTTCCAGCAAATAGTCGGAGCCCACAGCTTCTTTAGCGCTCAACAGGAAGCGTGGTCGCAAATAATATATGGATTGCTGAGTATTGAAAAACGTCTCGACGCCGAGCCTATTTGGTTTCCATTTACTTCAAACACAGCCCACAAATCT